ACCGAAGGACTTGAAGAGTGCGATCCACAAAGAAGGTTTGTCCTTTTCCAGTTCCTGTTCCCAGTTTTCCGCCAATGTTTCTCCCGTGGCACGAGTCGTATCACGGCGTCGAAGGTTCCACAGATCATCTTGGGTCAGGAAGTTCTTATAGCCAAACTTCATCATTGGCGTCATCCAGCTGAAGCTGAGCACCGAGAATATGTCTGCATACTCATAGGGACATTCATCTTCGTCGCCTAGAGCATCGTAGGCGCTCTGCTTCTTGGGAACGAGGTATTCCAGTCCAAATTCCAGTAGCGCGAGTCCTAAGCTGATGTTGAAGCAAACGAAATATGGTAGGTTGTCCTCATAGGTCTTTCGTGCAACAAGAGAGCGCAACTTAATTCCATAGGCGATGGTAAAGAAAAGCCAGTAGAAGAGAACGACACCGTTGGGTTGCCTACTCCGCCAATGCTCATAGTATTGGACTGTGAATATCACACACAGGGAAGCAAACACAGCGATCGAGCTCCAAAACCGAACGTCAGCCAGCCAGTTATCCGCAAAAGTCTCGACCTGAATCGCTGCTTGAAGAGCCGTTGTGAAGATCAAAGCGGATAGCACGATCTATTTTAGACGTTAGGTTAGTCCCAAATAACTTGATCCAAAAGGGTTCCAAAACCAACCAGTTTAGCGTAAAAATGCCAATTCTTCGACACTGGTTGGGGGATTCGCTTTTTGAGCAGAAACCAAATGGCACCTGCTCCCATGATTAAGCCCCATACGGCAACAATAGCCACACCAAGATCTAAGAAGCAGGGCGTCAGGTCAAACCTGAATTTGCTTAAGGGCCCCCATCCTTCCACCTCGCCGCAAAAAGGCTCTAGTTTGGGCGATTGTAATGCTGACTTCAGGGTTGACGATCCCGGGGCAGAATCCCCGAGGAACGTCTGGGAAGTGCCATCAAGCATCTTCTAACCCCGACTGCAGAATCCCTATTCCTTTCAACCCACGAGAAGGAAGGAAAAGGGAGTCAGAAAAACTCCCGGGGTGCTTTCACGCAGATGATGGATGCGATTGCGGGCGGAGAGAACTTTCTGATCGAGGATGATACTGCGAGGCCAATCCTCTCGTGAGCTGCAAGTTGCTTACTAAATGAGACGGCCTAAGCTTCGGTGATAAGCCGATATGACTTTACCGGAGATGCGGAATTCCGCCTAGCTTACCTTACTATCTCTCCTCCTATGACCATTGCAGTCTAGTCATTGGAGTGGATTCGCAAAGAGATTTTCTCTCCTTCAATCTCGAGGCTCTTGTTCCCTTGCTTATTTTTCGTCCTGAAGCGTGACATTTGCGTTCGGTGCTTATGACATAAGCCGGCACCATTGCATGTCTTGGCATCTTCATTGCTTCCATACGTCATGAGGTGACTCAAAATTTTAAGAGTCAACCATTCTAGAATTCCAATCGTAGGCCAGTAATTTTTCCGGGGTAGACCATTCATTTCCGGGTGCGAAACAGAGGGGTTTGCTTACGAATTGCATTTGCTGACTTATGCACGAATACGAAGAGGCTGCAAATGGAAATTGATTACGGAGTCAGGTAAGCAAGGAGCATGATGACAGACTAAGCCAGAATCAGCAAAGCGTCATCGGCCCCGAGTCCCGAGTCTCATCAACAGTGCTCGGCATTACTTACCATATTCATCCATGATATTCATAACAAAGACTCTAGTGTTTCGAAGGCTGTCTAGACTATGGCAATCGAGCTGATGGGGTATAACGATTGATAGCTTACTTGGCAGATCATAAGCCTCAAGTTAGCCAATTAATGTATCTCAGGAATAAGCCCAGAATCCCGGCTCACTATGACCAGGAGTTGGATATATATATCTCCCGAGTATCAGTTCTATCTTTCTACTTCGCTTCACCCGAGATCAAAGACAAGGTCACAAGAACCTTGAGATATCCTCATCTGGTTGTAAATGTTTACACACTATTTTGGTTTTCTGGAAAATAGTTGAATAATAAAGGGATATAAATCTTTCGCCAAATTGTCTTTCAGATCTTAAGGCTTGAGCTCTAGGTAGTAGGTGCACACTTTCAGACCTGAATCACCTGATGGTCACCATATATACTAGCAACAACCGTATTCAACAAAAATATAGTTAATTGAAAATCCTAATTTGGCGAGGACCAATGTGATGCTATTATAAATGGATCGGATTAACCATGCACTACAATATGTCAAGGGAAGGACTATATTGTTATGCCCATCAACTGCGTTAAACAAGCCGAGGATTAAAAATAAACGGGCCAAGGCAGATTCATAAAAAAGTTTAGTGTACTCTGTATTCTCAGTAACCTATGAAAATTGGCGAGCCAATAATAGAGCCATTATATTTATAATAGAGATAGTGGATTGACTCCGATTGAGTCACTGTGACTCAAAATTGCACTTGTGGATCGAACTTTACGTCACACATTTCAATGGTCGCAGATTGAATATTGTTCTTAAATATTCTGGATCGGACCTATCGGTGCCTTAAAGGCGGTAAAGCTCCAACAAGAGGGGCATTTGTTCTGCCGTCGCATTGCACTCTGCGATTTCATCGGCGCAACTCATCGCTTGTACATAATTTAGTCAATATGGCCACGGATGCTTCTATCGCGGAAGAGCTCCTAAAGAGGCCGTTGTATGGTCCGTATTTCTTTTGACTTCGTTCCGTGCTACGCTTTCTGTTTTACATACAGTTCCGTCACTGACTCCCAATTTAAGTGTATGATCTTCCGCAGGCACTACTCGCAACGTTAAGCGCCAAAAGCGAGGACGATGCGATAAATACGTTAGATAATGCAGTCAATACCCCTGAAAAGCCCGAAGATACTGTACAAGAATATGCAGTTGCTACATCTACCTCATGCAATCTCTGCAATGTTTCCTTCTTGAACGTCCAAGAGCAGCGGGTCCACGTCCGTTCAGATCACCATCGGTACAACCTTAAGGCCCAACTTCGAGGCAATCCCACATTGAACGAGGTTGAGTTCAACAAAGCGGTTGGGGAGCTGGACGAATCGATTTCTGGATCCGAGTTGTCATCGGAAGAGGACGAAGACGATGGGACACAGCTCACTGCCTTGTTGAAAAGGCAAGCGAAGATCTCGCAAACAGGTGAAGAAGAGGATGCGCCGTTGAAAAAACGGACTGGAAAGAATCCTCTATTCTGGCTTTCAAGCTCCCTTCTACCCTCCAACACTTCGTTAGGTGTATATAGGGCTTTGTTCTCAGATGCTGAACAGGAAGAGCCTAGATATCTTGCTGATTCTCTCCGGAAGAAACAACTAGCTCCCATCAACACGCCACGGAATAATAGTCAGGCTCAGGGGTCTTCTGCATCATCTAGCCCACATGTATTCCTATGCATGATCGGTGGAGGCCACTTTGCGGCAATGATCGTTTCCCTGGCCCCTGAGATTCATCGCAAACAAGGCGGCGTGGAAGAGAGGCAGGCTCGAGTAATTGCACACAAGACTTTCCATCGTTATACAACTAGGCGAAAACAGGGAGGATCGCAATCCGCCAGCGATGCTGCTAGAGGAGCTGCACATTCGGCTGGTTCTAGCCTAAGACGTTACAATGAGGCTGCACTGGAGAAAGAGATTAGAGAACTGTTATCAGAATGGAGGAAAATGATCGATGATGCCCAATTGCTATTTGTTCGGGCCACAGGCAGCACAAACCGGCGGATTTTGTTCGGCCAATACGATGGCCAAGTTCTGAGAAACAACGATCCTAGGTTGAGAGGGTTTCCCTTCAGCACACGCCGCGCTACTCAAGGAGAACTCATGAGATGCTTCAAGGAACTGACTCGCGTAAAAGTGAGTCAGATTGATGAAGCCGCCCTCGCAGCAGCTGAGGCCAAACAACGAGAAGAAGTATCAAAGCCATCTACTCCACGGCCTCAACAGCAAAAGCCGAAAGTGTCCAAGGAGGACGAAGCTGCTATGCTTCATACAACCCAAATACAGGCACTCATCCGTCGCTCCAAAATCCCAGCATTGATGTCGTATCTCTCTAAGAACTCGATTCCCCCTTCCTTCACTTTCCATCCATCAGATTCTCAGCAGAACTTCCGTTGCCCTACTGCTCTTCATCTTGCTTCAAACCTTAATTCGCCAGCGATGGTTTCTGCCCTTCTTACCAAAGCGGAGGCAGACCCGACAACTACCAATGGCGAAGGGAGAACACCTTTTGAGCTTGCAGGTGATCGGGCCACACGTGATGCCTTCCGCGTCGCTCGTCACGAACTTGGCGAGTCGAAATGGAACTGGGATGCTGCCAAGGTGCCATCGGCAATTTCAAAAGCCGACGTGGATAGCAGGGCAGAAAGGGAGCGGAAAACTGCAGAGGAAGAAGAGAAAAATCGACGTAAAGCTGAATTGCACCGCTTGAAGATGGAGGATGCCGCCAAGGAAGCCTTACAAGCAAAGCGTTCGGGTGGTAGAGCCTTGGGATCTGTAGAGAAGACGGCATCCGAAAAAAGAGAGGAAGAGATGCGTGGCATGACGCCAGAAATGAGGATGCGGTTGGAAAGAGAGCGTCGGGCACGGGCAGCTGAAGAACGTATTAAGCGGATGCAAGGCAAGTAATGAGCACTTACCAGCTGCAATTGATAGACAGAATGAGCCAGGTCTTATTCTTCGGCATGATATGCAACATAAAAGGTATACCGATTTATTACGAATGATAGAGACGAATAAAGAGAAGTACTCTTCTTTTCCAGATGTATATATTGATATATTATATGAGAAATGGTAGCTACCTTACCTCACTCATGACCACCGAACCAGCCTGTTTGCAATAAATCACTGTCAGAGTAAACGTTTATATCCTCATCTAAAGAAAGCTACACCTTCCATCATATTTATGTACAATATATCAAGAGCAGAACGACAACAAGAATATACAGAGGAGCGCTTTAAAGGATCCTTTGGTACATATATACAGCGTCCTTTCAAGGCTTAGAAAGAATGCTCATGAATGTTGATGGTAGTCACCTTCCAGGTCTTGCCATTGTCAGAAGTCGTCAAGCCAGTAGAGTCAGCATCGGTGAGGCCGAGGGTATCACGGAAGGTAAGGTCAGCGGAATCGAGGATGATGGTAGTATCAAGGTACTCTGAACAGCGTTTTAGTTCTCTTTCCTTAGGGAGCGCTATGGTAGAACTTACGGTGCGCAGCAACAATGCTCTTCGAGGCGTTGTCCTGGGCCTCAACGGCAGTACCCCATCCTTGGGCCTGGCCAGAGCCTTCACAGCATCAGCCAGTGCGATAATGAAGGAGTAGAGATCAATAACTCACTAGTCGAGAGGCTCGAGATGACTTCGCCATTGATGGACACTGTCTGGTCGTATTTGCCGGTACTATCGTTGTACTTGTCTACATGATCGTTGATTAGCATGAAGGGTGTGAGTAACCAACGGTGCGAGCGCAGGGTGGCTTACAATGCATGACAAGCTTGTCACCTGCAGAGGCTGGAACTTGCTTTCCACCTAGCTGGGTTCCTGTTTCCCGTCAGCAATATGCACTTCTATATATGTTTATTCGCATCCTTTACCTTGAAGAGTGCTTGCCCAGGTGCACCATTGGCCGGAGCTAGCGCCGCAGTTTCTGCATGGGAATCGATTAGCATGTGTGACTTGAGCTGCAGTATAGGAAATTGGTTTTCGGTTCAAGGATTTACGCTGCAGGGTCCGAGAAGGAGACAGCGAGAGCCTGGATCAGATCACCACCGCTGGTGCCCATTCCTGGCCAGAGTGCAAGGCGATCCTCCTGAGGGCTTGGTGCTTCGGGCAACACCAGCGTAGTAGTCGCTTCACGGATCCATGACTTGGTAGGGCCGAGGTAGAACGCAGGACCGAAGACGATGGTGTCCTGGGCACTGACCAAACCGAGAACGGCGAGGGAGGTAAGACTTCTGAGACCACGCATTTTCGATGTTGAACTTGTGATGGACTGGTGTGTTTTGCGGATAGAGAAGTAAAACTTGGACCCTGGGGTTTATTCGCCTTTATATGGTAGGCGAGCTGATCCGAAGAAGGCCCGTGGAAGGGTTTAGATCTACATAATTTTCCCGTCAATGTGAGTCGGTAGTTTCATTCCTTAATGTCCTGAAACTGGCGGTGGATTAGCCCGCGGGTCATGGTGCAGCTAAGCTCCGGTCAGGGGCACACTAGTTTCACATCGGCAGATATTGTGGTGTGGTCATTCTTGTCCTGTCTCAATGTTATACAGTATTGCGACTCCACGGATGTTTTGGATAAAGCCTTGATAAGTGGAAGAACTTGTCCAGAACCATGATTGGTGGGTAGTTGAGGTAGAGCTATTGCCGTGAGGAGTTTTGGACAATGATCGGCAGTTGAGTATCCCAGGCTCTATATTTAACTTATTCTAGACTCCATGCCATTAGAGGACTATAGTTAACTAAGATGAGGGTTGTCTTTCTCTGACTATACCGGTGATCTACCAAGGTAGAGAAACCACGGAGTACTAAGGCTACCGATATATGCGGATTTGAATGTGTTCGTACAGGATGACCGGGAGAATGGTACACTTATATCTTCCGGATATAGTTAGAGTTAATATCTTTCAAATGTGTAAACGTGAGTACAAAAAAAAAAGCCAGTAGTCGTTTCGAGGACAATGTGAAAGTCTGGTTGTATTGTGACGTCGTGATCTGATACCATAGCAGGTGACATGCACTAGGTTTATCGTTAATTTCCTTGAGGCGTCTTCCTTCCAGTAATGAAGAACTACTCCTACAGATTTATTCATATCCCCCCCTTCACACAATTTTACATTATCTATGGAATATTACATTATCACATAGACAAACAGTAATCAACTAGCTCCATCCAACGCTCCCGCTCAGTTGTACTATGTCATTCCTGTCAACACCTGCTCACCTTGTTGGCACTGTGTCAGTGTGGGATGCCCAGCTCGAAATGGCTATCGATTCATTCCCTATATATAGCAACGCCGAAGTATACGTTGGTCGTGATCCAAGGCGATGGTACGTTGCCCTCTACTCCGTCTCATCGAGACTTCCCGATACTGATTGAGCTCAAGTAACCATGTCGTGAACGACCCAGTCATCTCCAACATTCACCTTCGGATCTACACAATAATATTTGACCGAGAAAACCCCGATGAAGTTGCGCCTTTAGTATACGCTCAAGACTTATCTATGAATGGAAGCTCATGGAACGGTTACCCTATGGGAAAGGGCAAGGGAAGTTTTCTTCTTAGTGATGGTGATGTACTGCAGTTGTCTCTGAGGTTCTCTCTCCATTTTTGTTGTGCTGTGCAGGGAAATGAAGATTGTTTTGACATGCTCCAAATGATAGAGATGAGGGTGACTCCCTAGATCACGCGGGCCGTGTTGTGTTTGCTGACCAACAGCACAGGTGTTTGAAGACCAGTTCAAGGTTACGTCGCAAAAGTTGGGATCTGGAGCTTACGGGCAAGTACATATGGCATTTAATAAGGGCACTGGCCAGCAACTCGCCTGTAAGATTGTCGACCTCCGAGCTTTGAAGAACAAGGTTATTAGGGAATCAGAAGATCAGCAGTCTAGGCACTTTAAAGAAAACGCATTTGCGCGCACCGGAAACAGGTTGCTCGTTATTCGTGCTTTCAAGGAAGCCCTTCAAAGGAAGATCCAGGAGAAGCTTGACGTATACAGCCGTGAGGCCAGAATACTTGAGAGCCTCTGCCATGTAAGTTTCGTATGCACAAATCCATTGCCGATCCTGACATGACTAGCCCAACATCATTAGTATTGAGAAAGTTATCGAATCGAGCAATACAATGTGGGTTCCTACACGCATTCTTTCGGATTCAACTAAATCTGGACAGTTACCTCTTCCAAGAACTCGTTACGGCTGGTGACCTATTCTCCTACATACAATATAAAGGCGGAAAATTAGATGATATTGAAGCCGCAGTCATCGTGCGACAGGTCCTGATGGCCTTGGACTATCTGCATCAACGGGAAATTGTCCATCGGGATCTAAAGCCAGACAATATTCTGATGACATCTCTAGCAGATGGATGCAGAGTCGTACTCACCGATTTCGGATGTGCCAGACTTGTGCGGCCAACTGTTGAGCGGATGTCTACGCTGATCGGCACATTCGACTACAGCGCCCCGTTAGTATAATGCAAGCAGTATCAGCCATAGAAGCTAACCTTTAATAATAGCGAGATGCTCAAGTCCAAGCAAGGCTATACAAAAGCCGTAGATTTGTGGTCACTGGGCTGTGTAGCAGCCGTGCTCCTGACCGGGGACACTCCATTTAAGAACTCATTGACTGCTGATTCGACAGATCTTTCTCGAGAGCGTGACCTTGAGAAACTCGAAGCCGACATGGATTGGAACAAAATCGGACAACGCGCGAGGGACTTTGTTCGCAGGCTTCTTGTGTTTGATGAAGCGAAGCGCATAGACGTTAAACAAGCGCTGAATCATAACTGGTTCACCAACCCAGCTCATCGAGTGGAGTTCGAAGCGCTGTACCGACGAGCGATCAGAAGCTGGCGGCCTCGCTCGCATAAGGGCTCCCTAATAATCAAACTGGGTACTTTAATGAAAATACCAGAACAATGCAGCGAGCCTATGCAGACCCTGTGCTCTGATGGGTATTCAAGAGTCGATTCGGGGCAGTCATATGCTGCTAGAGAGATACCACATCAGACGAGGGATTCGCCAACATCATCAGTCTCACAGGAGTATGAGTTAGGGGGTGGAAAGTCCGCTTCCATGTCCACGACTCTTTCAGACCCCGAGCTTCCACCGCACTGCTGCGTAGGGTACACAGACACAAGCCCACCACAACATTTACATACAAATCAAGGCCGAGATTTTCTTGACCCAGATCCACAGGAATCTATCTAGCAGGGGCAAGGCCCTCACGTTACAAACCTTTAGTGCAGGATATGGCATGACTTAATTTGTTGGTAACTGGCAGTACACGGATACACACCTATGGATGAACCATGGAATCAAGGGCTCACGTCCTACGTTGAATAGGGTTCCAATGTCTCGCAACAAACACCAAACGGGGCGCTGCATCAAAGAGAAAAAGCATCCAGAAAGGGGTAGTCTCAGGGCAGCCACAAAAATGCCTAAGAGCGAGTAATCAGGTCGATGGGATATCACTGAGTCCAGCACGATATTCAAGTCGAGATAGTCCGAACAAGCAAACCTAATAATAGATACACTTCAGATCGGAATGTAATTATACTTTCAATAGTTTATCTCCCGCAGAAAGCATAAGGCTCGGGTAAGCATTGCATGGAGTTCTTCACAGGCCAACTTTAACTTACTGCCTCAGAAGCTATCGTCTGTGCGATGCAGACGCAACGCACGGTTAGACCAGATGCATGTATTGAAACTGTAGTTAAAGAAAACCTAGGGGGGAATACGAAAGTTTTCTTGGTTAGAAAAGAAAGTCAACAAAGCCAGACTAGCATCGATTCTATTTTTGTCGAAACAGGCACCTCGCCCCTGAGAGTTGCCTCAAACACCCACTCCCTTCCCAGGGTCGACGTCAGCAAAGCTGCTACTACGTGATGCAAAAATAGATCATCGGCTACAGCAATCAGACTAGGAAGGAGAAAATGACAGGAAGGAAGGGACCAGAAAAGATGGCAAGGCCAGTAAAGCGGGCAAAAGCCAAGAGAAGATAAAACAGTACGGTCTACAGAGTGGTCTTGGACAATTACCACAAAAAGGCTGAGAGGGGCTACTGAACTTGGGCAGTCATATGATTTTGCCAATCGAGAGAACTAGGAAGAGGCGAAGAGGGAGAAGGAGGTATGGTCTCAAAGGTACCTCCTATCCCCTTTCAAAGGACGATCTCCAATGGGCTTGATTGTACCCTTGATTTGGTAATTCTGGGTCTATTATTAGGCACTTTCTTTCTTTACATTGGGTAATCAGTCTATGTCGATTGGAGGGTATGAGGTTGTCAGTTTTGGGTCATGTAAGGTGCCGCAATGGCGGATTTATTCATTGAACAGCTTTGAGGGAATGGAGGGTGAAGACGAGCTAGGGATCTGGGATCCGGGGAACGTGCTACTATGTTGAGCAACAATGGGTTATCCTGAAGGGGCCAAGGAGAATTAACCTGGGATGCGTGGTGACATCAGCGGGGGAAGACATTCGCTCGACATGTCTTGGTTCTTTCATCGATAGCAGAACAGGAACAAAAAGCGAAACGTGCTATTGGAGGAGCAGAGAGTGAGAGCAGTCTTACCAGCCACCCAAAGGCACGAGAAAGGATATCATCTACACAAAGGATCGATAGATGGCATTATCGGCGGAAAGGGATCTGACCTTACCACAACCGGCAATACAAGGACTTGCATCTGTCAAATGATAATGCAGGTGCGCGTTGAATGTTCTGCAGACTCGTGCCCTGTGAGTATGGTCCCCACTGTGCGGCGATTTTCTCGCATCTGGTTGCACCGGTTCCTCCTACCCCTTGCATGAGTCTTGGATTCCACCTGGAGGCTGGGGTACAGCTGAAGGGTAGGCGTTTTTCGCGTTTGGCTGTCTCGCAGTAAGCTTTCCTTAGGATTCAGTATCCCAGTCCTTTGGTTTTACCTGCTATCAGAGCGAATAGTAAGTTGTTATAGTTGTATGATTGTATGGGGGGTGAGTAACCCTTCCCAGCCTCCTGGGTTCCTCTGCGTTGTACTCCCATTGAGTATCAACGAGCGGGCTTGGGCCATAATTTATTTTCCTTTGGGCCATCCACATAATGTGTTTCTTCCGGAAAGAGGTCTATCAGCCTTGGTTAATGAGTCTGATGTGTGAATTGTCATCTATGCTGCTGCTGATGCAACTGTTCCGTCCACCAAGTGGTACCCTGGCGTATTCGTAGAATTTGCTGCAGCAGTCTGCGAGATAACGCGACATTGTGGATTCCCCCGACCAAATCCCCCGAGATCAAGGATCAGGACCACCTGATTGTAAACGCAAGGCGCCGCAATTGACCGAATGCGCGTCCGTGACGGGTGGTGGCGGGATTGCAGTTCAAGACACGGACACCAATAGATCTGAATCGGGACACACTAACCAACTGTATATGCTCCAAGACACAGATAGAAAGGGACGATCAGGCAACCCCAGATACTGCCGATGGCACCATGAGCTAATTCGTTTGAGTTTCATCGCACCTCAAGCAAGAATGCGGGAGTGACGACCCTTGGCCCTTCAGGGAAGCAAGGAGGCCGCGTATCTCTGATAAGATCGCGCACGATAGGAGGAAATTCATCTAGCCACTTCATTTTCTCGGACGATTAACCGGATCAGCAACGCCTTGAACAGGGGGCTGGCTCCTGTTCTCGTCCTTCTTCTCGCCTAGTCCGGGCAAGATAATATCGCTCCTGCAGCTGGTGGGTTGATGTTCGTAACGTGACTTTGTCGCCAACGGCCGGAGCCTTATCAATACCACCCGTGATTGGTGGACGCGTGGCGTGTCGTGACGCGGATAATACGTGACGCGTTCGCGATTCCGATAGTGTATGGGCCAATATAACCCAATTGGGAATAAGAAGTATAGAGATGTGCCAATGAAGTCGAGTCAATTGGGCACAAAAGAGTTGCCTGATAAGTGAGTCTTATGTTTGGGATGAAGGCGCTCTTTAATAGTCATTTCCTGAAAGGGTTCATGAGCGGGATGAATCAACGTTGAATCTCCTCAAGGAAGAATGGGAGAAAACGGAATCCAGGTCTACACTCTAATATTTGATCCAGGGTATATCGAGGAGCTATTGTGCTAGTTATAGGATGAGTAGAAGAGAGAGAATGGTCTACCTGTGTTTTACTCTACATTATAGTATAATTGTCTGTATAAGTGGCTACTGCAGAGCTTGGCTAATATCGAATTCAACCGCCACAGGTGCTCCGCTCTGATGAAGAGCATTGATGCTGCAAGTGACAATTCGCATGCATTGCAGCAGCTGCAATGCAACTCGAAATTCATCCCGCAACGGCACGAGCCATCAAAGAGGATGTCGTCACGTATTGCAGACAGGATAAAAGTGGGATGATGCAGGGTAAGCAAGGGCGTGAGACGGTGCTGGTTGCACACCCTGTCTTCAGCAAAGTCAAAAATAAACCCGTCTCGTGGTGGCTTTTCGGCGGTTTTCTTGCTCCCTCAGATAATGCCTTGCTTCATGCATCCCTCTTTGAAGACTCCCTTTTGTCCTTGTCTCACTACAGCCGAGGAGAGGATGGGAGGGGAAAGATTGTAGTCTTTGTAGGCCTTCATAATAGAGCCATTCCCCTGGAACAGGGAGAAGAAGAAAGCAGCAACCCTGAGTAGAAAGAAAGAGGGAGAGCAAAGGCACCCTGAGGGGATCTGATTAGACCTGAATCATCGGCCATTCTTTGCTAAGACAATCCTGCCTGGTTGAGAAGGACGTTCGTTTGCTTCACTTCAACTTTTCATCATTTGTAATTTGGAAACTTGCACTCGGAAGTGGTTTCTTTCGTCATTCTTTTGGCATTTTTGCAGGCCATTTTTCTGGAGTGGCTTAACCAGTGGAACGGAGTCGACAAAGCACTTTGTCGTTTGCGGAACATTCCTCTCCTTTTCCCGTTTCTAAAGTTATCGCTCCCGCGCCACTCTCACTCATTTCCCAACGTTGATCCATCTACCCACTCCCTCATCATCTATCTATCAACCCCAGTTGTTCACCTCGTCGCATCGCTCGGAACCAGGCGATATTGAAGCGCTGATATCAAAATTCTTATCGGTCTGAATTTCACTCCCCAGTCTCTCCCTGGTCTTATCGTGACCTCCTCCGGCGCAAATCCAGCGCTGCCCGCGCAACCGGCGCACACAACAATCAGCGATCTTAACCAACCACCCTACTCTCTACTATCGCACATTCTTTCGTTTCTCAATATCCTCTCCACGAAATTACCGCACCTCTGCGCAATCATGTTGCTCCCATCTGCTCTCCCCTGCGACATGCGCCGCCCCGCGACTCCGCCATATCTGGATCCCAGCCGCCAATTCACAACCCCCCCACCATCCGACGATGAGTTCCCATCGAGCAATGACCTCTTGGGCACCTGTCGCGCCCTCCAATCGCTTCTAAACGCATCACCCGCCCCTTCACCACGATGCGCAAAGCCAGAGCGCCTCCAAAGTCCCCTTCACATCAGATCCACGACTTCCGCTCGGTCGCGGAAGCAAAGGGACCCCAAACCATCACCCAAGCCTTTGCGAAGCGTCAACAAACGCAAGCGCGATCGCTGCGAGGGAAACGATGGCACCAGCGACACAGAAATCACTACTCGGGGCATGCGATTCTCGACCCCCAAGCGCACTCGTCACGCCCCCTATGAGCTTCCTTTGGGTCTCTCTCAATCAGACTTTTATGCTCTTCACTCTCCACCAATCTCACAATCGCCTCCGTCGCCTGCGCATTGTCGCCAACTGGACCTCAGTCCCGAGCAAAGCGCTCAGCTATTTAATCCCAACGCAGTGTTGCCATCTATCGAAGAAACACAGGAAACTCCGTCAAATGAGACCTGGAATGCGGACGACGACCAGCGACTTGTCGAGTTAGTTCTTCAAAATTTCCAGCTTTCCCAGCGAGATCTGGAGGACTACGCGCGCCGCATGGGCAAAGACGATGCCAGCGTCGGACGTCGATGGCAGGCTCTTGTGGGAGAGGGAAATGTCGGATTACGAGGGCGACGAGTGGTTCGTCCTCGTTGGCTATAGATGCCCTCTCTTTTCCTTTGTTTTTTTTTTTTTTTTCCTTTCACGACCTCTCACCCTATCATTCCTCCACATCCTTCCTTGACCTTTCTATGAACATCTTTGACGGATATCCGGTATCATGTATTCTACGGGCTCACGGTTCGCGCTTCTTTCAACTCCACACCGATGTATTACTACCCTCTCTCTTCTTCACCTTTGTCTTTTTATTTATCCCCGTCACGTCTGGACTGAGATCGTCCTCTTCATTCCCCCTTTACTGTATTCCTTCCGCCCTGTTCACCTTATGAGTTCTATGTATTATCTACGTGCCAGTGACTTGGGTTCTCAACTGTACACCAGAGTGTGTTTGCTCCCTTCGATTTCTTGTATGATTTATTTTCAAACTTTTCCTTCTCTTCAACACGGTGATGTGCATTATTAGTTGCTTTTATTTTTACTATATGGACGATGGTCTCGTGTCTCGGGATAAGAATGGGTTGCATTAAAATCAAGATTATCTTCTTCTACTTCCATATGGGAATTTATCTTCGTGGTCTTCTTAAGCTTGTAGAGGCTGTTAGATACAAGATTAAATTGAATATAGGGCTCGATAGCAATTAGCTCTAGGCACTTGATACACTAGGTTTTGGTATGAGTGTTTATTTATTTATGGTTTTTGTTTTCCTTTTTTTGGATGTGGTGACCTGAGTGGATGTAACATGATTGACTTCCTTAGGGTTAGTTTAGGCATACCTGACTTTTCTCCGGTTTATTCTATGAACCAACTGGTGGAAAGCGGTAGGAAATGGGCTGATATTTATAATAGAAAAAGGCTTCTCAGAAAACTATACAATTATAGTCTCGCTCATACAGTACATATCCAGGAAAGAAACAAGGACCACAACGCCATACACCCAGCTTATGGTTAGTTAATAGATACTGATCCTGACAGTGATGTCGATAATGCCATTGCTAATGGTATAGATGAATGGTGAATCTGGCTGCCTGGCCTGCAGTGACAAGCTAGAATCTATGGTATTGTTAGTATCCCCATCGTCAATGGTAGTAAGTTGGGGATGGGAAAGAACGTACCGAATTTCGTAACTTCCTGCTCGTGTCATATACCGTACCCATTTCACACTGCTATAGTTGCTCTTCTCGAACACCTTGAGATACCGGACCAGCAGTCCGCTACTTGTGAACATGAGAAGACTGAACGAGAGACTGAGTGGCGGTCGGCTCCAAGCTTTCTGATGTGTCATGCTGGTGAGCGTTGCCTCGGCCGTGAGCACGTATTCGCTTCCACCGGAGAAACGGGCGATCTTCCAGACAATGTTGTTGTGTTCGGGCTCGTACTTGGCGCGGCCTTGACTGGTGCGCTCGGTGGTTTTGGCTGTGTTGAGCGGGGTTGGGATGCGAATGACGACGTTCGTTGCGAAGAGCTTTGAGCTATAGTTCGCCTTGATGGCGACGCTATATTCGACCTTCGTCGTACCCACCTCCCTGACGATAGGGTGCACCTTGAACGGGAGGTTTACGTTCTCCGTCGCGCGGTATCGCATGAGCTCGAACTCGCCGTCCGGCGGAACAAACGAGATGATCCGGTCTGCGTCGAAACGGCCCAGTTTCACGCACTGGTGGAATTGACAGTCCTCCAGTGTGACAGAGCCCGCCGCGGCGCGAGTCCCCTTTGTTGTTATGCCCCGGCTACGGGACTCTGGGCCACCGGCCGCATCGGTGTCGAGTAGTAAGCGGTCGTTGAGTCCGAACTTGCACTCCGGCGTGCCGGAGAGGTAGGCGCGCATGACGATCTGGCCGTTGACGTCGGCGCGGAGCACGGTGCCTGTCGCGGACATGAGGAGGTTGACATCTTCGATCACGTCTACGAAGGCCTCGTTCTTCCGGTATTTGATATCGGAGCGGCGCCAGGAGAGCGCGCCGGTGGCTTGCATGGTGATGCGGCTTGAGTCGGTGGGGTTGTTGACGATGGCGGATTTGACTCCCTCCGTCGTGATGTACATCTTCAGGGTGTCCGTTTCCGTGTTTTGGGGATATCCGAAATCGAGGATCTCTGGATCATACCCGGTTAGCTCTCTGTACTCACCAACGGTCTGGCTGTTCCCCTTTTCCTCGAGTCCTGGCTTCGATGTCACATCCACCCCACCACCCGCATGCCCAGCTATATCATAGCTCAGAAGATAACAGCATGATAAACTTACCATCCAGCAACTCATAAACCAAAACAAAATTATTCTTGACTGCCTCCTCATCGAACTTCCCAAAATAGCTCTTCCCCAGCATCACCAATCGATACAGAAACTCAAACACGAGCGCCGCATTGGCGTTGCTCTTCGTCACCGCCACCAGGTAGATATTCTCGTGCTTCACATGGCTGAACGTCGTAGATCCTAGCGTGAGAATGGGCGAGCGTACTTGCGGGTTCGAGATGACCTGGATGCGGAAGATGTCGGCCAACCGGGGGCGGCAGTCATTGCGGAAGGCACGGAAGATTAGGTTTTCGCCTTTTTGATTAAAAATTAAGATACCGGAGAGCATTGTGAAGGAGTGTGAGGGGAGGAGGGAGGGTCGGAGGGTAAAGGGGAAGTGTGAGGGAGGTCGCGAAAAGTTCGGGGGTGGAAAGTTGGGCTTGGAGATCGGCGTCGAGGGAAAGTAAGCTTCTGGACTGAGGGAGCGTGGGGAATCCATTTAGCTGCGGTCCCTGTTTAAAATCTACCACAGCGAATCCTAAGAATCCGACCACATCTTTTTCGTGTACCGTACGTGAGATGCGCTATTCACTCAATGATTGTGTTTATTTTTCTTCATAGTCACTATTGTTTTATCTAACCTGTATCTGGCCATCAAAGCCCTCTTGTTATGCACAACCGGCATATATGACATACACCGAACAGACCGAACTATAGACACAGACAGTATACAGAATATAAACAAGAAATCCCATCCCATAACGGGCGAAGGCCAGAAGGCTTTGGAGGGGACATGGTATCAACGATCTGAAATCAAGGACGTGGATATCGTCAAATCGAAAAGAAGTAAGGGTAATTAAGAAGAACATCCCAAGTCGCTAGAATCGTGCAGCTGCAGGTTGCAGTTGAGAAAGCAAAATTAAAAAAAGCATAAAAATAAAGGAATACAGCGAAAGAAGAAGAAAAAAAGAATAAAAGGGAATTCGAAGCATCAAGTCCTAAAGCATCCCACCATTCAGCCGTAGACGACACCACTGCTCGGTCGAGTCCCGGGCAGTGATGGTCCATGCTCACTGGGAATGATGCCAACTTTAGGATCGGGAATCTGTATGTCCAACGACATGTAAGCCGTCCGTCGAAGACTCCAGATATATACCCCGTCCTTTGCGCCGACCTCACGGTTCCAATTCTCCACCCAGTCTTCTATCTGTTTGAGCTGGCTTTTGACTCCCGTGGCCCCTATATCCTCCCAGATCCAGCCGGTCAACAGCGCCAGCGCTCCATCTATCCAGTTCCGAAGGCTGAATGGATCGAATGCTTTTACGAGCTTGTCATTGACCGTAGCAATAATCTTGCGGAACTCCTGCTCAGGCAGTAATGGATCGAGGATCTCCGGATACAAGTTGGAAAACGTTGGGGCCAGGTCTCCCCTAACCATCCAATCTCGACGAATCCGAATGATGCGTGTCGTATGGTACTCCTGAGACCTCACTGATACATGCGGATTGATATGAGGGTAACACGGATGGGCTGGTCCCCAGGCCAACTCCTCCGCCACGTCGGTTTCGCCACCGGGGTGTTGCCCCGTATGCGACGGTATCGAAGCGATCTGTGCTTGCGACCGCAGGGAAGCCTGGGATTGTATATGGCGGGGACGGTCGTCGAGGGGGTTGGTTCGGTCGACCACGGGGTCTAGGGTCAGGTGTGCCCGGTCGGGCGGACGAATACTTTGTGCCTCCGGACTCCCATGATTTCCTGCCGATTCTGGCATTTCCTGTAACGGCCAATCTTCGTTGAAGGTACCACTGCGCCGTTGCGCTCGAGGCACTGCGATGCTGGAGCGCCCACTTTCGGTCTCCCCCTGGCTGCGCTCCACCACTAGACTATTCGGGGATGGGGTGAGTCGGCTGCGACGTCGCTCGGGAATCGATAGGAGAGGGTATGCGTCTCGGTGCGCCTCAAGACAGAGATTCTCTTCCGAGCCCTGGAAGGGATGGGGGACCGTGACCGGGGTAATTCGCGGGACGTAGTTGACCGGGTTCGCGAGTCGAACCGAGGGCGGCCGTAAGACGGCGGAGGGAGTCCAGAAACCCTTGTGTCGCGGTATGGATCGGGAGGAGCTCGTTGGCTTGGAGTGATAGGCCGATGACGATGCACGCTGGTGGGACTCCCACGAACGGCGCGGGGGCAGGGAAGACTTTTCAGCCTTGGGCGCGGATATAAGAGGAGGATCCCGTGGGGCCGCAAAAGACGCCGTTTCCGACACGGGCGACGAGTCGAGAATATATGAGAGACGAGAAGGAGGAGGAGACACGGTGACAGGAAGGGCCGTCGTGGTGAAGATTGCTGAGAGGAGAAAAGCAACACCGACTGGATGAGCGACGGAGGCGGCTCGCTGATTGGCGCGTGAGAGGCAGAAAGGGGCAAGGCAAGGGTCACGCTTCGGTCAATGCGCGACATTAGTCGCTGAGGGTTGCAAAAGTATTTCGTCTCGCCTTCAGGATGTAAAATGAAGAAGAATGGCAGATATGAGGGGGGAATTGGCAAGGGAATTTTGAAATTCAAATCATCGGTTCAATTCGTCAGATCGCACTTCAATAACTAGTTCTTCTCGTCGGATCTCCCGGGCGGATCTATACCTCGTCGTTTAAGTACTCCGTATGGATTTCCAATTTGGATCCAAAAACTAGTCGAGGACAACATGAACAAGGACAAAGCAAAATCAAGTCAATGGACGAGAAGTAAACCGAACGGCAGATGCGATGGGATCTCCATCTTCTAATCTAACTAAATAAATAACCCTTCTCATCATCCCGGAAACATCACCCCCCTGACGAAACAATAAATGGATCAATAGCCCAACCGGAAAGTAAGGCTTTCAAGCCTTTGCGTCACTCTCGAATCCTTTCCCTTAGGGCACTTCTATCACGGGAGGAGACCAGGCAGCGGGAATTCAGAACACCAACTACGAGTAAACAAAAAAACAAAAGCCCCCACTGAACAGAAGGAAGAAGAAAAAAAAAAAAATTTAGGACAGTTAAACGACCTGCATCATATGTCATATCGCATAGATTGGACATTATGTGTAACACTCCGCCCATGATTAAGACGCCTCTTATGCAGTCATTTCCAGGATGGATACATCTAAAAGCTCCTGTAGGGCCGCATTCCCGTACCCTACATCAATCAACCTGAAGCAATTACAACGTTGCTCTCTTTGTCCAGCTGGGAAGCTTGGACAACCCCCAAGATCGAGACCCCTGGCGTTGTTTGCTGCTAATTATAATGGTGGAACCTAAATCGTCTCCTTAACCGCTCCTTCATTAGTCGCCGTTTAGCCTGTCGTTGTGCAGCTGAAGGTTGAAACTAGCCCATAAGTTAGGGCACCAATTTTCGATAGTACCGCTTAGTGAGAGACCCTCTCTCCTGAAGTTGAATAGATGCAACTACACCGAGATAAATGTACTATATATACTGGCGCAGACGGTCTAGTTCTCAAGATTACTAAGTATTAATCCATTGTACGTTAGTTAGTACTGTGGTTTTAGTCGCTCATGGACCCATCTATATAACACTCATTAAGATTCGTTTTGAAAACCGTCCCGCGGAACTCCGAAACGCGTACAGGCATGATGAATTCATCAAAAACGACGTGAAACCCTCACCGCTGCAAGCCCAACCGATGCCCAGACCAGTCATTTGCCAATCACATTTCGATTGGCCATGGCTTGCATCCGTCGCAAGGCTTCTCGATGCAAGTCTGTCATGTCTCCTCGCTGCATACCTTCCGCCATCGCATTCTCAAACTTGACTGACGAGGCTCTTCCCCGCAGCTTCTTGGAAGATGCTGGATTCCGTTCACCCGTCCCTTGGCTGGTCATCGGAGGCTTCTGGGCTGCCGGTCTTCGCCTGTCGTATACGTTTTCTCGTACAGATTCCCGCCATGCCGCCAATGAGCTTGGTGTGTTGAGTGGGGTTGGTGTACTCCTTCTCACGGAGGTTTGACTTACATTAGACTGCACAGCCATCTGCTGATGCAGCATTGTTCGACGCCGGGAGAGAGGCATGTCGTCTGCTTCTTCGGGGATGGGGAAAGTTGATTGTCGGGGCGAAACGTCGGATCCCTGGACGAACCTCGATGACCAGGGGTCGGCTCTAAGCGAGAAAGATGACAATCTGTTTCGCATCATGCCCTCGCGCACTGCGATGAGAGGGGGCGGCCCTTTCCACTGAGGTCTGGCAACCTCGGTCTCTTCACGCGGCTGTTCCCCTGAGTCGACTGTAGGAGACACCGCGTCGTAGGCATTGGCGGCATCTGTAACTCCTTGAACCGGTTGGTCTTGAGTTCCTGGGTGTGCAGCATGGGCAATTTTAGTTTCTGGGAAGACAGATGGCCCGGAACATGCTCTCTTATGCACTCGAGCGCTGGACTGCAACCGAGAGCCGGTGACCATCTGGCTAGTTTCCTTTGTAACAGGCGGCTCGGCGATAGAGACACGCCTCTCGACAGCAGGCGACGGCTGCGCATTCAAAGGTGTTTGCAGCAGTTCTTCTACTTTGACAGGTGCAGCGGCTTCTTTAACTTCATCAGGGGTTTCTGGTTCATCCTCTTCGACTGACTCTATCGGTTCAGGCTCGGGAGCTTCCGCATCATCCAAATGCTTAGCCCACTCGTTCGTCCTATAGGATTGTACCACCTTTGATGTTCGTTGTGGAAGTCGTTTCACAGTTTCTATATCCAGTTGAGGGGGTGCTTCTTTCTTAAGCTTAGTCTTGGTTTCGGATCCCGACTTCGAAGATCTCTGCTTGACAGGGGCAGGATCCTTGATTTTTGGGGGTGTTTCTCTGGATGAAGACTCCTTTGATTGACTGACTTCGACTGGCTTAGAATCTCGATCTTTCGGGGCCGAGCCATTCACATTGGACCCAACGACTCGTGGCTTGTCATCATTTTGATCTGCTGGCCCTGTTGTCTCGGCTACTATCTCGGTTTCTTGAGGTACTTCTGTGGACTGCTTGTCAAGTTTTGGCTCGGGCATGTCCTTCGCATGGGCTGCTGATGGTGATGGTGATGGTGGGAGGCGCTCGCTAGCTTCTTCCTTTGTTGGGCTATTCTCTTTCTTCTCCTGCTTGTCCCCCTCTTGTTCCAGTTCGCCGAACTTTTGCTCGTCTATCCCTCGCGAATAGACGCTGGGCTCCCCGACGCTTTTTTCAACATCCTTCTCCAACCCGGATGTCTCTTTACCATTAGCTTCCTGCACGACAGAGAGCATTGAAGCATCTTCCGAATCAGAAGCAGGCCTATTTTCTTCTTCCATATGATTTCCCGCCACATTGCTGTGACTCTCAGAGGCGGAAATAGAGTTTCCGTCTACCGAGTCTTGCGTGGATGAGCCATCGCAGGAGACCAGTGCTTCTTGCGATTGAGATATAAGCCTTACGCTATTTTCCGCAGATACCTTGTCCAACAGGTCTCTGCCAGAAAGCCGCTTGGATTGTATTGTTCCGGCTTCGGACCCAACGATAGCTGTCATATCAGAACTGTTGTCGTCTTTGATTTTGGCTGCGGCTGCCCCATCAAACACTTTGAGTGGGACTTTTTCTCCATCGAGAGAGGATTGGTCTTGGTCTTCTGTGTCGACTCCCACCGTGGTATCTTCTAGTTGTCGACCCTGAGAGTCTCCAGTGTCCCCACTTGATTGCGAAGCAGCATAAGCAGATTCACCATTCGCTCGCCTCTCTAGGCAATCAGAGCAACGATAGGACTCCTGTGAAGAACTTGCAACACTTGACGTGTCAATTGCACCGCCTTTCTCCACATCGACTGCATGGTCTGTCGTACATCCGTTCTTTGAATTATCTGCAAGCTCTGGAATGCCAGAGTCGGGATTGCCATGTCTGGCCTCCCACTCTAACCGCTCTTCTATATTCTTCTCTTCGAACCTCCGCCCGATCTCGAGCTCGGCCTCCTCTTTTTCCTTCTGCTCTTTTTCGCGAACCTCGTTCTCTTTCTGCCTTCTTTCCCGAATTACTTTCCATAACCTGAGTTGTGAGATCACACCTAGCACGGCAATAATGACTGTGGCGGCAAGCTCAACTTTGATATTACGAGTCACAGGGTAGGTGCTTGTACCCAAAGGGAAGATGTCGTCGTTCAGAGCTAGATGTCGGTCAGAGGAACAATCCTGGGACTACTAGGAGTCAAAGAGAATACTTACCCCAAATATAAAGCCAAAACTCCTTCCAACCGGCGCGACTGAAACAGTCAATCCCTAATGCAACAGCAGTACCCCCAGAAATACCAGTCGACGCCATTAGTCCATAGGGCCGAGTGTAGTGGCTGAATGACAGAGCATAGAATGCGACTGAGATAGCGCCGATAAACCCGCTTTTGGAATTTGTCTCTGTAAGAAGGCCTCCGGGCTTAAGGGAGAGAAGCCACATGCTGCTGCAGAACCCGCCTAAAAGACAGCCAAGCCCCTCTGTTAATTCCTTAAATACAAGCGCTAGTGCTCCGAAAGTCACTGCTGTGAAGAAAATAGCGACGAGGTAGGCGCCCTGAACCGCGACACGGACTGGGGGATTCATGACGTAGACGATGAGAACCTACAAGAACGAGGTTGATTAGAATGAAGCCACAGCTAGAGACAGGCAGCGAAGCTCACGGTTACACCAATAGCTGCTAAGAAAGCGGTTGATAGGAAGACTTGGATCCTGAGCCTGGTAAGCTATATCTACCATTTGTTAACAAGACATCATGTCTTACCATAGATTCCGTATTCCTATTATTGCAAGGGCTGCACCGGCGACGATTAGAAGGAAACCACCAATCCCCAATGCAGGTGTTATCGTAGGCTGCAAAGGGAGAGCGCCAGGAGCGATCGGGTTTGTTTCATCTGTATAACCTCAGTATTGAGAAGAAGCAAGTATAGATTGGACCTTTCCACTCACTGCCAGCAGGGACCGGTGTAGCCAGAGTCGCTGTAGCCGTAGTGGCCGAGGTGGCTGTATTTGAGGCCGAGGTGGAATTGGCTGTAGCTGTCGCATGGCCAGTTGCGATCGCGGTCGTTCCAGTGGTTGCATCTGCAGTTGTTGTAGTTTCTTGGTCTGTTGCTCTAGCTTCTATAATGGCGATGCTCCCATACTGATTGCCCTCACTATGAGGTACCTGCGCCGCAAACACGAATAGACACGGCACAAGATACGCAAGAAGCGCAAGCAAAGGAAGAAGCCGCATCTTGCGGAGGGAGATTCGGGTATTCAGGGTCTCAGAGCAACATCAACAGAGTCAAGAGTAACCTGACCTGAAACCAGTATAGGGTCACGAAAACTGCAGAAAGTCCCGTCGCAGTTTCTAGTCACACATTATTCATGTACATCGATCGGATGGTCAAGTACGAGCAGCGAATTTTAACTATTGAAGAGGAATAGAAACGCGCAATAGAGAACAGGGAACGTGGGTCACTGGGCCCTTAGTCGGTACGTCTCCACTATGTATATTCTATCGTATGCATGTAGTAGGGATGCATGAAAACCGAAAAGGAGCTCTCATACTTAGATCCTGGTACACGGGAACTCCGTAGCCCGTAGGTAGCGTCGTTAGCCCGCACAAGAAGAGGTCAAAGCAAGCCATATTACCAAATGGACTAAACGGATGAACGGCGCAACACGGCCCACTCAGCAAAAGCAAAAGACAGCAGTGACATGCGTGGAAAATTGAGTTATCTAGTAGGGATCGGCAACTTCGTTCACGATGGCGACGACAGCTGAACGACTATGTCGTATCAGGGATTAGCTCGCAGGCTGTGGGCATCACTCAAGGAACCAGATTAAACAGACTTCAGGGAGATCCACGATGGCGTCCGATAGACCGAACTAAGTCTGTAAGGAGAATTATCGTGTCGAAAGGCCGAATGTTAACCGGAATTTGATCAGTGCTCTTTGAGATTAGCAATCGCATGGTGTCGGGATGCGTTGAAAATCCTCACGCACAGGGTAAGCCAATTTGCAATCAGACGGAATCGCAGTCTGACGTGGCGCGATCACGCTGAGATGATAACCATGATCCAACGAAAAGGATATAGGACTGAGGACAAGAGCAGCGTGCTCTAGTGAAGGTCTCGCCAGCTATGGCCTCCAGTCGTGCTTACTAGTACGTTAAGCGTTGACTAAGTTGTTTAAACCCTCCAAGTTTTGGGGCCGTCATTGCGCTAGCAGCACTAGCAACCCTCAGAATGAGTTTAGGGCGTGTGATCGGCCGCATGAGGCGACAGGTCTAATTTCTCCCGCGAACGTCTCTTCGGCCTATCATCCTCCACAATCAAAACACAATGGCCTTGATCACAAGGCACCGCTCGATCAGTGGAGGACGGACGCCACACTAATTTCCGAACTAGATTCCATCTCCAGGAACCATGCTCATCTTCGGGACAGAGATCTGGTTATACACAACTTACTTTAGGAAGATGCATACCTAGTCAGGAGTAAGACCCAGGATATGTGGTCGCATAGTGAACCGAACACCGGTTCCTCCTCCGGGATGGTGGGCCCTCCAGCATGTACTCGTTTCTGTCAACCCACTCCGTCAAGTCGGAAATTTATCTCAGAACTTGTTAGTCGCCACCCCCAAAGCATCTTTTCAATAATGGAATGCACGGTCGCGATGCGGTGAACACATCACGGCAAGAGTAAAAATGACCTGGAGACTACCATTCCAAGATTTGAGTTAAAAAAGGCGAGCTTACTGTCACGGCCAATGCCCGAAATTGATATCTCACACGTCATAATTGCATGAACACCAATAAATCCTTGACCGCACAGTTAGCGATACGATCAGTAGTATATTTCTCTGTAGCGAAAAGTTTATTATGATTGATACATGCATGCATGTCCTGAGAGACATGGCGAAAATGGCAACTGTCAGCGGGCGTCCCAGAAGCGAATGGGAGGCGGAGGTGTATTCCGGCCACCAATCTCTGTATTACAGAGTGTCATGGTATCACTTCCGTCTGGTTCTTCTTTCAGGTAGAAGATAACTCTGATGGGAACATCCCATGAACAAGAACGAGAAGGTATCCATGAACATAGTACGAAGTAGAACAGGAAGTACTTTAGATAAGTAAACCTCCTATGGTTGATGGATGGATGGAGCTAAAAGGGTTCACCCAATGATCGCCCATAGTCATCACGTGAGGCCCACATCTCATTCCAAATCGCGCGGGCAAAGGAACGTTAGTAATGACAGTTGAACCTCTTGGACGAGCTGTGACATTTGACTTCCCTTTTTTTTAAAAATCTTGATTCTCACCGACCATTATCCCTAATACTTGCTCAAAGGCAAAGATCCCGAACACCAGCCATACCATGTCTGCCTTCGCCTCATCTCTGCGCCCAGTGATGCGCACCGCCACTGGCGGAGCTCTCTCCGCGCGTTCCTTCAGCTTTTCCTCATCGCGTTCGGTAGCTCGTATGATCATCACCGGCCGTCTGGCAGCCGCTCCGGAGCTGCAGGCCACCTCATCCGGTCAGGATGTCATCAGATACACCGTTGCTACCTCGACCGGGGCCCGCGACAACCGACAGACAAGCTGGTTTAAGGTCGCAAGCTTCGACCAGGGTGGTCAGCGCGATTTCGTGCTCGGTTTGCAGAAGGGGTAAGTACCACCCCTATTTTCCATGACGTGCATATATATTTATACTTGAGTGCTGTTATATGTTTTTGATTGCAATGCATGTATAGGAAAAGTGGTAAGGTGTGGTGCTAACGTTGATTTTTCTTATTCGCCAGAACCCTTGTTTACCTCGAGGGAAGCGCCAGCCTGCGGGAATGGGAGGACGCTGAGGGCAAGAAGCAGACCACTCTGAACATTGTTCAACGTAAGATTCCCGGCTAAGATGAACTTAATCTGTCGGACTACGCTAACTTCCGTGTTACGCGTTGCTATTCAGGGAACCTTGAGGTCCTCAAACGCCCGAACATCCCTAACGAAAATGAGTCTGCCTAAGCTTTGTCGGCCGAACATAAGCCTGCACAAGAAGAACTACGTATTAGCTTGAGGGGCGGATATCTAGAGATCGGAGGCTTTCTGTGGTCCCTTGTAGGTTTTCTCGGTGAAAGTGGATTGGCCATTATGTGTTCTAATTTTATTTTGGATCATACGGCTTCTGTATTGTAGTTGTTATACAAGTATACCCTTGAATACTAGCGCTCTTTTAGCATACTGCTTCGTGGCTCTCAGGGGACAAGCTTAAAATGGATGTGACGCGTCAGATCCGTTGGACGACCTGCTTATCTAAAATGGTCTGCATCATACTATGTGTTACTTGTAGCATATCACATACCGGATCAGTTACTAATAGTAAAACCTTCTGGTTACATCTTGGACGGTGATGCCCGATAAAGGTGATTAGATCTACTCCGTGACATGCTGGGATATCTGTAATTATTGGGGAACCGAAGCAATAGATTCATCACAGATCTAACCAGCGGCGTCTCCCTTGGAGGTCATATGTTAAGGATTGATGCAACATCAGCCACACATCTGGAGGAGAAGAAAAAAGAAGGCAACATAAATAGAATTTGAAGCACTCCCAACGGACGAGCCGGAATGAAAAGTAAGAGACCCTTAGATCCCGGGGCGCAGGCACTTCACCTGGTCAATTAGGTAAACGACCTGTCCAGGGGTATTGCACTAGTCACGACCTCATGTTCGCAATTCGCTATCCTGGCTGATGTCGCGTTTAACTCGGATGAATGCCTCTCTTCCAGGCATATAAGTAAGATCGCTACTTCCCCGGCTTTGGCTGGAGCCCGCCCATGCATTAGCGGAAACTGTATTTGACGGAGCAGAGAGGTTCGACTGGGATAAGATTCTCTCGCCACTAGAAGTAGACGAGCGGTGAAGTGGGCGGTGCCAAAGAGACCAAGGATGCTTAAGCCAAGATATGCTTTTTCCTCGTTGGGGTTTCGGCGAAGAGACTCTGCCCTTCTCAATGTCATTGGAGCTCCTGTCGATACTATTCGCAGTAGCTGGGTTCTCTGTACAAGTTCTATGGCCACCGTTAGTACATGAATTGTTAGATCTAGTGTAGCTGGTCCTTACCCTGCTGTCGAAGTCGATGATTTATGGAAAAGTAGCCCCAATCGGCTGTTCGAGAAACCTGACGTATTCGAGCGGGATGCATCTGGTGAAGAGCCATGGGCTCTGACGAAGTAGCGATCCAGGCGCAGCAAGCGGAGGTATGAGCCATACATCCTGGAAGCGTCTCTGCCGCATCCGAAGAGGATGAACAACATGAATCCAGCGGCCACTGGAAACCAGCGATCGAAAAAGGCTTCACCACCCGAAGGTATCTTCAGGATTTTATTCCAATGTGGTCCGTGTGCCACATTCCATGAGTAAGAATGCCACGGTAGCGAAAGCTCTATGTTTTTGTAGACAACGTATGTCTGGACCGGCAGAATAGCCAGGAGTACAATGAAGGAAAGGATGAATAGCCGCATGAATCTAGATTTGTTCAAGTTGCTGTTTGATGCTTGTAGGATGTCACCAAATTGGTTTCGGTATCTGTGAAGACGATAAACCACAAGGCCTGGTAGGCTGTTAGCTGCTTAGACCAAGAAGGCCACGGACAGGTGTTAACATACCACAATAATAGCCAGCCATGAGGCAGATTAATAGAGGCCAGATCCATGCCAGTATGAGGCTCACCCAACTTTCATCAAAGCTGTTAACGCAGCCCGAGATGCCAACCAGAATGTATCGGTTCGCCTGGTAGACTATATGTGTGGCCATTGCCAGAACGGGCACGATCACACAAAATAACATATCTATGCCCAAATTCCACCGCCGTTGCTGCTTGCTCGGGACAAGCATCGCACGTCTAGTATCAATCATGCCCGCCAGAGCGCGGAAGATGCAGACCAAGTTCCCAGGCACTGCAACATAGCTGGCAATCATCACTTTGACTTCCACGTCACAAAGGCCAGCGCCACTCCACCAACTGTCCATGTCATTATTTGGCCATATAAATGCATTGATAACATTGAACAAGTTGAGACACAGCAGCCAGCATATGAGGGAAACGACAGGAAAATTCTTATTTTTCCAATGCAAGATCAAGGGAGGGATGGTCAGCAGAAAGCATAGGATAGAAAGCGATGGAATGATCACCGCCTGGGCGTAGAGAGCAGTGCTTGATGCCGACATATTTTTTGATACAAGTACAACTGTGTGATCTGAAGAAAACTAAATGTTAATATCAAATGACGGACGTCTCAGTCGGCCAGGTGGTAGGTATACTTGACTTCCAGAGCCACTGGACTAACTAAGGAAGATAGGAGCTCCGTACGAGGAAAAGGGGAGCATCGTGTGGAAAGAAGCATGGACACTGAAGGAGAAACACGATGATTGAGAGGTCTTCAGAGACAGATGTCTTATTGAGACGAAGTGGAGGAAGTAAGAATAGGGCGTTCCACGTAGACGCAGCTGAAACATGGATTTCCACTATACGTCCAGTTATATAGAATGATTCACATTTGAAATATAGTAGACAGAACGATGATTTAGACCCTCGGGGCCGTTTATTCGGGTTGCTGCAGTCGACCCAGTTACATCCTGTATGGGCGGTTGTATAGCTCCTGCAGAATAAACTTGGCTTCGCGGATCTGCAGCTAGAGCGGCCCGTCGTATAACAGTTATATTATTAACTTAGTGCCTTAAGACAAGTCAATGATGAAAAGAGACAATGAATTAGATAGTGAAGCGATTGGCCATCGACTAGATGGCAGCAATAGGGCTTGCTTAGGGAGGACATACCGAGTGACATCATCCGCCTGCCGACCTTTCCCATTCGGGGTATCAATAGAGGGCAATCAATCGCCATCAATAAGCCGTCAAGCCGGATATTTAAGACAACGGGGGATATCTAATTATATGGACAAGTACCGAGATTGAAAACTCGTCCGATTGACTCCCGGGTCAATTGACATGGTGAGACTGTCCGCCCCATAGCCTGCAGGTATCCTATCACACCAGCAAAACCAGCAGGGAATGCTGTCAAATTGGAACACGCCTTGACGCATCATGAGGCCATGTAGGAGAGGTGACTAAGAACGTCGTGAATGTGTTATCCTTGCAGGCAAAATGGGGGCAGGGCACCTTTGGATGTACGATTGAGCACTGCTGTTGCCTATTGAAATGGGGCGAGTCTCTTTGGCGTGACCCTCCCTCGCTTGAGATGTCCTGATGTTTGGCCCCCGAAAAAATGGTCAAGGAGAAAGGAGGGACAAGCCCTCTATCCAGTGGCACTTGAAAGTGAAAAACTGATCGGGAGTTCCGAAGTGGGTGGCACTTAAGTTACTCACACAGCCGGCAGCAGGGAAGCAAGGAGGACATAAGAATCATTGACGTTGTACGTCCATCCTTGTATATTACACACTGTGTAGAATACCGCTCCGTATTCATACAGAAACAAACATGGAGCTTCTTGCGAAAAATTGTGAAGCCTCTTCCTGTATTATTATAGTGTGCCAGCTCGCCGAAAATTATTCAAGAAATCCATCATTAGGGATGTATATTCCCATCTCTACATAAGTATTTTCTTTTTCAACAGAAATACCAGCCCAATAGCCATGGTAGTAAGATATTTACATCGCTGGCTTCATCGCAACCTAATCACAAAATACGTAACAAGGGGATACACAACCATACACACTGTAGGGGTCACGATGTTCAGACCAGAGCCCTTGTCAATGTTATGCAGCTTCAGCACATTCTTACACATTGTCGGCTTGGCTGTCAGTCTTCGTCGCCACAGGTGAACATCAGATCCGCTATCATGTACAGAACGACATTAGCCATGCAATACTTTGAGGGAGGATAAGATAGGCCACAATTTAAAAGACCTTTGGTATGTTTTTATTCAGAAGGTCTGCAAGGATCAACTAATAAACAGTAATATCGTAATCAAGGTAACTTTAATGCCTTAATCATTGAAGAGAGAAAGAATTATGATACCCCGGTGATTAACCGCAGTTGATAGTCGCGAATATATTGAAGAACAAAATGAGGACATAGTAAAGGCGCACCTAATCGGTGGCCTGTATGTGAATATAGCACCAGAGATCAATGATAGGACAATCTCTGCTGACAGTTTTTAAGACATGTGTATAGTGCTAGGAAGAATGTTGCAGTCATATAACTGTCCTGTCATTCGTATCTGAAGACACCGCCTTCAGTTGGGTAAACCATGATGCTTTGGAGAAGGCCGATTCGTGTTTATACCGAGCTACAATCGCGTGAGAAGGGTGCTGTAAATATAAGAAAGAAAGTAACTAGTCATTCAAGGGGCCTGGCAAAGCATAACAGCAGGTTCAATCTGGTATCTGCCATGACAATGAAGCTACCGATTGACTGGTGACCTGAAGCTATGGCAGCTCCCATTAGAGGGAGTTGAAGTAGTCAAATCAACATCCAAGGTCTCGTCTTTTCTATTTCTGCTCGGACGTACGTGTCAATTTTATACTGAAAGTTTTCTGGCGTCTGTACCACCAAGCTTTCTATTGTAGCAAATCCTTGCGTTCTACTAACAAATAGTCCTTATGCCAGAATGTATGCATCAACCCGTAAGCCCCAGAAATCGGCCAACAACTCAATACCCAGTCTCCCAGCCGCGATGTCCAAGACCGCTTCTTGACGACCTCTTCCGGCTGGATTTGGACTTTTTGATACAGATTCGGTAAGTACGACGTATGATACTTCTGTCGTAAGCCATCCAGTGTATCACGGTCATAGATTGACCAGAATTCCTCCTCTGTATAGTAGGTCCGTGCGTAGAGCCACTTTTGACCCCCAAGCATGTTGACGACTTTCTCGAGCTTGCGATTAAAGTCGACAAAGTTCTTCTTACCCTTCGGTCCTGGACCCCATACTCCAATGCTGAGCATCATATCACGATGGTCTGGGTCAGGATGGTTTCGCCGTTGCGCCATCAGCCCTGACACATGTGTCGTTGTAGTACGGACAGGGCAAAGCCATAATGGGTACCTCCCAAACGAGTCATCAAGAAAATCAATCAGTTCTTTGGCACCAGTAGACGGCACCGCAACATCCTGGATAGTGTACTCCTTGAAAAGCCCGCTCTTGTGGACGGCGTGATACATGACCCTTGTATGGGAGATTCCATCCAGCACCCATCGCATGAACTTTGTCTGGGGAAATAGGAAATATTCAAAGGCGTACTTCCCCACCCAGAAGCCTCCCCGGTCATAGCGGAATAGGTAATCGGTCAATGGGATTAGTTCCTTGGATGCGGTCCCCTTCTCCAGGTTTGATAGCGAGGAAACCATGTCTTCGGCATGCATATAGAACCACGGATCAGTGGGACGAGTAAAGGTTTGAACCTGATCTTTTTCTGCCATACTGGTAATTGACCCGGCACAGATGCATCCCTTCGTCTTGGTGAACATTATACCATCCAGATACTGATACGCAGGGTTTGGTGTAAGCTCTTCAATTTTTCTGATGGCCTCGTCAATACCCGAGATAGGAAAATAGGCCAATTCTACTACTGGGTTTGTCGGAAGTTCTATGAGTTGCAGCTCCAGTAGAGTCGTGATTCCAAGGGTTCCAAAGGAGCACGCAGCACCGAAGAATAAATCGGAGTTTTCGGTTGGGGATGCTTGCAGGATCTCGCCGTTCCCAATCACAATCTCAATCCAAGAAATCGTTCGATCAAAGAAACCATGCCGATACGAGCTACTCTCTCCTGATGTGCCTGCGAATCCACCACCTACTGTTATCCCGGGATACTCCATCACCACCGGCGGAATAAATCCTTGGGGGAGGGTTGCGTTGACAAGCATGTCCATAGGAACATTAGGCTCGACTAGTGCTACCTTGCGTATCCGATCAATACGAAGGACACGATTGAGGCTGCTTGTATTGATGGTATTGGATGTGGACTTTCTTGAAGGATGCGTCGAGTTCGTGGAGCCGTGATATAAATAAAAAGGCATCTTGTCATCATGGAATTGCTTCACTCGCGCAGATATTTGCCGGACGATAGCATTATGCAAGTCCATTTTGGGCCAACACCAGGAGCAGAAAGGCTTTTCAATAATCTTCAATGGGAAAGCGTTTGAAAATACCGTCGGTTGATGATGCTGCGCGATGGCAAACGGATAATGGTGGACGTATTGAAGAACTTCTGGGTAGGCCTGATATTTGGGGACATACTGATACAGATATATGCATGCTACCTTTGCTTGATTCACGCAATGAGAGACACAACTGTTCACTATTAGACTTACAAAAGATTAATGTCTAATTCATCTCTCGTGGCCGAGCTGGGAATTAATAGTGCGATCCATTAAGGTACTGTACCTGAGAGGAGATGTTATACACGCCAGCGCATTATGCACTCTCAGCCAGGACCAAGGAGAGCAGAGCCGTATCTAAAGATAGATCCAGCAAGTGAGAACGAATTGCATGCTTAGCACATAGGGGTTTATGACTCTGTGAAGAAGATGATAGGAATATTTGAATCAGTTGCAGACACTTTTGTTGAATATAAGCCACTGTCTGGATTATCATGGAATTAAAACCAATCACTCACGTGGATGAGACTATTAACTCTAGCCTGAGGTAGAACTGGAGAGGCATAACACAGAAATATACTGGTATACCATATGTGGCATTCACAGTCCATCTGAGAGGTATCACTTAATATATCCTCCTTCTGTGCTCCATAAGATGCCATTCACGAGGCCCATACTTGTTGAGCTTGATTGGCAAGACGTGAATCTAGCCATGCAGTAGTTGTTGCTGCGGTGAAGTGCGATAGTATGGCTAGTGAACAAGGGTATGTGGAGCTGAGAAGCAAATTATTCGCTCAGACATCCAGAAGGACCAGATTTAATGTGAAGGACTCTATATGTGTTTGAAGGAGGTAGCAAATTCACTGTTCTCGTTGCCCTGTGATTTCATATTCGTCCTTCTCTTTTGTAACTCAATCCAATCTTCTCTTCATTTCTGCTTCGGAAAGGACCAAAATCAAGCTCCATCCCTATTGTATGCCTGGCTCAATATGAGGTCGTCGTCGTGCAGACAGGATCATGCGCTGCGTGTCATCATAATTGGCTGCTCTGTGGCTGGTCTCACTCTAGCCCACGCTCTGGCCAAGCGGCGAATCGACTATACCATCCTTGAGGCTCACAGTCGCCTACCACAGCCGTTCACAGGAAATGCTTTCACCTTGCTTCCCAATGGATCACGGATACTAGCGCAACTCGGGGTGTGGGAAGAAATCGTGGCAGCATCAGATACGATCCACAGCCATTCGACTTTCCTTGAGGATGGAAGGTTGTTAGAGAGAATAGATGTAGAAAGACTGCTTTCCATGAGGTATGCCTTCCTTATGCAACTTGTGATTGGGTATGTCTAAAGCCTGACTAGGCATGGTTATGACCTAGCGGTTATCCCACGATGGAGATTTTTGCGGATTCTCTATAATAGCCTCGAAGATAAACATCGCGTGTTTTTCGGTAAGTGCATTATGGCTTTGAATCAGAGCTCTTCACAGGCCAAAGTGGAATGCGCCGACGGCTCCATATTTACCGGAGACCTGGTCGTTGGCGCCGATGGAATCCACAGTGTCTCACGTGGCGAGATCCTGAGGTGTAATGGGTCCTTGCAGGCATCACCAGATCCAAGAAAGATACTTGAAGGCTAGTAGCAGTATCATACCTATCCCACCTCAATATTTGCTGAGCAGAGTTTCAGGCTTGACCTCAGAATATTCCGGCATATATGGCATCTCGCGTCCTGTTCCGGGACTGTCTCCAGGCCACGCGCATCGCACGTACGGAAACGGATTCTCTTTCATAGTCAACATTGGAAAAGAGAACATCTTCTGGTTACTATCTTTCCATGCCGGGAAGGTGCACTGTTACCCTGATATACCGCGCCATTCGCAAGACCGGGCATCAATCGACCAGCAGGTCTCCCCGTTTTTAGTAGCGCATGTCTCTTCAAATGTTCGTTTTGAAGAACTGTACTGTAATGCAATCACATATTGTCATGTCGCCCTTGAGGAATTCCTCTGTGAGAAATGGGCTGCAGGTAAGCTTGTGTCTATCGGGGACTCTGTTCACAAGGTCTGGGTCAATTTCTTTCGCTATACCTCCCAGCTACTCGAGTATGGTATTTACAATGAAACCTGGCAGATGACACCAAACCTAGCCCAAGGCGCCAATTGCGCAATTGAAAGCTCTGCCTCGCTAGCCAATTGTATCGTCCGTACTGTTGACCAATACGAATCCTGTGCACGCCCAGATAACCCTGAAAAGGATATGGGCCTAGAGGCATGGGAAGAGTCCCGAAAGCAGAGGATGAGGCGCTTTTACACGTATTCATGGATTCTGGCTCGCTGTGAAGCTTTTTCTGGGCCTTTGTTCAAGGCCCTTGGCCTCTATATCGGGTCCTTCCACGGAGAGCAGGTAATCAGTTACATATCCGACATTAGTCCCGAGTCAGAGTACCTGGAATACTTACCGCGGTCAGATTATCACTTGAAATCGCGATCTGAGTGGCGCCACAGTGGGCTGAATCGATTGAACCATCTCTCTGTGAAGTTGGCATTCTTGTTATTGGATGCTTTGATAACAATGTGGAGCTTTTGTTTCGCTTAGAGCATATACCTGCATTGCGATCCCTCGCGACTGTGGCATATAATACAAGGACATTTACTGAGCAGGGCCTTAAGTACCCTTACTGAAGCGGTTTCATGTAGATCAGACAAATTGAGGCTATTGGAGGAAATCTGGTCTGTGTAAGAGTACTGTACATACATACATCCAGGATCGTCATTCAGCTGAAGGTATCTCTTGGCACATAGCGTCATACTCGGTATAATACAGTTTCTCTCCGCAATTGGATTGGGGTTGAAGATTAATGATTGGGGCTTGAGTCACGAACTACTCCACTCGACCCCGTCTTGGCTTTGCCGAAAAAAAGTAAGAAGGGATCTGCAAGTGATCCGATGAGGTACCGTACTGTACTCCGTATGGATGTATGTACGTGACCTACACATGATTCAATCATGGCTGAACCTGAGGATCCTTTCACGACCTGAGGCACACTACTCTCTCTCCCTACCCTTCCTTTTCTCTAATTTCCTCCTGGCTGCAACTTTCCTCTCATACTCAAGATCTCGACCACAGCAGATCGGAATATGGTCCACCAATTGTCAAGCCGACCCTCCTCCTGGTTCCTCTTCAGTCATGCGACCATCAGCTTCTCCCTTCCAGAACAATCAGACTAGCAATCCCCGCGCCCATTCCCCCGGTTCCATGAATCTTCGCCAGCGAGGCCCGGCCCGCTCTGCCACCTTCGCAGAGGGTTGTTCATCAAATCTAAAAAATGAACGACGCAACTCGACCTTCTCAGATTCGGTCTCCGAAGCACGGAATTCCATCCGATCCTCCACGGACGACCTATTCTTCCCGCGCGCAGCCAAGGGTTCCTTCGATGCTGCGGATGCGTCCAATGAGGAGTCGCACTGGCATTCTGCACCCTTGGCCCTCGCCCTCCTACCTGCCATCGCAGGAGTCTTTTTCCAGAACGGAAGCGCCGTCGTAACAGATGTTACTCTGCTGGTGTTAGCAGCCATCTTTTTGAACTGGTCCGTGAGACTGCCATGGTAAGACAGACCCATACGATTGATTACACCTAATTTTCCCCCGGTTAACCAGTATGTCAGGGATTGGTATCGCTCCGCCCAAGCGATCCGACAAGACAAATTCTACGATGCGAACGAAATCCCCGTAGACATAGAGATCGACCACACCCAGGATGCAAAAGAAGACTCAGCCCCAGCAAAACAACGCGCAACCGAAACAGCCAGCGCCGCCAGTAGGGAATTGCAAATCCACGAAATCGTCGCTCTGGCTTCGTGCTTCATCTTCCCGCTCATCGGAACATGGTTGTTACACGGAATTCGATCCAAACTGTCTCGACCCTCAGAGGGCTTAGTCTCGAACTACAACCTAACCATATTCCTCCTAGCATCGGAGATCAGACCCTTTGCCCATCTATTACGAATGGTCCAAGCGCGCACGCTCCATCTCCAGCGCGTCGTCGCATCATCCACCGAACCCCCCAAAGACAGAATAGACGCCAGTAAGATAATCGACCTCTCCAAACGACTGGAAGAGCTCGAAGCCCACATAGCAGAAACAGCTGCGGCGCGCCTCGCCCCTAGCCAGGAACAGTTGCAGCCCCAAGCGCAAGACTCCCTCGTCTCACATACCACAACAGAAGTGCGGAAATCGGTCCAGCCGGACATCGATGCCCTGAACCGCGCCGTGAGACGCTACGAGAAACGTACCGCGATGACTTCCTTCCAGACGGACTCCAGAATCGAAGCGCTAGAGGGTCAGGTCCGGGATGCTATTTCTCTAGCTGCTGCTGCGCAGCGTCCCAGCGTACGGAAACCGAAGAATTCTGTGCTCCTGCTGCTCGAGTGGCTTTATACGCTTGTTATGCTCCCTGCTCAGGTCTTCGCGTCCTTGGCTGTACTGCCATTTCATGTCGCGAGGCGGTGCCTGCGGTTTGTGCAGGATATTTTTCTTTCGAAAGCAAACCCACAACCAAAACTTGCGAAAGGCAAGCTACCGCAAGACCGTAAAGCGCGGTCCCCGAAACGCCCAAGACGAGTACCCCAGCAAGACTCGGCAGAGACACAAGGACTAAAGTCCATTCGCGAATATACATGATCGTTTATTCGTCGCGATGTGATTATAGTATACATTTTCTTACAGTGCTGATAGTAAATGTAGAATGACTGATATCCGAAGACGGTCTCTACTTCTTTATTCATTACTACCGCGAGAATATTTCCGACCAAGTGGATTCCAGTGTGTTGGAATGGGGAAGAATGGGATACTCTAATTAAGCATTGCTTTCTATTGTTCTCGGTGGCCTTCTTTGGCTTCAGGCAATAGTTAGAAGTGTATAGTTATATAGCATACTGTCGCCAACTATACAATACTTACTAAGACGTTTATAATACCAAACGCCGCAACACATGTTCCATACACGCATCGTCCAGATGACGTCTCTAGTAGTTACCGTCGAATAGTCTAAAGGTTATAAAAAGAAGTAGTATAATACAACACAATGCATACAGAACCCAGCTCGAATCTATAGGTATTACAGTATATCCTAGATTATCAAAGGAAAGGAAAATACACATCCAGGCGCATATATACGAGACAAGCACTGTATAAGAGCTCAAGACCAACCACCGGAGGGACCTTTATTGTCAACCCCAATGGTCTTCAAGAAAGGCTCAATTATACTTCGTTTCCGGTCCTTCTGTGCTCGCGCTTCTTTGTCCTTTGCTGGGACAGGGACGTTGGCGGAGATAAGGACACTGGAGAATATACCCGCTAGGGCGGCTTCGACGGCTTGCCGGCGAACAGCGAGAGGATTGACGGCAGGTTCTGGTGCGTTTGAGGTGAAGGTGAGGGTTCGCCGTCGGAGATTGCCTGCGGCTGCGACTGCGGCTGCGGCTGCTGTTGCGGTTGGTGTGGTGGGTTGTTTATTGGGGTTGGCTTGCTCGTCGGACTGCCTTTCGGAAGAGTGTCGTGGGGGCATGGATGTTACTGGGGCGACTTCATTGGCGATGCGAGCAAGCATGAAGGTGACGAAAGTGAAGGAGACGCTGTGGGCGGGGGAATATGCTAGGCTCTCTAGTACCCAGGCTTGGGATTCTTCCCAAGATAAAGGCGGCGCTTTTGTCTTTTCACGGGCGAGGATTTGCTGATCTAGATCAGACCAAACGGGAGCAGTGACTATCCCATCTTTCAAAGATCTAAGAAATACCAGTAAGGTCTCGCTTAAGATCTCCAGACGGTGAAGCGAGGATACTTCGGGTGGAATGACATGGTTGAAGGATTTGTTAGTGTCCAAAGCTTCCCGAATAGCTGCCAAGAGGTGAGAACGCTCTTCTTTGTCTGTCAGAGTCCATGACTCTGGTTCGAAAGGCCATGCAAACCCATGTGGCTCTCTAACCCACGGTGGAGAGTCTTCCGACTCGCCTCTGATCATGCTCCATTCGGCAATAGCACGTTCGGACAACTCCGATATCGATTCCGTCAGGCGGAAAAGCTCCCGCGGAGCTGACAGAGGGATTCCTACTTCGTCCTTCTGACGTCTCGTCATATCTGTAGCGGGCAATGTGCGCGCACCCGCTTCCGGCATGACGGTAAGTTCTTCCAAACTGCGACCAAAGCAGGTGGGCAACCACTCTCCATATGCAGGGATGAAATGATCTCGGCCGTTGGTCACCCGAAGGACCAAAACTTCCTCTAAGCTCAACTTTCCGTCATTGAGCAAACGTGCAAGCTGTATATCTTTGACACATGCAGTAACTTGAATACTGGTAAGTTCTCCAGGCAGTAATGTACACTCCTGCAAAGGTAAAGTAGATGGTTGATCTTCAGGGTTGTCGCGGTGCGGCGGTTCGATCTGATATTCAAGCCAAGACGGGTGATAATGACAGCCTTCTCCTTGTTCGGGCTTTTCGAATGAGAAAGTTGCAGGCACGCCGCTAGTGTTCGCAACTGTCAAAGATCGAGCGACGGATACATCAAATGGCACGTCACCAAAATCCAGTGCATTTGGATCGTTCGTCTTCTCCTTACTGGGCTCATGGCCGTGGCTGTCCACCACTACCGTCAAACCCGGTCGAGACTCATTTTCAGCCTTGTCCAGCTCTCGGACCACTTCCTGGTGAATCTTGGCCTTGAGTTGAGGGACAACTGATTCATAGGTTATAGTGAAGCCGGCTGCTAGAGGCTTGTGGTCAGATGAGAGGATTCCTTGATGCGAAATATAATAGTCAAGTCTAAGTGATTGGTCCGGATCACTCTGCGAGTTGAATGAAGCATCGTCACTAGCGTCATCTTTATCGGGGTCGTATTCGTCTGCACTGTCTGCGCCATCAACATCAGGATCATAGTCGAATAGAACGTTGTCATCTGCTGCAGCCTTATCTAGTCCCCTAGCTTTCATTTCTTCGTCCCGTTTCCTGGCTTCATCTGCTTCCTTGGCTAACTGTTCATGCCTTAACATATCCCTCCGTGTCCGATACAGAATTCTATCGCACCAACTAGGGCCCCGTTGCTTTTCACTAGAATCGAATTTGGCGACGCTTCCTACATCATACTTGTACGTTGGCAGAAAGGATATGCTACCTTCCCTCCATCCTTCGTGGAACGCCTTCTGCTTGCTTTGTTGCAGGCGAAGCTGATCATGCGGAAGTAAAGACGATATTGTAGTTTGCAAAGATGCAGGGTCTGTGTGGGGGTCCACGTCCTCATCGGAAACGGGCGGAGGAGCTCTACTTGTCTCATCCGTCCGTTTTGGTGACTCCTCTGAATCTTCTTCATCAGCCACATGTGTAGAGTTGTGCGTTTTATCGTACTCGTTCTCTGTATGTCGAGCAAGGACCTGACGCACGTCATCTCCAGGTATATCCTCTAGTCTATAATTAAGATCACCAAACCAGAAAGCGAAGTCTTCTTTGCCTATACTCTCGGTGGGCTCATCCCTAAGTGCACTTTCAGTATCGATCGGGTCAAACTTTGTGCGTTGGAGAATTTGGGAGGCGTCCCAGTTCCGTCGTTCCAGGCTGTTTTTATCCGACCCAGCTGCCAAATGAGAGTTGACGAAGACAAGACACGTAGTCTCGCCCAGCATCAGGCGCGTTACTGCAGCGCCTTTGTTTCCCATGTACCCGAACAGGCCTGTGCCTACATTGGCACAACTGACCGACGAGACAGTCTCGGCAACAGAAGGAGAGGCGTAAATCAACAGCAACAGCCCTACCAGTTGCGACTCTGCGACTAATTGGTAGCCTGACGGTAAAGCATTCTGCATCGCAGCTTTCCACCTATTCGCTGGCGCTGGATCAACGTAGGGCCTCAGGGCCTCCGCCGGGGAAGATATATCCACAATCTCTTGTAACCCAAGAACGTAGAGTCCTACCTGATCGAACTCAGATCCAGATTCATTCGGGTGATCATCACCCGTTTTAGCAGGGGCTTCTTCTAGGCCGGAGACTCGTAACCCGGCGAGCTGTTCGCATATCCCCTCCCGCTGAACAAACCACTTTCCGATATCTTCCTCCGTACCTTGAATGGCAGCCACATTCCACGTTCCAACTTTGACGCGAATAGACTGTTGAGTTATATACTCGGATTTCCTCGCTTTAACGGCCTGCGGGAGCGATGAGGGGTCGAGGGAGGCATCAGGAGACGATCCGTCAGAGTGCGAGTCACCTGCGCCGGCACCGACCGGCGACTGCGGCGCGCGCTGTTCGGTATCTGACACCATGCTGAAGAGAAATACTGGAATCAGTTATAATAGAAGGATTGGTTATCGCCTGCTGCAGGGCATTCTATAGAGGCCCGAAACCCCTCGGTAATCCGCAAATTAAGCGTTCACCTTGTGCTTTGGCAGCTTTTCAACAGCAGGCAGTGTGAGTAGGACAATGATCAATTGGAGCGAGGCGGGGCGATCAGAGGGTCATTACGACAGTACAGTAATTGCTGATAGAGCCAGTTAAATGCCAAGTGCCTGTGCGAATATCACGCGCCTCACTGGCGGGAAGTATAAGAGACAGTCAAGAGGGGTGGGTTTGCCCGCCAGTAGGATAGGTATGAGCCGATATGAATGACGACAACGATAAGAGGATCGCGCCGAAGCCAGATAACGCCGAGGCGTCTTCGAAGCGAAGGATTGGGCGGTAGACACAAAATTAGACAAATATCGAGCCTAATGATTGAATTGGACTGAAAGGATCAGGAGGAAGCAGAAGTGGTTGTGGATCATTTATCGTCAGCTGTGCTTTTGCTCTGACGAAAGCCCGTGGGGCTGCCGACCGCTTCCTAGAACGGAGCTACGATTTCATCCATTTAAATCACCCGAGCTTATTTGCGACTTTCGCTCATTCCTCCATACCAACACTTGTTATTATTGATTCCCTGTTAATTCATTCACTTGCTAACTACTGTCCCTTGGCTCTCTTAACCCCTGCCAGAAGCAGCCCATATTTATCTCCTCTTTCTCTTCCTTAAGCTTCACAATGTCAACCCGCAGACCCCGACGGCAAAACAACAACAATCACCGTCACAATCAGCCTCAACCCTCGGACTACGAATCAGACTACCAGAACTATTTCTCAGATACCCAACAACAAGAAATCAACATGCCACCTCCCCCAGTCCGCTCAAACGAAGAGCTGAACCTCTCCGTCCTCCACCGTCACAACCCCGCCATAACTTCAATTCTCTCCCTAGCGCCGTACGCCGTCATCTACATATTCAGCCCAACCACACGGCAGTGGGAAAAGAGCGGAGTGGAGGGCTCACTGTTCGTTTGTCAGTTATCGCAGGGGTCTCTAGGCGAAGAACGATACAACGTCTTCGTCCTGAATCGGCGGGGTCTGCATAATTTCGATGTTCCTCTGACAGAAGGGGATAATGTGGAAATTACGGAGGAATATGTGATTCTCAAGGTCGACAATGACTCCGGGTTGGGTGTGGATAATAATAACGGCATGAATGGGAAAAGCGCCGATCTTCGCATATACGGTCTTTGGATTTACTCCGAACCCCCTCCCAACTCTACGGCCGAAACGCGCAGTATCAATGCCCAGGTGATTCGGGAATGCGCCATACATGCAGGTCAAAGTTTGAAGCTGGCCCGCGAGCGACTGGAAGCTACTCGCCAGAATGGACTGCACGCTGCAGCCGCGGCTGCGGCTTCTACGGCTGACCCCGTGGACGAGGTGCAATCAAGTGTTGCCATGGGTCGTCAGGTTTCTTTGAGGGATCTTTTTGGGCAACAAAGGGCCCAGGATGATGGATGGAGCACAACGGCGCACCATGTCGGTCCCCAGGGATGGCCCCAGCCTGGGATGAGTGGTCCGATGGCGCAGCCGCAGCCACAACCGCAGCAAGATGTACTAGGCGATCTATTTAGGAGGGCCGGGTTAGCGTACCAGGGGGGTCCCTGATCGAGGAGCCCCCGCCATTGTCTAAGAGATGTCTGTTAGGGGCCTAATGTCATGACACTTGCGATACCCATGATATTTGCACAATGAGCGCAGTTTCCTTCCAATGAAACAACAGACAACCCTGCATTATAATATAAATTAGAGACAAGGTGATATAAAGAAGCATATCCCGTCTAAATACCCCTTGTCAAATCCAAAGAGCAAGTCTATAATTACCCCCGACATAGAATCACCAACAACAAACCATCCCTCCAAGCTCCATCAATCCTGGACTATATCCAACACCATATCGGCCACTTTCTTCGCCACAACGTCGCTATGTTCTACAAACCACCTACATCAGCAAACCCCACCTGCAAACACCTCAAAACAAGGAGACAGGGAACGGAACTCACTCAAAACAAAAGCATGCGGCAGCCCCTCCTCACAGACAACCATCTTCGGACCACGCTCCGTCTGCCCTCTCAACTCAACCACCTCATCTCTCGTCCGCTCCGCAACCCAATGATCATTCCGGCCAAAGTAGAAGAACAATCGAGTAACCGGATCCTTGACGTCCGACATGCCCCACACGTCGTCACTCCATTTATCCGATGTGATAGTCTGCATCTCATCGGCAGCCATGTGTCTAAAGCCCTGTTAGAATACTTTCAACCCCTCTTCAACACACTTCCCACTAGAAAATAGAGGAAACATACAAAGCCTGCTGCACACCATACCCGCTTTCCAAGAAAGCAGCCGTAGTCTCGACCATGTTATCCCGCGGCGACCCCATATAGAACCTAATCAGAGATCGTAAAAGACTACCCGGAAGCAGGGCCGTCAGGATGCGGACGAAGAAGCCCACTACAACAGCCAGCTGCGGGATAACAGATAGCATGCGCTGCGATAGATCCGATTAGCCTATGGGTTTCAAACAGCCCAGTAAAAGAAATAGACAATGTATACTCACCGTCAACTTCTGCCCGGAAGGCGACTTCGCAATATCAACAACAGTGGGAAATAGCATAACGCCGCCGATGATATCGAAATCAACAGAAGGCGATGTACCACTGGTCGAGCGCTCACGATGTCTCCGTAGGAGCTCCATGGCTATGTAGCTACCCACCGAATGGCCGATGAGAATCACTTTTGGTCTTGGTGATGGGACCCCGTTTGATGCTTTGCTGGAGTTGGTGAGAAACTCGTCTAGCTTGTCTTGGACAAAACAGATCTGTTCTTCCAGGTCATAGTATCTAGGTTTAGAGCCTGGTGCTTTGGTAAGCTCGAATCCTCCAAGACTGTGTCCGTAGATCTGGAAGGCATGGCTTTTTCTTGTCTGTTGTGTGGATTGTGTGTTTAGCTTGTCTGAGAGAACGGAGAGAAATGTGTGGTAGTACCCAATGAGACCTGGGTTGCCTGATATCATATAGATGGTGATGGGAGCTAGTGATGAGTCGGATGCGGACGATGTGTGGAAGAAGCTGTCCGCAGAAATATGGGGTTGTCGGGTGGAAGACATAGTGGTCAGGCACTTTCGGGTTAATGTCGAGGCTTTTAATATATTTTTATAGCCTATGCGTGTCGAATTGGCATATCTGAGGTGGTACATGAGTGGAATTCACTTATAAAAAGGGTATGGAGTTCGATAAATTGATTCGGAGAAATCGGAGTTCCCGTCATGCCTCGGCACCGATTTAGATTTCATCATCAAGCTACAAATTACCTATACCAACACTCTATTACAAAGTTTAAGACATTTGGATACGATATGTCGTTCTCAACAATAGTTCAGAGACGCGGTTCGTTATGAAGGTAGCGAGTTACTGTGCCGACAAGTATGTGCACTAATATCTCCTCAGAAGAATGCAAATATCAACTCTCTCGACAACCCGCTCCATCAAACATTCCCAATCATGATAAGGAATAGAAAGAAACGAAATCCTCCATACCAAGACCTCTGAAATGCAGGCATACGCACACAGTGATTCATCGCAATTCATCGCATCCAGCCAGACTCCATCCCTATCAACCAGAGCTCCTTAAACCCCATAGATAGACCGAAGAACAATACAGAAAGCTCCAGTTATGCCAAAGACCCAGGTGGAATAACACCGACCATCAGACGCAAGAGGCCGGCAGCATGCGCGCTACTTCCTCGCTTCTGATTGCATATCATTTTGTTTTTTTCGCCACGCATTGACAGTGCAAATGAACCATGAGGTGCGCAAAGGAAGGACACTCAAATAAAACAAGATTGGAGAAAGAAACAAACAGGACATGGTAGCTGTACACCAGGTCAAAATTTCGACGATGAGAAGGTAAGAACAAGACAGAAATCGCAGGCTTCAGAGCAAGTAGAAACCTAATACATGATATCTAAGAATGCCAAAAGAAAAGCACAAAGATGTATAGCAAAGGATGAGGGAATCATACAGAGATATGCAGTGAATCAGTAAAGGGAAAATGAAGAAATGAAAAAGACTAAACCATTACTTCATCTGGTATCTAGGAGATTCGCGGGAAATGCAGGTAGAACTCCAAGTACTCGGACAAACGAGGACGATGCTTGCGGGGAAACCCAGTCATGCGAATTCCATGAATGGCAGGAGAAATATCACGGGAGTATAGCTAACCACTTTCACCGTGGTTCTCGCCACGGTTCTCTTTCTCACTGCTTGGTGTACTTGCCGCAGAGTCAGTGGAATCCGTCTCTGATGACGGTTTAGAGCTAAGATTGATGGCTATCCTTTTGGGTGCTGTGCTGCCAGTCACGGTTCCCAAAATACTCTGAGTTGCCCCTTTTTCAGTAGCAGCTGAGAGCGACCCAATTGACACGCTCCTCTTCTTTCGCAGCATACCAGCACCCCCAGGACTGCCACTGGTTGAGCTCCTTCGTTTCGGTCCAGTACTGAGCTTAACCAGCTCATCATCGTCCTCCTCTTCACGCCGGCGCTTCTCTGACAGACGCTCCGGAGGCGTCTGCACGGTCGATGAAACCGGAGTCGACGGTGCGTCCACAATGGAGTCGGTAGCGGCGTCAAGGGTTGGGGTGCCTTCTTGCCGTACCAACTGTTGCTGCTTCTGCTCCTCACTATCCTCCGGCTTCGTGTCCATAGCATCGTCATCCTCATCGTCATCTGGATAGTCGACTAGAGGCTTGACCACTGGCGAGGCGGAACCGTTCTGCATCTGAGGAGCCATTGTTGCATTGGCCGCATTGTCATTTTGCCACTAGCAAAAAAGATCAGCACACTGATTGGTAATCATTAATAATGAGTATAAATTGTCTTACCTCTTCCTCATCATCAGATGTGTTGAAATACTCTTCCTCTGCCGCATCCATCTCCCTAACACCCTGCCAACGTTGTCCGTTGGGCGGCACTCGACGAGCTGTTATACCTTCATCTTGAGAGTAGAGAGTTGACTCAGCTTCTGTACCATAGCCCTGCATTTGCTCATAGCGTAGGATCAAGTCCTGGAATGTGTTGACATAGGTAATATTCTTGAGCTTTTCACCGTATTTCTCAACGACATGCAGAACTATCGGTTTGATATTTTCACGTTTGATGAATTCGAAAAGTTCGAGGCAAGCTGAATTAAGGAGGTTATCGCGTGGCATTGTTTCATAGACAATGTCAAGAATCAAACCAAACGTGTTGTTATGTGTCATCAGGGCTTGGTAAAATGTGTCTTGGAGGCTAATTAATGTACGGAAAAATTTCAATGCGACTTTGGCGAAGGTAAGCAGTTAGATAGAAACTTCTGTACACGATTTCGAATAGGTCAACTTACTCAGCTTGAGGTGCTTCTGGGGCACAGTAAGTAACTGAGCAACTCTGGGAGCGAGTGCTTCATTATGGATGACAGCACGACTTCTGTACAGATGTTGACGGACAAAGAAAGTAAGGATATCAACAAGATGGGCATACAAGGCCACCTCTTGAAACCTGAGGTCGCGAACTAAAGAAGTGAAAGAGAATTAGCCGCGTGAACAGACTGAGGCTAATGTAGACCAACAATACTTACGGCTGGCGCGGTTCTCAAGGCGTTTTAATGGCATGAATAGCCTCTTTGCAGACTCATCAAAGTGGTTTTGAACAAAAGCATCAGAGAGAATATTAGGACGTGGCTTCGAGTACTGTTCGGGTCCAGCCCGACCCATCGTGTCTTGCAAAAGAATCTGGGGATCCAATAGAACCTTGACTGCATCTGCGAGTTGATTTTTAACACCGAGATCCGACTCTAAGTGAAGTAAATCAATCAACGTATCAGTCAGCGGCGTCTTCTTCTCATTGACGGCCTTGAGCATATAACCCCGCATCATGAGAGGATCATGGTCAAGCAGTGCAACTAGAATATCAATTCCAGTCGTGCGCATAGCGGGGTTAGGGTGCTTAATAGCGAAGGCGATCACAGCGAAAAGGCCATGGCTAATGAAGTTTGCGAAGAGATTGGCGCGCGCCGGGGCTTGCAGGTTTTTGGCAATAGATGCACATTGGTGGAGGAACTGCACTGCATCCTCCTTGCGCTTTGCATCGGTATTTCTCGGATCAAACACCGTGAATAATTCCTTCAGGAAGGGGCCGTTTGACTGGATATGATTTACGATCTCGACCTGGTTAAAAAAGATCAACGAGTTGAGGACTGAAAAAGTTGGGTCGTCTAAGATCCGGGCCAAGACCACATCCTTTAGATACTGCAAGCGCCAGGTGTACCGGATTTTGCGACGGATGAGGGCGTCTTTAATCGGGACCACCTCTTTGTAGCGTGACTGGTCTGCGAGGTATTGCCGATGGTTGGCTTTGTGTGTCGGAAACTCGGGGTCGTCTGGGATTTCATCAGCAATCGCACAATAACACAACAAACCCCATGTCACGTACATTCCAACGCCCCCACAACTCCTAGAATAATGGGGTCCGTAACGACGGTCTCGATAATGGTGTTGTCATTGAGAAGGATGAGGGATTTCATGATATTGCAGAGACGGTGTAGGTCCGGCAGGCTCTCGAGATCTTCTGCCACTGTGACCAATGGTATGAGCTTTGTTATATACTCTTCCCGAATAACAAACTTCGACAATGCGTCTCGGCCGGCTTGTGTCATGCTGGCTGCTCTCATGACATGGTCAATTTCGGGGAGGTTTCCGAGCTCCGGAGCGGGTAGCATTATAGATTGATATGTTTCGAGATCGTCGGAAAAGGCATCGTCTAGGGAAGAGCCCCTGGTCAGTAACGAAAGTCCACCAATCTGCCAATGACAGACGCAATAGGAATGCCGGGTGTTTACCTGCTGCTGCCAGGTTCGTAAGGTGTTGTTGAACGCCATTGACAAAATTCCTTTCGCGACCGTTGTCAGCCAAGAGAAAAAGGACACTGAGTCACAATGTCCAAGCGATATCCTACCAAATCACGGCGCAACCCTCAGGCTCCTGGAAGCTCAATGCCATATCCGTCCCATTGGGTTCCGTCCATACTATCAGGGTCTCTGGTAGCGTCGCACAAACGTTAGTATCTTCCCCGTTTGAGTTTGCGATGCGGAGGGCGATGGGAGAGTGGAACCTTGCTGTTTCTGGTACCCGTCGTCTTTGGAGATTTTTGTCTCCAAAAGTACCCGTTCGGGTTCATCTTCAGATTCGACAAATATTCGCGGTTCATCCTGCAGGAAGATAGAGTGGGGATGTCAGCGACCGGGATGAATGTTTGAGAAAGCGCGACCCGTAGCGTTTGCGCCCGACGACCGATGTCGCGCTGGACGGACGATCCCCCATGCGATGAAACTTACGTCCAGGATCTGACCAGTACAGAAACCAGTACCTCTATCAAACCAGTCGTTATCCCTCAGTTCGTAGACCTTGACTCGTTTGCGATCGCTGGGCGGTTGCACCTCCAACGCCATGATCTGGCAACAGGGGGGAGGTGGCGTCTCGTCACTCCGGGACAACTCAGGAACGAGTGCACCGGCGCGCAGAGAGGCCCGAAGTTGCGGGAAGGATAAGAGTGAACCGCTGCCTTGTCCGGATTGGACGAGGGGTTGCGGACGGGATTAAATGGAAGAAGTATGATGGGGGGGGAAAGAATTGTGATGGGGATGATGAGAAAGAAGGACGGATCGGAAAGACGAATAGGTCACAGGTGATAACGGGGATGGCACACTTTGCTGCTTCTGCTGCGAATGATGAAAGATGATCTGAGTTTGGGTCGGGACCACCTGACGGCCTCGGTAGCGGTCGGCCGCTATTTTTCTCTTCCCTTTTTTTTTTTTTTTTTTTTTTTTTTAGAGACCCTTTGGATCTCGCTCTTCGCTTTTGATAATATATAAATTACCGATGTAAGAATACTTTTATTTTCTATCTTTTTTTTTTTTTTTTTTTTTTTTTTTAAATATTAACTATTGGGGTTGGCGGCGCGCAAAACTGGAAAATCAAAACCAGCACAAGCACACGCGACCGAAAAAGGGACGAACACCAAAAGAGCTGAAACTGCCGTATTGATTTAAGGTACCCAACCCTTGCCTGATCGGGTGTGGGGTTCAGCGTCGAGATTGTTGAAAATCTCCGGATCTACTTTCTACAAATAATCAGGAAAAGAAAAGAAAAACCAGTAAATAAGAAGATAAGAAAGAGCCAAGTATATCTGGGGGGCCCCGGTTTAAGGTGAAAGGAGGATAGTTTGAAGCACTGATCGAACAAGGTGGTTTCGAGACAGGAGAGAAGCCGGCAGACTACGGGGATCTGCAAGGCAATGAGTGGATGAAATGACGTGCACCCGCGGTATTCACACCAGCACCAGAATAGCAACCATCTCGGAAAATGGTATAAATTCAAAACATTAGAAATAAAGTAAGGACAAACATGAAGCATGCTCCCCTGAGGGAAATTAAAGAAGACGATCTCCATGATTCATGTATGTGTACGGAGTATATATCGATAGTACAGTACATTTAACCTATGATTTGCAACTATAATGGTTCCTCAGTTAATTATAGCTATGCAATATATATAATATTAGATCCAACAGGACTGAGTATCATATATTGTGCATAATTAGGATGTGCCTATGTGTATGTGTGTATTGTCAGACATTGCTCAGGGGTGGGTAAAATAGAGTAAAGACGGCCTAGGCCATGTTGATTAAAGGCTATTCCCGTTCTGCCTTATATAGAACCTTACTTGTCAGCTAAGAATAGCAGGGTAGGCCTCTTTTTGGAAACTTCCCCAACCCAAATCCTTTCCCCGCCTTACCCATGGAACCTCAATGGGACAACTCAGATTCACCATGGCCATTAGTGGGGTTTCAAGTTATCCAGTACGAAAGAACTGAATTGTTTGAACAAGATGTTTTGAAACATAGCATCTCACGTTGCATATACTAGTTGTATCCGTGAATGCTTACCATTGATGGTGGCTTACGTCTAAGCATGCACAGGGCATCTACTACTACCACTACCTCTGTCCATCATCACCCTACTTCCCTACCACTCTCAAACATCTTTACTTTTCGCTGGCCAAAAGACCAGAGTTACATTAAGTCTTTTGAGCACGAGTCTCCTCCCATCTGAACAACCACTAAGGGATGGGGAAAGAAAGATAGCGGGGTGAGTTTTGTCGTTCCTGAAGGAGTTGCCAGACTGATACTCAAGACGATACCCAATAATATATACCCCCTTTCCATCACTTCAAAAATTCTTCTGACTTCAAGGTTCAAGCTATGACTTTTTCCAGAAAAAAGCGGGACTGTAGCCGATGAGGTCATTGCCACCTTATTTTAAAGTCTATTACTCATGGCCTGAGGTATCAACATTCAGGTCATGTGAGCATGCCGAAATGATATCATAGCATGTTGCCTTCTATCCTGGACAGGATTCCTTGACATTTTGCGACAAATGAACGGTGAAGCATATGGTTGGCTTTCCTTGTGGGCAAGCGATCCATGATGATGCTTAGCGCAAGTTGAGCAAATTGTGTACAGAATTTGACCGACTAATCCACGCAAGCACAGCGTTCGCACTTTCTCCCTTGCTTGTAATGGGTAGCTCCTCACCTATAGAGAGCTCTGCAGCATGCTCATCACCAGTGATCGCGACCAGGATTAGTAGTAGTGGCATACTGGTAACTACCTTGTTAATGGAATATTGGGGTCTGAGCGTTTTTCCATCGGGATATAAGGTGTGTGCTCTGTTCTTCCGCCCGCCAAACTGCCGGGCTTCCCATTCGCTGATTGGTCGCCAAGGATGAACTGGCGTCGGACAGATCCGCCCCATCCACTCGCATTGAAATTAGCTAATTACACAGTGGGGTAGCCGTGGCAATGATTGGCCAGGACTTCCACGAGGCCTCCCGAGCGGACATCGTCCAATTGACGGGGCCACTGGCGAAAATTCCCCAATCAGGATAGGCTCAGTTCTTCCGCCGCCTGGACCTTTGCCCACGAGTTTTTTTTTCTCTTCCCTCCTCTCTGTTCTACACAACTTTGTCTTCACCTCTTCCGAGTTGATACATTCAGAGACCATAGGCGAGCGACTTCCGGGAGTTTTGCGCTCGTTCAGGTCTTCAAAAGCTCCCATTCACGCTTATCTACCCATACCCCACTATCTCGACCCTGCGAGAACCACTCTCGACAACGTTTAATTTCACCTTCTCAGAACTACTCGGACAGTCAGTACGCTGGTCTCATTATGTCGGATGCCAAAGATCAAATTACCGTTCAAGCGTCGGCCGCAACTCCGCACGATAACTCCTCGATTGCCCAATTTCCGAAGGATGGTACTTCGGCGGGTGTAGATGCAAATGTCCGTGAAGCGGACTCTGCCTCCGAGGAGGCTCCTGCGGACCAGATCGACAAGAAAAAGAAAGGCTTCCTTGCGTATTTTACGACAAAGGAGTTCTATATCATTCTGATACTTGGGTAAGTTGCGACATTTTCTGGTTCCTTGGTCTTGACGGCCAGTAGCTTACGTCCTACAGACAGATCTTGGCAATCACGAATACAGCTACTAGTACTTTCAGTACACTCCTTTCAGATAGAGGCACCTCGATTCCGGCTTTCCAGACTTTCTTCAACTATGTACTGCTGAACATCATGTTTACCCCGTACACGATGTACCGTTACGGCATTAAGGGCTGGGCCCAAATGGTGTGGAAAACCGGCTGGAAATGTACGTGAAGCTCCACATTGCTGTATATGGGACCAGCTATATCTAACTATCTGACCTTGTGCGATCCAGATATCATCTTAGCATTTTGCGACGTCGAAGGCAATTATTTCATCGTGCTGGCATACCGATACACAACTATGCTTAGTGCCCAGTTAATTAACTTCTGGGCCATTGCAGTCGTCGTCATCATCTCGTTCCTATTCTTACGCGTCCGCTATCACATCACGCAAGTTCTGGGTATTTTGGTCTGTATCGGTGGCATGGGCGTCTTGATCGCATCCGACCATATCACCGGCACCAACGGCGGCGATGTTAGCAGCGGCGACCAACTGAAAGGGGACCTTTTCGCCCTCCTGGGCGCAACTTTCTACGGTCTCGCCAACACCGGAGAAGAGTACTTTGTCAGCACAGCACCCGTCTACGAAGTGTTGGGCCAGATGGCGTTCTGGGGCATGATCATCAACGGTGCCCAGGCCGGCATTTTCGACCGTGCTTCGTTCAGGACCGCCACCTGGAACAGCGAAGTCGGTGGTTATCTCGCCGGATACACCCTTTGCCTGACCTTCTTCTACTGCATGGCTCCGCTCCTCTTCCGGTTGTCGTCCGCTGCTTTCTTCAACATTTCCATGCTGACCATGAACTTCTGGGGCGTCATCATCGGCATCAAGGTCTTCCATTATACCATCCACTTCATGTATCCGATCGCCTTCGTGCTTATCATCGTCGGTCAGCTGATCTATTTCCTCGGCCGTCGGGTCCTGGGCGAAGCGCGCAAACCTTGGCTGGGTAAGAATCAGGAACGTGGTGTATCGGGTCTGTTCACTGCGAAGAGAATGATCGATACTGAGGCTGTCGCGCCTAATCATAATCCTAATTTTACGACTCATGATTCTGCCACGGCCAATAATGATCCTCGCACGTCACATACTAGTCCAGTTTAGGGTGGCGTTTGGGGGTTTGTTATCGTTTCTTGTTTTGCGAATACTTCTTTTTATTTTTCTTCATACTCGGGCTCTAATTCTGCTCTATATCTCTCTCCATCGTTCTATGATCTTCCTATAACTGCTATTGCGCTGAGGTGTGGTATGCTATTGTGCAAAAGTTACTGTTTTTCCATGTCATCTTCGTTTTTCCAACTTACTGCGGTCTCTATATCCTCTGGCATATATACTAGAGATAGAAAATCCAACATTATATCAGACTTTGGTACAATTCAGAAGCAAAATCCCTTGTGTCTACTGTGACTTAATACCGCAACATCAGATTAAATGGGTGGAAGACGTGACTTCGTATCATGAGATATGTCAAAAAAGAAACCAGACCTGCATAGACAGAGATGGGCCGAATGGATTGGAGAATAAATATATGAAAGCAGAACACACGACAAAACCAATAGGAAACCAAAGTCAATATGAATATCCAAGATGACATACCAGAACCTTAAGTGCAGATCAGACTCCGATAACTCTTTATGTTTCCCTGCTCCCCCTATGTTCCGATGCCCATGCCCCAAGATAGAAGAAACAAGGTGACAGAAGAAAGAAATAGAAACTCAACCTTTTGGTGCCCGTACCTATCGCAAAATTAAAGAATCGCATGCTTTGGCCAAACTCACAACCCGAACGATGACATGTAACACCGGAAACCTTCCCGAATGAGCTGGAAACAAGAGCCCGAGACATACACTCACAAGCATGTAAATACAAACCCCAACCGAAGAAAAAAAGAAAAGGCCCAAATGCCAATGAAATAGCCAAAGTGAAACACAGAACAAATGCAAGGACAAAGCCACAGAGACCAAGTTACCAGACATAGAAATAAACGATAAACGAACTCAAAGATGCCAAAAGCACACCAAGGGGGGGAATACCGACTCCAGTAACCAACAGGCCAACCAAGTTCCATAGTCAGTAAACCAACCTGTACCAATTAAACTGTCCACATATGACGGAGCGCTAAACAGAACGTATTCTTGCACCACTTCTCCCATATATGTACCATGCTCTTTCCCAAGATTTGAATCATAAATAGAACCCTCTCTTATAACGCCACGACATAGAAGCTAACGCATATTGAATGATGAAGTAAGCGTCAATCGGAGCCGAATCGTTTGTTTCGTAAATCAACCCCAGACGGAAGCTTGGACGCCCAGTCCGTTCTTCGATCCCCAAACGCCGCCGCCATTACCCCAGCCGAGTGCCACACCACCGCTAGACTCTTTCACACCGGGAGTTCCGGCAGAAGCGGAGGTGGAAGGGTTCGAGGCCGACGAGGCCGAACGATCATTGGTTGCGCCTGCGTCACCTGGTGTGAAGCCGAAACCAAGAGGAGATGGCAGGGGTGTCGTAGAGCGTTTGTTCAGAGCCGGGTTGGCAGCCTGGACTTGACCCGCTGGCTGGACCGGGCGAGAACCGATAGGGCCCACGGAGCCAATGGGACCGCTGGCTGGCTTCGAATGCGCCTGCCTCGCGGAGGGCGAGTCGGATCTTCCGGGGGACGAGGTCGAGGTCATCGGTTGCTCGGCGTTGTCATACTTGCCGAAGACAGGGTTAATGCCCGAGCTAGGCGACGACGTACTGGTCGCGCGAGAAGGGGATTGAAGAGACGCGCCAGCTTGAGCAACGTTATCAGTACTACCTTGGACCGGGGTCTGGGCCATCCCGAAAGGATCAACACCACGCGGGGACGGGCCACGGACACCAGTGGCAGATGTTGGGGTACCGCCACCGTGGCTCTCAGATCGTGGGTTGTCATCCGCAAAGCTGCCAGGAGGGAAGAAGGCGGGGCTTTCGTTGCCGTACAAAGCCCTATGTTGGCGAGCTAGGAGTTCTCGACGGCTTTCTTCGCTCATGGCGGCCGGACTGAGCGAACGATCGGACTTGTTTCCAGACATTTCGGCAAGCAGGCCTTTGAGAAAAGAAAAGAATATTAAAACTCATGTTCAAGAAAGGAACCACGTCCCAATGTATTATACAATGCAACCGATACATGTGGGCAAAGGAAGAAGTCATGGGGAATATTGGAGAAAGAAGCCAAAAAAAAGAAAAAAAAAAAAAAGCTCCAAAGGCAAATGCTACCACGTACTTCGGTTGTACTGTTGCTCCTGGTGATAGTTGCGGAGCTCCCTTTCACGCTGTGCCGCCATCCGACGCTTTGCTTGCATCATGTGCTCTACTTCATTTGGGCGTCCCTGAAAACGTTGGGAGGCATAGAACCCCTGAAGGTTGGGGTTCGGGTGCATCCTGGCTCCGTCGAAGTCGCTAATCGAGTGGTGACGCTGGGACATGGTATTGGACACACGGGGATCTGCAACCATGTTTAGATATCGATAGGTGACAACAAAGCAGTCTAAGGTTTCATACCGTAGTCGGGAAATGGGCGGCCCATCATCATGGGCATCGAGTCCCTCCGAGGAGCAGACCACAGTTTTCCGCTCTTGACAAGGTTGTCAATAGCACGATCCACCTCTAAGGAAAGGAGTCAGCAATTGTTCGACTCTGTTTCTTCGGCGACACGGAGAGTGTCGATAACAATCCACGGTAACCAGCATGACGTGATATATGACCAGATCAGGAAGCCCAACCAAAAACCACCAATAGCCGGTATTTCGCAGATTGTCCTTCTCAAGCCCATGTCGGAGCAATGATAGAATAGGGAAGTCACGGTCATACCGTCAAACTGAGAGGAAAAGGCAGGAACTTCGTCGCGTTGAGAGACGGAGCTCGATCCTGAAAGTCGGAGCATTAGCTTCACTGTATGAGGGCAAGAGCACCATCGCCCAGGTTTATGATCAAACCATACCCGAACGAGATGGGGGAACAGGTTGCTCCCAAGATACCTGGCGCGCAGCGGGCGCCTGCCAACCTTGAGGTTCGTAGTAAGACATATTCACCGACAAGAATCGCGACGATCAACGGAATGGAAGCTGCGAAGGTTGATGGTCCGCTCGGAGATGATCAGGGGAGACTGTTGAAAAGTGAGGGTAAGCGTAAGCTCCCGGGCTAGATTAAGACAACATGGAATTGAATGACAAGATATTGCGGATTGCAGCGGAGGTTCCAAATAGATGAACCAGGTGTGCGAGCGATAGAGAGAGAAGGCGCACGGTGACCAACGATGACATTAATCGGACTGATTTTAGCATGCGGAATGTTTCTTCAAGCACTCCGTATCAGAAACTTTTTTTTTTCTATGATTTCTTGGCTTCTCTCTCTCGACCGACAGCGAACACGAACGGAATCATTTGGAACACCCCGACTGCAATAAAATTAGGGGAAAGAGTTGCGTCTTTTTTCAAATGAAAGAGCAAGGGGTCTTTTTTTTTCTTCTTTCGTCTTTATTTTCTTTTTTTCTTGAATAAAAGCAAGAACTTCTGTGAAGGCGGGTTGACATGCGCAGCCCAAAATGCTCATGCGTTGTTCGGTAAGGGAGTGGACTTACAAAAAAAGGAGTGATTATCCTCCCAACAAAAGATCCGGACGGCTCTACCACGAGTGAACGAGGCAGAATGGTAGCAATAGACAGCGACTTCTCACCCTAGAGGCACGACAGACGAAGAGTCTGGCGTGGGGAAATCAAAGGGGCTGAGAAGGTGTGAAAAGGGAAGAGGAAACCGGGGAGGGGAGGGTAAGAGGGAGGGAAGGCGAGAGAGGGTGAAGGATGAAGTGGTCGGGTAACAGAGCAGGTGCGACAAGCCAAAGTGAGAAACTTGGACTTGAACTGGACTGGACTGGACTGGACTGGGGCCGTGAGGGGACAAGAAAGAGGGGGAGAAAAGGAAAGAAACGAAAAAGCGCGATTGTTTCCTTCTGTCTGTCTCTTTTTTTTTTTCCTTGACCGGGGATAAGAAAAGATAGAGATTGTTTTTCGAATTACTGTACAGTATTACGGAGTTGGGCAACGCTCCAGACTCGAAAAGGAAAAATAGGTATCGCCCTTTGAAAAGAGAAAAATTAAATAAAAAACTGAAAATTGAAAATTGAACAGCAGATAGGAAGAAAAATTACCGCCCACCTTGGGAGAAAAGCACACAAACACACTTTCTCGTCCACACCACAACACACAATCAATCCACCAGTCCCGAGAAATACAAAATTATTATTAACAATAAAAAGAGCAGGGTGGGCATCGGATGGATTTGGCTTGTTCTGGTTGGTGATGGAGACCCGGCTTGTTGAATCGCTTCTTCCCGGTCCCCATTTTTTTTGCTGGTAATTAATACTGTGAACTCTTACCACCTCTCCTTAACCCGTCTAGTCACCTGCTATTCTCCTCCCTCTACTCCAGGGAAGGAAAAGTAGTTTAGGGGTTGGTTGAAAGTCACCATATACTCCTCCATTGTAGGTAGAACTACCATGAAGTACTGGAATAACCTCTTCTGTTCCTGATATCTCATGATCGGATTTATAAGGCAAATGCTCGGTGTTCCCCGGGACCGTTCCACTTGTATCAAGAATCGGTATCCATCCGTACAGTTCCTGTACCGAGTGAAGATATCTACCTTCAGAAGAACAAAATAATTAATTACCCTAGACAGTTAAGTCTTCAGGATTAAGGGGGATTATGATTCCATGAGTCTGCTGATATGCCTAATTGGAAATAGATGAAATCATATTCCGGCTCAGCAGTCCTATGAAAAGGCATCATCCCAGAGAAGCCGCTGCACAATGGCGTATGGGTTGTCTGAGGGTTAGCCGGTAACCGGAGATTATTCTTGGGTGTAATAATCTGTCTTGTTTCTTAGCGCGGCCCGTCAACCTTTTTGATAGAGACCGTCCCACCACCTCTTGAGGTAGTACTTCTCCGAAGTAGTAGAGTACTACCAAAGTACTCCTATCTGGGTATTATCTCTTGTGAATATGATTAGATCCGAAAGACATTGTGAGTAGCACTATTCTCACCTTGTCTCAGTGATGATGCGACACATCGACACTAGAGAAGATTATCTGGTACTTTCAATCACTCTGACAAAGCTATTCTACCTCGTGGGGGTGGGAATTGAGGCATTTCTATGCAGAGTTGGGAGGACTTGGGGTCGATACTAGTATTAACTTTGGACTCCTTCAAAAATGAAGGTGTGATCGGGACCAGAATCTGTACCGTACCGTAAAGGGGTGCCATCCAAGGTCATACAAGTACTACTAGGTTGTAGTGGGTATAGTCCATTCATATTTCTATTGATAACGAACATAATTAGTGATGAAAACCCAAATTGACTTCCACATTCCTCGTGGGGATTAAATTAGAACTCCAGGGTACGCTACTTTGAGTTTAGCGCCAGTCTCTTTGCGGGTCGCATCTCAGTTGGTTCCAAAGACTTCAATTGTCTGCGACTCCTTTAAAGCTTGAGCAATGTTTTGTCTGAAATCCATCTGCATTCATTGTGTAAGGATGTGCACTGTTTCCTATGTTCCATGATGATCTGCAATGGCCTCTTCCCGATGTATGATGGCAGCCCGGCTATGTTTGCTTGCCTATTCCAATTCTTTAGATTATGAGAAGGTATATTTTTGCCCACGGATGGGCGAAAACGCCGCTTTGACAACTCCCGCATGTGAGAGGGCCACTATACGGGTCTTGCACCCGCCAAGCTCCTCTTCATTTAGCAACTGGGTAGGGTTTTACATTAATCTCAAACAACCCCATTGTGCATACTAAATGTCTGTAACTGAAGGCAATGTCTAGTCACTTACCTGGCAATGTAAACAAGTGCGATGTATATTTCATTTTAACATATTACTATCTATACACAGCTCAATCGGCCATCGTCCAAATCTGCTCCGAGGCTTCTGAAGATAGGAAGTTGTTTTATATCGTGAGCTATCATAGCGTAGACTTTAATAAGGCAACTAGTTCACCAGAGCTCACCGACCTTGCAGGTTTCGCATATATTAAACTCAAACGTAGGGCTACTCTACGTTTCAGATGTATAGCAACTGAAAGAAAGAAGGCTACTAGCAAGACGCGCAATCAGCTCCGCCCCACGAATAGTCAAACTGATCTTGAGGTAGCTCTGTGCTGAGATGCGCTCATTTCTAATCAGCAAAGTCCCCGGTAGTTCAATGAGACTAACCGCTGCATACATCTGACCTACCTTTGAGTTCTTTTGAATACTCCTTCGTTGGTTGCCCTGGGGGCTAGTCAGATCGTCAACACACATGGAGTAAGGAGGCTGTCCCTTGTACAAGACTTCGGCACCCGCTCTGATACTATATCTTCCAGACTTCCTCACACATTCCAAGGTTGGCTTCCCTATTGAGATTTATCGACCAGAGAAAACTTCTCTAGCGCTAACAGGCATGGAGTACTACGCCTAACTTCCTGACAGCATTTTTGAACTCTTCGCCCCGTGCACGGTTCCGAGCGGGTCGGCACGCAGATGAAACGGTCATCTTAAAAATGACACTGGGAACAGGTGCCAGCTTGCCTAATGAGCCATGAGATTGAGATCAAAATTTTTTGACTGTGCCAAGACAGACGTAGTCTCTGAAAAGCTAGAACATGGCTGATCCCTACGTCTCGGTCCCACCTGAATGTGAGACCCTGGCAACATAACAAGCCGTTGCGTGATGATCATCATGGATATGTCCCTGCGTATACACTATTCTGGATCGGAGCTAACGAAGGAACCCATACCCAGTGCAATGCAAACAGTATTAAACGGTGTAAGAGCTGACTAGCCAATTATCTGTCTTGCCATCAAATTTTATAAATATACTCCACGGCCACTCAGACGCCAATGCAAATTGTCTATTTCCTACTTCTCCAAGTGGCCATCTTGCTGTATTTGAAATATTAGAGATAAACTATCCAAAGCGGCAGTGTTCTGCCCGACGGCCTACTACTGGAATAGTAATAGGGGGTTCATCAGCTCGAGGATCGCGTGCTTGCGATACTGTTGAAATAGCAGTCCCTATAGATCTGATTTTACTTATCTGCTATAGTGTGTCTTGACAGTAGCAAATGTACTTACAGATCTGTTTGAAGGGTATCGTCGAGGCTGGGACTTTGGAAGGGAACACTTGACGATGGACGTTACAATCGCATCATGGGCTCAACCCACTCAATATAGTTGAGATTGTCAATAATGTTCTACGTGTTAGCTGGAGTAGTTGCTATATCTTATGACTTGTATTCTGATGTGTATGTATTCATTTCACTAGCCTTTCTAAAGATATTAACTTCGGGTAGATCATATCTGTCTCTCCCCTCATTCAAATGGTATCAAGCAAGAAACCTTGACGATGAGTGAATGTTACATTTACGTGAAGCTTAGAGAAGTCTAATCTTTGGAATCGTTGGAAGGGGGAGTTGGTATGTTGAAGAGCGAGCTAGCTATTTCAATATGCCCTCATTCCTGCACGATGCTCAGTTAGAGAATAGCCCAGCAATTTTTAGTGTAAGTCTATATCGGCCTATAATAGCTCAATTTCTTTATTGGCTCATGGCATGAAAAAGAGCCAGAACTACATGGGTACACAATGCCTCCTGCAGTTTCAAGGGATATTGAAGCTATATCTACTCTTTCAAAATAGGTATAGACTCCGCAGTATTCAATTTCCTCGCACAGAGCATATCATCACGATTCATCCTCTCCCATGACATCTGGGACATCTACGCCACGTTCTAATGATAACGATGGGAATAGGACATTTATGGGGGCCCTAGTTGGTGGCGTAGGAGTGGAGTTAGTTATCATCCTGGCTATCCTCTTCCTTGTCAGGAGGCGCTGCCGAAGGGCAAGTAGCAGCGAACACACTTCGGGAGTTAAGACTGTCCTACGAGTAGGAAGCCACTCACGAGAAGTAGAAGATATCACACCATTAAGAGGACTTGTTGAGCCTGTGGCGCGGAGCTCGCCGTCATACGTCCACAGCTAGTATTATCCGCACAATCGTTGATATGCCACTTTTCGCGAGATTCAAACCTATCAAAAACGCAGGTAAACTCAAGGATAGATGATATATTATGGAGCATAAATACGTTTTCCTTGATATGTCTGCGAAAGGTACGACGCATGTATGTAACCTAGCTAAGCTCGATCCTTCGTGGACATTGTAAATTGTTTGCCTTCTAGTGCCTGGGGCTCATAAATCACCAAACCCCTTTTAACTCACAGGATCACCAGGAGAAATTCAATACTCTGCTCCCCGTGCCTCTCAAGTACCTCTCGGAAGTCACAATACTTGAGCCCCACTGTAAGTCTGTATACGGAGGGAGCATTGCTCTCAAACGCTATTATAAGCTCTGACGATAGCATACATTTAAGAAGCAAAGTATCATCAATACTGACTTCTGGCTAGCACCGACATCTAGTTTTGCTATTTTGACCAGAATATACAGAATAGTACATATAGAAATATCATTTGGGACGCACATGACGGACACGTCTTGTGCAAATATACAGGTCAAACTAGTAACCACAAAGATGGCACGATTGATCACTTTCAAAGACGAATCATGATAGAAGTGATATGCACTGCGCAATGGAAGCTATGTCCACCGTTAATGTTTACGCTCAATTTCCTTACCCCAGGTCAACAGTGGTTTGTTCTTCAACCTTGCTTTCGTGTTATGGCCCTTGATATGCTGCCGTAATCGACATGATCGAATGTAAACAGGTGGATGTTATGGATTGGTAGTAAAAGGCAAATCATCTCTACGAGGTTGGTATGACTCCGCGCAACTGTTTACAATTGGCGACTCTTCAGCATTGGTGCATGGCTGCTATAGCTACGGACACTACTTCATCATATTCTTCTTTTGAAAAGACTTAATCCGAATACGACGGGAATAGGAGCGTGGTTTGAACGCGGTAACCTTCATGATGGCAAAGGCATCATCATCTGGATATCAGCACCCACCCATCGTAGCCAAAATGCATGCGAGGAATAGCAAGCCGCCTTCGACATCGGGGACCAATATGGAAACGTAGCCTCGATCTCGACGAAAATGATTCAAGCAGTCACTTCTACCGTACTTTGTACTGCAACCTGGCTTCTCTAAGCAAACTGTGTATAAAGGATAGCATAATGATTGGCTCGTCCCATGAATACCACATGCTGATCAGTATGGATTCGAGGGATTTCCCGGAAGTAGCACAGTATCCGATGTAGAAAGCCGAGGGCCCACGTGATGTATTGACAACAACGCCTTCGGACTGTGTTTTACTGGTGCATCACTTATTTGATGTATGTACATCTTCTGGACATCCGTGGTGTGCACCAAGCAGTCTTACACTGCGACTCGCGGACATAAGCTACTTGTCACCCTGGTTCTGAAACCCAACGCACCTCGCTGATATTCTGAACTTCCCAGGAAAGACATCCTAAAACGCTATCTCTTAATGGTAGGGCGCGATACCAAATCATGTAGGAAGAATAATAGATGAGCTCACCATTCACGCGCGGCCTTATTTAACATGTCAGTCCCAGATGCTTTTCTATGGACGATGACTCCAAGGTCTTAAGCACCTATGGTCTGCATAATCGTATTTAGCCAGGAGCCCGATATTAAGAGGTGGGAGGAGATGTGTCCTCAGGCCCCCTACACTTAGCCTGAAAATGCGATCTACGTTCACCAATCATAATCTCATCGTGAGTTTCCTACAGTGTCACAGGTACCTGGAGGTAAGGTGGACTTTCTGCTTATACGGTCACTAGTGCGAAAGCCAATCCTTGAGTCTCGAGGGGTCTGCCCTCTTTATAGAAGAATGCCGGACCGATCGGAAGAATTAAGGGTTCTATGTTAGGTCCCAACGCTATTGTTGTGATGATCCGGCTATTATTGGATGATATGCAATATGCAGTAGTACTACGGATGCTGACGTACCCAAGGTACTAGCGACCACCTGCATCAAGCTGCCTGCCACCTTACATGCATATTGAGCGAGGCCTGTAAGTCAACGTGGCTGTTACACTTGGCTTGAGGATATCTTGGAGTTGGTCAGATCGCCATTCATTTGTTTCACGATGACCCGACATATACAGGCGTCGCTATCCAAGTCAGAAAGTCAATTTAGTATTTTTTGACAGCTGACAAGCAGCCCTCGCCAACGGGGTCTATCTTTGGCCGGTCAAAGTACGCCCATCACGTCCACGCACGGAGCTTGGAGTAAACGTCTTATCACCCCGGTGGCTTGGTTCCCGCTTTGTCTTTCTTTGAGGACACGCTCCTATGACCGCCCGGACCGGGTTAGACTTTGGCAATCACCCATGGGTCAACCAGCGCACAGTGCCTGATGATGATCTAGATTTGGCAAGCAAGAGAAGGAGCAAGCTGAATGGTGCTGATTTCTCGCCTTATTCAGCTCGGAATTTGTTGTTCGAAAGACCGGCAGCGTCGTTGGTCCAAACTTAGAATCGAGGGGGGTCTTTCCTTGCCTGGTCAGGGTAGGCCGAGAGAGGTGTACTTATACGCCGATCTTATGCAGCACTGGGAACTAAAAATACAGTATGGATTCCTGATGTCTAAGACACACACATTCTTCATCTGCTGGCGTGCGGAGCGGAATAATAATCCGTTTTGAGGACGACTCGGCGGGGCATGCGCCTGACCAAGTTGGGTAAATTTGAGCATTGCTGGTTGTGATAATTCCCGCGGCAGCAGAATAACGACTAGACTAAACAATCATAAGCGAGACTAGACTCGACAATATAGTCAAGAAACAGTTCACCCGTTGTCAGGAAGAGAGTTTTGATTGTCCGCCAAAAGTGGGCCGACTCCTTAATGTTTCAATTGGAGGCCCGGCACACGTGCCGGGACTCTCGCATTAAATTCGGTCCATTCGCCGATAGAAACTGAGAGCCCTTGACCCGACACGACCCAGAGAACGGATGAAAGAGAAAATGGACAAACGCGGGACTCGGGGGTGAGAGACTCAGAGAAACAATGAAACGACATACATTGAGGGTTCTCTCTGGTGGCTTTAGTAAGTCTTCTGGACACAAAGGAAAGCCAGATGAGACTGGGGAGGTCCCATTGGATTAAATCAAACTGGAATTGTACTATTGAGCACCCAGTCTGGATCGCCCTTTTGGGACTATATAGATTAACATATTAATTGTGGCTGAAGGAGATTGGATCATTTGATGAGGTGGTTACATCGTCACGACTAGATTGTTGTTAAATTAAAATTCCCATTGAGATAGCACAGGACCCCCTTCCAATGTGTCGGACGCCTGTTAGAGTATGGATTTCATTCCTGGTGTGGACATCCGACGGCTGCCCCAGGCATTCAGTTCGGTGGGCTCCAATGATGTGGTATGTGGTAATAGTAATTCCAGCAATAATACTTAAGACGTTGACTGGTTAAAAAAAAAGGAGGAAAAAAAAAAATTATTATGGCGGTACGTAGCAGCAACCGGAGGAATGAAATGTAATTCTTAAGCCCTAATCAAGCCAATATCTTTCTATTGATATACTGTCATTCCCGAATAATTGTGCTGATATCAAACCAGGATTGTAGCTGGTGTTATCCATATTAAGGTTGGAGGATGAGGCATGCACTTAAATTACCACCGGAACAGTTCAAGTTTCTATAAATTCTTTCTCGTAGACAGAGTGATGCCTGTCTCTTGTTTCCTGTTCCCTGATAGGTGGTTGGTCTGATATTTGTCTTATATGTAATTTTTTGCTTCAATTCTGAAAAGAACTATATTTTTAGTGGCTTCTATCATTATTCTGAAGCGTGGTCGGGATTAACCCCGTGGATTTGGCGGTGCCCACCCAGGTCACTAAAGCTGCACCAGTGAAAGTGACTAAGGATGACCGCTGAATGCTGATTGACTGCCCCCTGGCTCAGGCTCACCATCTCAGTAGGAGGAAAAAGTGACTTGACAGTGAAAGTGATTGATCCCCCTCCGCGTGCTGCCCTCCCGCCGAACTTTCGACTCCCAGTTCCAAGTTCGTTCCCCCCAAACCTTTCCATTCCTCCCCCGTATATCATTTCCTTTCGGTCTCAATCTTAGGCTGGTCCTTACATGGGAAAATAAGGAGAAAGAAAAAAAAAAGGAAGTTTGGATTCTTTTCTTTTTTTTTTTCTTTTGTTTCCCCCCTCTGATTCTTTTTCATTTCTGAAAACCTGTCTTCCCCCGGTCTTATTACCCCCCGGAAGTTGTGTGGTTTTTGAAGTGAGCCCTTCCCGGTTAGAGTGTATCGCTCTCTCCCCTTAAAACACTGTTCGATCTATTGGTTTGGCGATCGACAACGTAAAGTATCCCATCAGCACCCTGACATTCCGTCGCCACTGAGACGGACATTCTATTCACCCTCGCTGTGGACTCCTTCAAATTTCACTCTTCGTTTACTTGCCATTACTTTTCTTCCTTTTTGTTAGACGTCTCTCGACCAGTGAAAAAAAAGACAAGGGCTTTACTCGGGCCGCAGCAGCACAGGTCAATTCTGCTACGCCATCGCCGGCCGGTATCTGCAGTGACTCCCCTGCGTGCACCACTCTCTCGCAGAGTTTCGCTTTTCTCAGTCTGTTATTCGTCCGAAGGTATCATCCGCTGGCTGAAATAATCGCGAATTTGTACGTTCGGTACCGAAAGGCCAATTCCGCACGGAGAAAAAGCTGGACACCGGAGTAGACTTCCTAGGTGAACTTGCACACCAACGGCGTTTGTTCGGTTTCAGGCCACGGCGGAATTATTCTTTCTTAACCCCTCGTGGAGGCCAACGTTGTCAGTCAACGTTGGAATCGCTATATGATCTCAGACGTCCATGGGAATGCTAAATTGGCTTCCGGTCCAGGTGGGAAGTCACCGATAGCGTCGGAAAAGGCCTCGACTATGCCGTGGAACTTGTCCACCGACACGTCGTCAGAGGCACCGACTAGGCCCCCATTGAACTCCCAGCAGTCGAATTCCCTCCCTTCAACGCCGTATCAACATGCGCGGAACCTCTCCTTCCACTCCCGATCCCCCTCCCCTCCGCACGGAAGCACTTCCCCTCGGTCGACCCATTCCGAGTCCACGCACCTACCGCCATCCTTACGAAAACCGTTCTCCGGATGTAAATATGAAACCGCCATGGCCTTCTTCCGGAGAAGGATACCGTATAGCCTGGGTGCCGATCTGTTGCCGGAGGAGAGGGAAGGTCTCAAGGAACGGTTGGAGCCGGAGGAGGAGAAGAAACTCACCGACGATATGTTGGAGGTATATGATCGATTACTGCCGTCTGCGGAGAGTGATGATCGACGACGCCAACTTGTTCGCAAGTTGGAAAGGCTATTCAACGAACAATGGCCTGGTCGGGATATCAAGGTCCATGTTTTTGGGTCGTCAGGGAATAAACTCTGTTCAAGCGACTCGGATGGTATGTAAAGGTTGCGTCATTGCAGTCCGTGGGCTAATTTGGCGCAGTGGATATCTGTATAACAACGACATATAAGGAGCTCGAGCATGTCTGTTTGCTAGCGGAGGTTCTTGCACGACGTAAGGGGATTTCCTTGATTCCTCCAGGTCGCGATCCCCAGCTAACGTTTTTGACAGATGGCATGGAACGGGTCGTTTGTGTTTCTCATGCAAAAGTTCCCATCGTGAAGATCTGGGACCCGGAGTTACAGTTAGCCTGCGACATGAACGTGAACAACACATTGGCGTTGGACAATACGCGTATGGTTAGGACCTACGTCGAGATTGACGAGCGTGTGAGGCCGTTGGCTATGATCATCAAACATTGGACGAAACGGAGGATACTCTGCGATGCCGGTATGTTTCAACCGTGGGGGAGTCAAACAGCATCTTATTTCTTCTAATGTCCTCGGTGTTGACGATTTGTCTCAGGATTGGGTGGCACGTTAAGCTCCTATACATGGATATGCTTGATCATTAATTTCCTCCAAACGCGGGACCCTCCAATTCTCCCCAGTCTTCAGGCTCGGCCCCATGAGAAGAAGATTTCGCCGGAAGGATTGGTTTGCTCATTTGACGATGACCTTGGCAGTCTGGCTGGGTATGGACGGAAAAACAAGCAAAGCTTAGGCGACCTGCTTTTCCAGTTCTTCAAGTATTATGGCCATAAGCTCAACTACGAAAAGTACGTTGTATCCGTTCGAGAGGGTAAGCTGATTTCGAAGGAAGCCAAGGGGTGGCACTTACTCCAGAATAATCGCCTCTGCGTGGAAGAGCCTTTCAATACGTCGAGAAATTTGGGAAATACTGCGGATGATACATCCTTCAGAGGCGTCCATCTCGAACTACGAAGAGCATTCAAGGCTTTGTCGCAAGGAGAACTTGAGCTCTGTTGTGAGCAATACGAGTATCCACCCGAGGAAGAGCGGTCGTGGGAGCGGCCGCCTCCTCAACCACGGCCTGTTCTCACCGCACCTCCGTCTTCCCGGGGCGGTCGTGGCGGTGGCCGTGGTGGGCGACATTCGAACCAATACCCTCGTGGTGGACATAATGGCAGCCGTCGGTCTTCAAATACGCCGCATAAGTCCAATAGCTTCCGCCAAGCCAGCAACGGTATGAGTGCATCGGAACTATCTCTGCAAGCGCAGCAAGCTCAATATCTTCTTCATGATCATCTCTACCAGCAGATTCAGATCCTCCAAGCCCAGGAACAGGAACTCCGATTACAGCTTCAAAATCAAGCACTTCTCACCGGGAGACCACCACCTGTGCTTATCCGCCAGCCATTCATGCAGTTTCCGATGCCTCAGCAACAGGAGTCAACCGGCGACGACAACTCTCGCTCAAGGTCCGGAACAGCAAACCACGGAACGCAGCTCCGCCAGCATGTCTACTATGGCACCCCGTACCTTCCGGTTGCGATGACGGGCGTGCAAGGCAATAGTACAACTAACCCACCATCGCCATCTGCGCCAACTGCTATGCCAGAGCTTCGGCGCAATCCACGTCGATCGTCAGTTGCGAACGGCTCCCCAGGCGGATCGCTCAGAGCGCAGTCGCAGCCCGCGCGGTCGGTTCACTCCCTTCCGAGCTTTGCCCCAATATACTCCATGACGCAAGATCCCCCACAAGGTTCAAAGCAGCGCAATACGCCTGCATCACCTGATGGTGCGCAGAGCGAAGAAGACAGCAACTTCATGCCTAGTAGTATGCCCAATGTGTCTCGCTCTCCATACTTGGATGAAAGTCGGCCCGCCGAGTATATGGCCTACTACCTTGCCACCTCACCACAATTGCAGACATATCATCAGAACGCCATGTTGTCTCCACTGCAAACACCGGTAGGCTTAGCATTACCGAACGGCACTATCATGCCCTTCGTTACCAACTCTCACGAATATCTGTCTACACTCGGCCCCCATGAAGCATTTGGTTCTTCTCCGGACAACGGCTCTACGCAGGCTTTTAAGGTTGGGTCAACGCAGCAGCGGGCAACGGCACGGCCCATGGCATCGGGCGGTCCCCTAATTGTCGATGGGTCGGTTCCTCTGACTGAACCGCGCATTGCCCCTATCTCTGCCGAGAACTATGATCCCTGTGGTGCCATGAGCCATTGTACATCGACTTCGGATGATCACAATACTGATACCCCCGCCAGTGCCTCCGACGCATTCTCTCAAGATTACCAAGATACGAGCTCGGTGGAAACCGACCAAACTCCGTACTTCGGCCGACAGGGAATCGATACTCGGAAACCAACCGACGCTTTGACCAACGGACACGGTGGGAAGCCCAGTCTGCTGTCAAGCCGTCTACAAAGCCTACATCTCTCGAACAGCGAGAAAATGACAGAGCCGTTGGCGAAGCCTGGTCCAGAAAAGCACAAGGCGGCTTTTTCTCACCAGGAAACCTCGGACAAGGACTCTTCTCGTCTCAGGCATACGGCCGCGGAGAAGGGGGTGTCTGGACCGGAGCTACACGGGCCGTCGAATGGTAAACGCAGACCAAATGGCGTTGATGTTTCAGAGAAGCTCAATGGAAACTCTCATAAGTCGAAACCTAAAAACCGCTCCGATACTTCCCACCACGCTAGTGGGTCAGGCGACAAAGAACGGAATGGTGGCCATCCTACACGACGCACGAATGGCACTGGCTCGACTACGCACGACTCTCATGGCAACCACGCAAGTAGTGGCTGGCAGACAACCAAAAAGAAGCAGAAGAAGAATGCCAGGTCGAATGCAGAAAACCGCCACGGGTTCCATGGCGGTGCCGAGCCCCTCCCTGCGGATGAATCTCTGAGAAAAGGCGGATGAAGGCCCTGAGGAGATCGGCTACACTCTTCATTGGATTTGCGCCGAGCAGCATGAATTACGAATGTTTAGAATGTGTCACATGCCATTGCAATGAGCGAACCCAAGATTACTTGTTGGAGTTCACAGCATCTCGACCTGCTGGATCAATCTTTCACGAGGCGATTATATCAGCAGTTCGTGCTATTGCATAGCACTTGTACAGTTTGTCGCAGCAAACTATCGAGACGTTCGGCTTCCCGTCGAACGTTACCCCAAAATTATCGTCAAAAGGAGTTCAAGTCACTTGAACTAGATCCTATGACGCTGTATAAAATGAGGCAATACCTCTTTGAAAATGACATAATTTCGGTTGAATTGTTTCTTTTTTGCTTTTGAATGGCAGGTATATGACTTTTTCTTATTCTTTGTGTCTATGTCTATGTTTTGCCCCTTTTCTTTTCATGTTCAACATTGGCGTTTCGCAAGGTCAAATAACGGAACTTGGCAGTCGAAGGGTCTGGCTGGGTTACAATTGGTTCGCGGGTTATTTGCGTGAGTTGCATAATTGCATATGATATCTGTTCGCTGATTTTATATCCTTGTTCGATACATGGCTCTTGACCTTGGCTGTGCCCTTTGGAGCTTGACTCGTCTCCTTGGGGAGCCATCGAGCTTCGAGTTGATTCTGGGTTATGTCTGGCCGCGCTTCACTCAGGTTATTTTCTTTTCAGACCTTTGTTGGCACACACTTATGCTGCGACGAACTCCCTGATAGGGAACAGGTCGCCACCGAGGCGTTTACCGCCAGCAGGATATACGCGGATTGTTCAACTCGAACTCAGGAATGCGGTAGACAAAAAGGGGAGAACAGCAAGAGCGAGCAAAAACTAAACGAGTTTACTATACATACAAACATCCACCTTTGATTTCGATGTTACGGATTGATTGATTGATTGACCGGTTTCGTTCCTACCCATTGCTGGCTGTGTTTATTTTCTTTTGCTTGTTTCATTTGTTTGTTCCAGATTATATCCAAACGGCATGATCATCATCATTATCATTGTCAATATACCATCATAGCAGGGAGCCAGGCGAGTGGGTCATTGTTTCTGTGTTATATTTTGCGTTTTCTCCTTTTATGAGAGATAATTTGTCCCTGTTTTTGTTACATATCATGTCGATCGAGTCCAGTCTGGATTGGGCGCCGGTTCAAAGTAGAGGTTGGAATTTACATAAAGAGAAAAATGATAAAAATGAGAAAATGCCCGTGAACTACGGTACACCATTATCAAGGGAAAAAAAAGTCTAGACTTGATGTAATTAACTAGATTCATCCACCGCGCAAACTATTAATGCCAGATCAGATTAATAGTGATATTGCTTTTGCTTCTACTATTGAGACTTTTATAGGCGACTATTCCAATAACCCTCTCGAACCAAAAGTTTGATGCTTGTTGAATATGTCCCAAAGGAGATAGATAACAAACCTGTGACAAGTCATAAGAATATAAACATGGAGAACACTTGATACCTGCATTTTAGGCATGCAAGGTCTGCAAACTTTACTATTTTCTCTCTCTGGAATGTTTCTGACTCGTTCATAAGCTATATTCGGTATATTTTATTATTCCTTGTTTGAGCATAAGAGCACAAGTAGCATATACATACATGCATGCTTTATATGACTAGAAATCAATTATTTCCAATAGAAGAGATACTTACCCAGGAAGGCACATAACCAATCCCTGGCAGTCAACAACAAATCTTGGCCCCAAAGTCCAACCAACCACCGAATCATACTTGACCTACAACACACACGGACACAGATGTACATACCCCGCAATACGAATGAATATGCGACATTCCAGAACATCGATCGGAGGTCCAGACCTATTATGTCAGCTTCGTACATAGTTAATGATGTAGATCTTGGAAATGTCTTCAACATCGGGAAATGGCGGAATCCGTCTATAAGTGAGCGAAGTTCTACGCTGTAAGAGAAGTCAGATGGGTATTCCTGTTCCTGTCCTTGGGGTGGGTTCGAGGGGATCGAGACTCTTCTGTGAGTTTGTTTCCTGGACTTGTGGTTGAGACGATCACATGCGTGCCGCTGGAAGGAGGATCCTGGTAAGTATCTAGGGGTAGAGTTCATGTTGCTAGGTTTAGACCCTGATGTAACCGTTGATATTGTCTGGGTTGTGATTATCGTTGTCATGTGTTGGGCTTCCTTGTTGGGGTTCTATTTATAGTGACTGGTGGTCGGATTTCATGTGATCAGTATATATTAATTGCGTATTCGGTTTATATATGTACATGCTCTTGTATATCTCCGATCTATCATCGCTGGGGGAAGATAACGAACTCAATAAAAGCAGATAAATCATAAGCGGCCTGGTCAAGAAGGGAAGTGGAAGTATTATTACAGCATCAAAAAGCAAGCGTAGTAAAACTCGTATCATACACCAAGCCGTGATAATTTGGACGAGAAGAGATCGTTTCGCTCCGAAAACAAAAGAGAAGGGGGAAAAAGGCATACAAAGGTCTAATTATACTAACAGAATGCTTCAATGAGCATGTAGGGGAATATAACAACACAGGCCGTCCAGAATACCATCACGCATCTGATTAGTGTCCAGGGAAGTTGGTACAGAGGAGCCTCACGAAGAAGCACCCAGAGGGAGAGGAATGCGACAGTGAAGAAATGGTAGAATAGTACAAAGGGCTTTTTGATAAGGCCGCCCAAGAGACCCATTGGCTCGGAGTACATGCCCATATCGAAGTAGTGGAAACAACCTCGCTGGAGGACGCGAAGGTTTTCATCTAAGCAGGATGTTAGTAGCTGACTGGGTAAAGGTGCGGTATACGAGTAGGGCAACAAACCATTGGCAGAGAACAGGGCGTACAACGCCATGGCCAGGATGTTAATGACAGAGGATCCGTTCTTCCGCTTCCAGTGGAAGGACTTTAGCTGCTTCAACACCCTGTCGGTGTCTGCAAAATCGGGAACCTTTTCGGGACTCAGCAGATCCCGGAACACAAGGACATCGTTGAAAGCCACAGTCATGCCGCCACCAGTCAACGGATGCCGCATGTTCAGCGCATCGCCCAGTATCACCAGCCCCGGGGTCTTATTCTGTGCGGCGGGAAGGAATGAGTTCGGCATAGACCTCAACGGGCCCTTCTCTAGTGCGGCGCGGAAGGCTGGTTGGACAGACTCGGGAAGAGATGGTAGGGTCACGTTCCACAGGTGATTCTTGACACCACCATTCTTGACCGACGCGGATGGAAGGTTCTCTGGGATGTCGACCAAGATACGGGTCTCGTGGGTGCCAATCTGGTATAGGAGGATGGGGGGATTTGCACTTAAGAGGACGTGTCCGTGGTTAGGTGCAGGGAGTTTCGTGTCAATTAGTTCGAGAGCCCAGAATCGGGACTTTACCGTCGGAGTATTAGAGTGGTATTGTTTCCGGAACTTGGAAGCGTAGCCGTCCGCGACGACGGTGAGGTGTCCAAAATAACAATCCTTTTTCTCCTTGGTTTTGCACTCCACACCAAGGACCTGCTTGGTATGCGAGCAAGTGATCAGGTCCGTCGCCTTGGTCTCCACGACGGTAACATTGGGGCAGGCCAGAGCTGCTTCCCGTAGCTTCATGATAAACCTTCCGTGGTGAAAGGAGCGGCCGCGCGGAGGCGGCGACGACGGGGTCTCCTTGGGGTAAGGCATAGTCACGGCTCGGTCAAAGTAAGACACATAGAAACCGTAAGAGGGGATTGAATCGATCCCCTCCAGACACTCTGCCAGGCCTAACCGCTCCAGGGCCTGGACACCGCCGGGCTGCAAGAGCTCGCCGACTATGCGATCTGGCTCCTTCATAGAGGCTTCCAACAGTAGGACGCTCCGGCCCTGTTTTCCCAATGTAACTGCAAGCGCACATCCTAGCACTCCTGCGCCCACGATCACAACATCGGCGTCGTGGTGGACTCGTCTGCGTTCTTCGGCCGCATCGGCGGGCTGGGTCGCATTAACATGGCCGTTAGGGACGGCGGTGGCCATTGTGCGGGGGAGAGGTCGAGGGAGGTCAGCGAATTGGGCAGAATCGACGGGGACCGCAGAGCATATTCCTTCCCCGGAGTTGGAAAGAAGGTTTGAGGGACAATTGGCCGGGAGAGACAGAGAGGGAATGCGAGTGGAGGAAGTGTAAATAAGTAAGGGGGGGGGAGGAAAAGACGTTGAAAAGGTTAAGGCAACGAAGGGCCCGTGATATCGGCGCAGTGGCGTGACATGTGAAAGATTTTCCGCCCTTCAATTCCGCTGCCCCTAAAGTACGAGGCACCGTACGATCTTCGTGAAGATAGCGCTCATCCTGGTTCTTATTACTACATGATAATATTCATTTCACCTCCTTGATTGGCTCCTGACATGTGATACGCAGGGCTAGAAGTCGGCCTGGGAAATAGTTCCATATCGCTAGTGTACATCTCGGTGAAGCATCTCTATATATACAATTCTACTATACAAAATAGAAGAAAATAGAAGGAAAAACACCAACGAAAGAAAATCAGGAATAGATCCAAAATCAAAAGGGGAATATATGCTACATCACAACAAATTCTCGACTCATATTTGCCCTAAGGCCACTCGCTCATTCCATTGAACCGCGATGGACTTCGGGTTGATCTCAATTCGACCCAGAAGTATCTCCAATTCGTATTCTTCGTCCCACCTCTCGATCGTCTCCGGGATGTCAGATACCTTATACATCCGCCTCTCATCAAGAGGCCGTTTCAGCATCCGCCGGAAAGACCGCTTCGCGTTAGGGTTGCCTTTGAGCTCCCATAATGCAGGATCACCGCCACTCTTCTTCTCGAGCATGTCGGCAATGTGTCCGAGATACTCCAGTTGCTCGGCCCGTTTGGACGCTTCCCTCGTGGAGAGGCCGTCAGGCTTGAACTTGCGATTTAATACTCCCATGACGCGACTGACTTCAACAACAAGATCATGATTCAGTGCACTGCCCCGAGCAAGGCCAGTAAGGATGCACCACCGAATCCCGGGAATGTTATCCATAGCTGCGAACGCACGCAAAAACATCTTCATGCAGACCCCATCGAAGGGTAACGTGCGGGTATAGCGGGACATGTAAATGGCCGCTAAGAGATCTATGGCTATCTCCGGCTTGTTATGCACAATTAACCGTCTACTGGTGGCCACCGTGATATGGTGCTTGACATTCATTCGCTTGTTCGACCAGCAGAGCTGGTAAAATCGAAGGACCGCCATTTTGATCAGGTCCCCTTCCGACGCAGAGTCCACTACCATGATCTGGCGGAAGAACTGAGGGAAGAATCGAATGAGATGTCGGATGCCCCGCCACTCAGTTTCGACAAGCACACGAGCTTCGCCAAGACCATGCTCAAGGAGAGTCGCAATGGCAGCCAACTCGACGTGAAGCTGTTTGAACTGGAATCGTGCATTCTTTGCATTTTGGAAGCACTTTAGAGCTTCTGTCATCTTCCCAACGTGCATGTAATGCGTCATCTGTTTATGAAGCTTCTGGTACTGATCGACGGGCTTTGACGGTGTCACATCCTGCAGTGCTCTTTGATACCACGGCAGCGAACTCTGTGTGAAAGGCATCGTATTGACCTCAGGAATAGGGAATGAGCGCTGATCGTAACCGAGAATCTGCTGCGAGGTAGCAGCTTGTCCATATTTTACCCGAGCAGCCTGCAGCATTTGCCAGAAGCCCACGGGCGCTCCCTCAAGTGCTAAACGACGAAAGCGTAACATCTCTAGGAACTCTTGCTCATTGATGTGGACTTTCCAACCACGTTCGCGTGCCATTCTTGTGAACTCAGTTATCATGTGCTTGTCACCCTTTTCCACAAATGCTTCCAGAATATGCTTGTACAGTATCCGATCGGGGACGATATTGAGCTTATCAATGTAGCGGTGGATGAAGTCTTGGATTTCGCGCCCTGAATGAGACACCCAGTATTCAAGGAATATGCGATCAAAAATAGGGGTAAAATCACGTCTTCGAGACGTCAAATTAAGCTCGTGCATCTCCTGAAGGTCTGCTTCCACACCCTCCCAGTCACACGCAAGAGCCTTGCCATATACGAGAAGGCCTTTTGTGCGGCAGCGAAGGGGAAGTTCGTATGTAGTTGTCATGTCTTCCACCAAAGCTTCAGCGTCTGCTAACCGGCCAAATTCAACGTATGCCTTAACCACTGGGTTGAAAAGTTTGTCGCTGGGATCCTTTCCCAAACGGGGAAGCGTCGTTAAGATCTTCTTCAATTGTCCGTTCAAAAGCTCAATGCTCCTTGTCTTTTTCCACAGGCCTGACAAATATGCACCACATAAGCCGCAATCCCGATCAAATTGCAGATGCCTGAAAAGGAACCACTTCGCTGTTGTGAGCCTATGAGATTCAAGCAAGCATCGTAGCACCACATCTACCATATCCGGCGAGAGCTGAAATTTGTGCATGTACCGAGTATAGATAGTTGCGACTGATTCTATACATCCCTTCCGTGCTAATGCAAACATGAGAACCTTCCAAAGCCTGGGTGAGACCTTGTCCACCTCTTCCAATCGCTCGAAGATGTTTCTTGCGATGAATACATTTTCCTGTTTACAGTTGACAAAAAATGCCTGAACCGCGAGCTCTCTCCTATCGGATGATAAACCATTCAGTGAAGCAGGGTGTGCGTCCAAGAATAATTGTGCCGCATCAATAGGCCGCCCTCGATCGAGAAGATCTTGCATTTGCTTCGGGATAGAGTTTTGTCCTCCTTGGATTGTAGCCATGCCATCCATCGACTCAGATGCATTTGCAATGGTGTCGATCTTGCCAATGACAGAGCTGGACCTATTGAGGTTCTCCGTAGGTCGCGTGTATTCAGGTGGAAGAAAGTCGCAACTCCCGGGTTTCACTGTATACTGTTTTGTGTTCATTAACCCAGCGAAATTTAATTGAGCAGCATCCAAAAAAGCGTCAACCTGGGCTGGGTTCTCGAAGGATCCAACTCCTGTGTTCGAGCCGAGCTCATCATGTTGACTCCCTTCATTGCCCTCCACATGCAAGTTCTGCGCTTGTCGTGATTTCCGATCCTCCTCTTTAAATGCATGCATACTAGTGAATTCACCAGCCTCTGCGACTTCCATCATACGAGCAAGTCGTCTCGCCGCGGAAGTTGCATCGTAATTGGGTGCGGAGGTTTGAAGGGCGCGTTTGTTCTCAACGATACGTTCTGCGACGCGGACTCGGCGATGGACATCGTACGTGATAGCCGCAACGGTACAGAAGCTGCCCACAGTTGAGCCGGCAAGGGCCAGCCTGCGAAGGACACGCAGGGCATTGCGAGAAGGTACGGCCGAAGTGCCGTGGGTAGGTTTGGTGATCATGGCAATAGGACCTGTGCACCGCCGGCAGCAGGCAAATTGGGATATCACTGATAGAGCATCAGGGGAATTGAGAGATTGATGCTCAATTCTCAGTAGTGTAAGCCAAAACACCACGCTGGGGAACTATCGCAATTGACGGTCGGAGTTTTGAGATAGATGATTTTCGGCGGAAAGTTTGCAAGAAACATTGGTTTCTCCCGGCCGCCGTACTGCTTGTGGTCCCATTCGTTCCTTTCCGGGTGAACCCATTTCCTGTGCACGTGACCATGCATTGTTCCTGCTTAGTCATTGGCATGTGGATGGGTTCGAGAAACAAAGGCAATTTCATGCCACTGAGAGAGACTTCACCGCCAGGCATGGATCCATTGCTGGTACGTAGTAAACTACACACTCTCTACCTCGACCAGATGTGGCTATTTTAGCTACGTTCTGTTCCCGTAACAAGATCCGCTGATATGACCTGCATCCGCGTTGCAACCCTGGACTACCAAGGCTGGGGATGCAAATTCAGTGTTGAAACTATATCCCAAATTATATGTTATAGATCTAACATGAGTTTCGCGTAAATAGGAGTAGCTAATCCTTAGGATACATCACAAGTAGATACCAGGGTATTAAGAATCTTCTATATATTAAGGTAAGAGTTCATCCTCAACCGCTTCTCTGTAGTCATTGGGACCGATGTTATGATTTCTTGGATCGTCGAAATCAAGTCGGACTGCTGTACGTTAGCATGAGATCACAAAAAATTCCCCAAGACGTTACTAACCATGCGCTTTGATATACAAGGTGCAACAAAATGCAATCCCAAAGACAAGTGACAGGCATACAAATACTGCCTGTGAGAATTTACCCACCGTCACACTGTATATGAAGCTGCAGATGGAAGGCGCTATTACTCGAGCAATAGCATGTAGAAGGCCTTTAGCACCGAGTATCTGTCCTATGCGATCGCGGGGCACGTGTTTAGTAAGAGACGACTGCAACACCGGCGCGGCCATGCCCCCTAATGATGTGACGACTCCCGACAAGATCAAAAGCGAGCCGTGATTTGCCAGTGCATATCCTGCGAACCCAATCGTATCCAGCAGAATCGAGACGCGAATAAGGACGACATCAACGACACCGGAACCAGAAATAACCAGGTCCTCCCTTGGTTCCTCACGGAAGATCCGCGTAATCATGGGGAGCACAATGAAGAAGTTGAGGACGCGAACGGAACTGATGATGGACACGAATAAGCTTGATTCAACATTTCCCCAGCCGAACATATATCCCGCATAGATAATGATAATCTGTGACGTGCCTAGGGCCATGCCGAGGTGAAGCGTATCGATCACAGAGAGCAGGATGATGTTTCTTCGCAATGCTGGACTGGCGCCCCCGCGATTAGGGAATAGAGTGCTAGGTCGCCCAGCTGGTGGAAATAAGACGGCTAGAGGCGCGATGATTTTCTTCGGGTTCCAAAATCTCATTGACAACCAGCGTACATCTTCTTGATTGGCGAGCTTCACCTGATGTTTTTCTTGAGCTCTCTGTTTTTGCTCCTTAGACAGCGACTCCGGGATGACGAGCAAGACCACAAAGAAGAAAAGCACATGAAGAGCCAGCGCGGAACAGAACACACTCATTATATCGTGTGTCTTCTTCATGAGTATGGCCACAAGGAACGGCCCAGCTGCAACTCCAGTGAAGATGGCGCCATGCAAGTACCCAAAAGCTACACTGCGTTTCCCCGAAATGGTACAATCAGAGGCGTACGAAGTGCTCAGAGCTAGCATAGCAGTGAATGAGCCTCCTAAGCCGTCAAATGTAGCGCCCAGAAGTAGTAGATGTATCGATACTCGCTCTGCATTTGCTGCCACAATGACGGTAATTATCTCTGCTAGTACCGTTCCCATTGCACTCACAGCAATCATAGACGTTCTTCCATAGCGGTCCGATAAATGGCCCAATTGAGGGCTGATCAGTGCCGACAGCAGACCTACTACCAGATTGTAATACAATTGAAAGCGGGCAACGAGGGACTGAACTTCCGGTATTTGGCACTGGGAGTTGTCCTGTCCAAGAAGGACAGGCAAGTACGTGAATCCAGGATCGCTAGAGGCTCTTTTGGCCAGATAGTCTCTACAGGTGAGAGAGACCATCAGGTTAATCTTGGGAACCGCAGCACCGCCAAAGCCTAGCATATACAAGAGAAGGAATGGGAATAACCAAAAGACCTGGTCGGATCAGAACGCAACACTTTCTGCTGAACTGCACTGGAAAAAATACGCACACTTGCTTTTGTGCGAGACCGCCAGAGGCCAGCGTTCAACGCCGTCGAATCCTGGCTAGATGAATCTAAGCCTTCATCCTCACCTTCTTCGCTCGTCCGTTGAAGGAGGGGCGTCTGCTCATGGACGTGCAATTGCGCCGAGTCTTTTGGGCCATCTTCACCAGTGTTTCGCGGGTTATTCTGCCCAGGGACGACTGGCCTGCTTCGCAATTGCCCGCCAACATCCGTATGGATGGAAGAGTTTGTTTGATTGGCCATTTCCGGCAAAAGGATATCGACACCTATAGACGTCGATGGCTAAGTAGGTGCGGCCCGCGTTCTGAGGTGTAGTTTTCAAAGATGTGGTATGTGATAACGAAGCAAGGGGGGAAATAAATTGCTCTGACACGATTTATCGTGACGGGACTTTACTTTTAAAACACCTTGACAGAAGCAACGTCTCACTCATGATTCCGATATGCCAATGGTATTGTTCCTTGGTCTCGGGATTCCCTGGATTGATTGAAGAGTCAATGAGGGGAGCGTTTGTCAGCTTAGCTTAGCAGAACAAGTGGAGAGAGCAAAGGCAACAGATAAGCCAGCCATGACGTTTGACCAGGCTAACGGGTGCCGAGGTGTTTAGCGTCCGGCATTTTGTTCCTGGGGCCAATCGAAGCAACAGCGTCAAAGCCATTGACCCCTTGATAATCATTGATCCAAGATTTCGGTGCCCCCATTTATAGTCATCTCTCAAAATCAAGAAATACCAACAACTAGTTACACTATCGTTGATTGTTTTATTGCCCATGTGCTTGAGAATTGCAAATTATCCTTTTCCAAAAAATCTTAAAGTACATAATATAAACAAGATTATGTGGCTTTATAAAAAAATAATGAAAAAAGGAAAAGGAAAAGAAAAAGAAAAAGAAAAAGAAAGCAAAGGGTTTACACTACAAGAGACGCGGCTTCTTCGCCGGCGAAGAACTTCTTCTGCTCCAGGCATCTGTCACTTTTACATCCCTGACAGCGCAGGGTCATCTGACGAGAACACTTTTCTCCCTTTCTCAAGTGCTCCTGCGCGATATTCGCAAGGGCTTCGATGAAGATGGGGCTTCCGTTTAAGCTTTCCGCTCGCTTCACTCCAGGGGAGTTGGCTTCTTCCATCACTTCAAGGTCCAACTCATACAAAGTTTCAATGTGGTCGCTGGTGAAGGCGATCGGTACGAGGACTATATCAGTCTGCCCGCGCTTCACATACTCCATGACAGTGTCGCTGGTCTGAGCCCCAAGCCAAGCCGATGGGCCCACTTGGGATTGCCAGCACAGCCGGTAAGGGTTGCTAAAACCAAGTCTTTGCATTACCGCATGGACAGTTGCTGCAACTTCGGCTGGGTACGGGTCACCTAATCTGGAGTTAGATTTCACGTCTAGCAATTGGCGCGATGGCTCGAATCTCACCTCTGTTCACCACGCTCATCGGCAAACTGTGGGCGGAGAACAACAGGACCACACTGTCCCTCTTGTCCTCCGGATATGTCTTGAGCTGATCCTCGATATTCTTTGCGAAAGCTTCTACTAACCCGGGATGGGTCGGCCACCGATCAATGACACTCCACTGGATGGAGCCGGAGGAGTCCACGCTCCCATTGGCGCGCGGACCCTCCAGACGATTTCTCCATTTCCATAGTTCGTTCAGAGAACTGCCTGTGGTCGAACAGGAATATTGTGGGTACTGTGTAAATGCGACAGCACGGCCTCCTTTTCCTCTTCCGAATCCATCATCGAGTAACTGTGTATACATCTCTTCCGTCAAAGGCGCAGCATATCGAAATGCAACGTAGGGTTTATGAGGCGCACTTTCAGGGTTGAGTTTGTCGAGTAATTTACACATTTCCTGGCATTGGTATTCGGACCATTTTCGAATAGGTGAGCCGCCTCCAATATCCGCGTATTGCTTTTGGATCTTTGGCGTCCTCCTCTTTGCAATAAGTGGTCCAAGATACGTTTGAAGTCGTCCCAAGGGAATCAGATCACCGTCGGCCTTTACCAGAGAGAGAGCGAAGAGTTAAAAGGGGCCCATGAGAATGTCTATCAGTCTGAAAACGTACAAATAACCTGCTCAAAAAGTCTTCCACCTCATTCGTCGTAGAGGGGCCACCCATGTTCAAGAACACCATTGCGGTAGGACCCTTGGAACCAGCTGCATCTTGGGTGACCGGAGGTACTGCTGTTGCGAAGCCATTTCGCTGTTCTGTGTTGTATCCAAGCGAGCTGCGAGCTACCGGTCGCAGTAGTTGCCGAGGAAGCGTGAAGGTCCGACGGAGGGCCATTGCAATTGATAGGTGGCAAGACGACCTTTTTTTTTCAAGGAGTAATGGCCAAAGCGTGCGAATGAAGGCGATAAAAAGGTAATGAGCTCGGGGCAAAAAGGATATTAATGGGCCATGTGGCAACGGTCAATAGTAATCAGGAAAGATGCTGACTTGAAGCAGAGAGTCCAGAACCGGTAAAATGACGGAGCCGGAGCATCCATGATGGGTTGGAGCTGAAGCCCATACCCAATCAGAATTGACTTGGGGTAATCATGTCTTGGCATATGTCACCTGATGTTCGTGTCTTCCCCGCGTCGTCCGGTTGAAGTTGTCGCGTCACGGGTGACGAAAGAGCGGGAGCGCAGGCAGCAGAGTGACAGGCAGACATCCAAGGAAGTCCCAATGTTGCTGTTTAAGCGTTCTTTCGCGTCGATTACTTAACGATCGTCCTTGACTGCTTTGTCTTTGACGCATTTCATGACTTACGACTCTCAACGTATTCACAATGGCTGACGAGGACCAATATCGCGGAGACGACCAGATCGACGAGGAAGAGGAGGAGGCTGACGAGAGTGTATGTACTTCCAAACACGCCTGGAGGCTTCGAAGACTAACAAATCATGAATTAAAACAGGGATATAAAACAGTGAAAGATGCCGTTCTCTTTGCTATCGAAGTCAGCGATTCTATGCTCACGCCTCGTCCATCTTCCGATCCAAAGAAATCCGCGGAAGAGTCGCCCGCAACGGCCGCACTAAAATGTGCATACCATCTCATGCAACAGCGCATTATCTCTAATCCACGTGACATGATCGGTGTGCTACTATATGGGACGCAGGCGTCCAAATTCTACGAGGAGGATGAGAATAGTCGAGGAGACCTTTCATACCCACACTGTTACCTTTTCACAGACCTGGATATCCCCTCTGCGCAAGAAGTCAAGGACCTTCGAGCACTGGCACAGAATGACGACGAAGCAGAGGATGTACTCAAAGCGTCAGATGAGCGGGTCTCAATGGCAAATGTGCTCTTTTGCGCTAACCAAATATTTACGTCGAAAGCGCCCAACTTCTTGTCTCGGCGACTGTTCATAGTCACTGACAATGATGACCCTCATGGCGATAACAAAAGCTTGCGATCTGCTGCAACTGTTCGCGCAAAGGACTTATACGACCTGGGTGTGACTATTGAGCTATTTCCTATTTCTCGGCCAGATCATGAGTTCGATACCGCCAGATTCTATGACGTAAGATTCTCTTCACTTAAAAACGAAGTATCTCTGCTTACACCGTTTAGGACATCATCTACAAGGCCTCTCCTTCGGATCCAGATGCCCCAGCGTACTTGCAAACCGATGCCAAGGCTTCTCCAGCTGCCGGAGATGGGATATCACTCCTTAACACCCTCCTGTCCAGTATCAATTCAAGATCTGTCCCCCGACGTGCGCAGTTCTCCAACATACCATTGGAGCTGGGGCCAAACTTCAAAATATCTGTTTCGGGATATCTTCTGTTTAAGCGTCAAGCCCCCGCCAGAAACTCCTTCATCTGGCTCGGCGGTGAACAACCCCAAATCGTGAAAGGAGTGACCACTCAAATCGCTGACGACACGGCTCGCACGATTGAGAAGTGGGAAATCAAGAAAGCTTACAAGTTCGGCGGTGATCAGGTTACTTTCACGCCTGAAGAGATGAAGTCACTGCGCAACTTCGGTGATCCTGTCATCCGTATAATTGGGTTCAAGCCCCTTTCTGCACTTCCATTCTGGGCCAATATCAAACACCCCTCCTTCATCTACCCTTCGGAGGATGATTTTGTGGGCTCCACGCGAGTCTTTTCTGCTTTGCACCAGACACTCCTCCGGGATAAAAAGGCCGCACTTGTCTGGTTCATTGCGCGTAAAAACGCAAGCCCAGTTCTAGGGGCTATGATCGCTGGAGAAGAAAAAGTAGACGAGAGTGGCGTCCAGAAGTTCCCCCCGGGAATGTGGATAATACCTCTACCGTTCGCCGATGATGTCCGTCAGAATCCCGAAACCGCACTTCATGTTGCACCTGAGCCACTGATCGACCAAATGCGGTATATTGTTCAGCAACTGCAGCTTCCAAAGGCGTCTTACGACCCCTTCAAGTATCCCAATCCATGTAAGCTTTTGCCAACTTGCTGTATGAAAAGGCTGGACTAATGCATTGCTCTGTTAGCCCTCCAGTGGCATTATCGCATTCTGCAAGCCCTGGCATTGGATGAAGACCTCCCGGAAAAGCCAGAAGACAAAACAGTGCCCAGATACCGGCAGATCGATAAAGTATATCACACATCCCTTTTCTCTCCGGGGATCTTGCTGACCTTCTCTTAGCGGACTGGCGACTATGTATTGTCTTGGGCCGACGAATTGGAAAAGCAATATGCGAAAATATCGGCACATGGCCCGAAGAGCGCACTCGTCAAACGAAGCGCCAAAGACCGAACCTCTGAAGTCGAGGATGCAGCCCAAAAGCCATACAAAAAAGTGAAGGTGGAGACGGACGAGCAAGGCGTTCAAGATGTAGTGCGAGCCCATTACCAAAAGGGATCTCTATCGAAGGTGACTATTACCTACTCCTTAGGCCTGTAATTAGGACGAGTAACTAACGCAAGGGGCTTTTGTGCAGCTTACAGTACCTGTCCTCAAAGACTTCCTCAATGCCCATGGACGCTCCGCTGCTGGGAAGAAAGCTGATCTCGTTGAACGTGTGGAGGAATACCTGGAGCAGAAGTGAGGCAACGCTAGGCATTGGTTAATCGAGACACTTTAGTCGATAGGGTCTCTCTATACTTCTAATATGAAATACATAATACTAGAACACTATCAAGAATGTCTACTACCTACGTAATCATACTTGAAAATGTCACCTCAGGGGAGAGCGTCTGTGTACATGTTGGAAACCTCCAAACACTATCTGGAGGCCAAGGCAGGGGCAAAGTATGATAGCCGAGGAAAGACCTGCCATATTAAAACATAGACTATCTGAATCTATAAGGGTAAACAAGAGGACGCCGAATATCGTGCCTGGTATGGGGAAGACGCTACAGGGAGTTCTGGTTCCCTCCTATCTATAATCTTACCCAAATACGAAAACATATTTAAGGCCCGACACCCTATCAATTTATTGTATGAATAATGTTACAGTCGCGCATTAATGTGAATTATCATAGAAAATGGAAAGGAAATATATTTCAATACATCGACATACTATCTAAACCGTATCGAGAAAAATAACAAAAGATGGTACAGACGGGTATATCCAAACGGACGAAAGCCCTCTAACAACGCCTTTCTAACCAGAAACGCATGCTTAAAGCGATAAACAGAAGTCTATGGCACAAATATCTACGAGAAACCCCATATAATACGAACGGATGTGGCTGCTGTACAGTATATATATCTTGAGACCGGGAATATACTAGCATTTGCCGTATACTTGGCAATAGCAGAGTTCCTCGTCTGGGCAGCTGGAAGAGATATCATGTTAGTTATGTTGTCGTTAGTTAATTTGGTGCAATGGCCACTTACTATACGGACTCCTTGCCGAATATGACATGCCAGAGGAACTCCATGACTCGCCCGCTACTGGCGTCGTCTTTCTCTGTGTCGATAACCCATTGTCGGAACTTGATGTAGTCTTCTCGGGGTCGTTTCAGGACCTGCCCGCGTGACACGGCGAATTGCGCGCAGCATGCTGCGCCGACAAGTTGAGGCGCTTGGAGGAACTTTTGGGTTTGTCGAATCTCCGACGACTGGTCTTCGGCGATGGCGGGCGATGTGGTTGAGTTCAGGGGCGGGGTGCTGGTCCCCTCAAATACTTCCTCCCAGACTTGTTGTGTTACATGGCGATTGATGCGGTGTTCCTCCTTGCACCCGGGGTTCCAATTGCAACGGAGGTTGACGTAACCATTCTGCTGGACGAAATCAAGCTGTAGAGCGCGCATCGCCGCTACGTTATCATGCAAAGGCGCATCGACATGCCAGGCCATGAAGAACCCGGCGCGGTGGGCGTGGAGGAAAGCGATTGTGGAAGGAAGGTTGTCATAATTGTCAATCAAATACGTGAGGTAGGCCATAGATTCGTGGCCTTTATTGAGAGTGGTACTGAGTTTGTGTTTATCTGCTTTGGTTTTATTCGACGGGTTGACAATGTAAATCGCACGTTGCCAGCTTCAAGCGGCCCCTATTAGCAAACGAGCCCATTGGTCATTGTTGGGAGGGGGTCCGTACTCAGGAAGTTCTTGCTCGACCCATTCGGTGGGCTCTTCTTCCAGCCTGGCCATCACGATCACTTTGTCGCCCAGTTTTGCGTGGTAGTGGGATGGATCCTCATGGTGGGGGTTTTTGGAGTTCAGCCAATCTATCAAGTATGCGCCGGCGCGATACTGGCTGCAGATTTCCTCGAGACGGAGCTTTAATAGGTATAGTGGGACGATGAGCAGTAGACATGCGCCTAATGCTAATCTAAAGCCGCATCTCATTGTGAAGTTTTGAGGGTGTAGATGAGGGATAGCTCATGCGTGACGTTCGCCACACGGTGATTACTCGGGTATCAGAGACACCCAGTAGCGCACCAAGGGAGGTGCTTCAGTGTTTAAGGCGAATTCGTTCTAGCGCAGTTCACAAGGATGCTAAATGTTCACTGGCGACTAGTATACATGTAAGTACTGAAGTAGTTGAATATTGGTGACAGCCAGTTGAGTTCGAAAAGTGAGCGTGTCAAAAGGAATTGACATTGAAGGAAGAGAGGTTAGTATATTAAAGTTCATAAAGTTCAGTAAAGGGAAGGAAAAAGACAAAAGAAAAAAGTAGTAGAATAATATCAAATGAAAAAGGAGAGACGAGAGACAAGGCAAACCCGCAGATAGGAATGTTAATTAGCGCTCTGGAAAGAAGAAAAGAAAGGGAGTAGCCAGCTACTACTGCTAGTAGTCCTGACACACCATCTAGACTATGTACACATCACCGCCTTCCCAAATAAAAGGATGGTTTTCAAAAAGTTGCCCGTCTGGGTCTCCCAAAAGACAGGAAAAGGTCCGAGAGGGGATATACCGCATGATGGCAAATGACCCTAAGAAGTGAGAGGTCAGAGCGCTCCAAATGCTCGAGAAGGGAGGGAAAAAAAAAAGAAGGATTGTCGACAGTGGTGATCCCCACTGTTAGGCCACGCGTTAGTGCCTATTAAGCTCTAGGGCACCACCATGGGAGGGCTAATCATAGGCTCCAGGGGGCTGTGCTTGTGGACATAGCGGGGAAGCTTGGCTCTGGCCCGTCAGGCTTAGTTGCACCCCGTCATATCCTTCCCCCTCACTGGCCACTTAGAGTGTCTGCACACTTTAAGTTACCACGGCAGGCGGGTTTCTTTGATCCTTCTGCCACTTAAGTTAGTGAAACAACACCCTGACCCTTGAACCTGGACTCGAAGTTTACCAGTGGGACAAAGACTGAACCCCCTGGCGAGAACTGGGATACAAACACCGCCACAACTGACCGTGGGGCAAAGCTACGGTTGGTTCTGAAACGAAGGACGAACGTTGGAACCTCCAATGGAAGCATTTCGTAGCTTAAATCCAATGGGAGGCCCTGATTGGTTGACAGAACCATGGACCGCACGTGGCGTCCCGAAGTTAACTTTGGCTATGAAAGGACGTTCCAAGTCCAAGACTCAGGAGGACCATCATATCAGTCTGCCACATCAAATACGGGCTTCTCAGAGAGTGGGGAAATCAAACCGAAGTTGGAAATACGTAGCAGAAATCGGATGTGTTCCAGGTCCGTCAGCCAATGGCTCCCATTTCACACCCACAGCACTTTGGTCGATGTCTTTTCCTAACCATGGCAATAGACCATTTCTGCATCGCCAATGAAAGGTCACTAAGACATTTGAAGTACGTGGCATCCCTATATGTACCGGTGTCAGCTCAAGACAGGCAGCCATTGACATGTGGTATCGGTCATGATAAACCCTAGGCACCATCATCTGCTGCTACCCTATATCCTGTTGCCTAGAGTATGGCCCTAGGTTCGGGCTCTCAGACATTTTATTTAACTTTGGTACTAAAAGACCTACGCATACAAGAAAGAGAGAGAGGAGAGAGGGAGGGGAACCAAGAGAAGATTGAGAAAACAGAATAAATTAGTCTTCAGGTTACAGTAGAGAACTGTTTTTGTCTAACTTGGAAGTCTAGTTGGCCCATACGGCGCTTCCATGAAGGTACTAACCACTTCCTGAGCACACACTCATACTAGTTAGTGCTTATTCTGGGTGCTCTTTCACTTCTAAAACTATGCATCATCCCCACTACTATCGCTCGTCCTAATAGCATCAGTTAAATATCATACATGATCTATTATGTATCCAGAGTCCATGTTATAATACTCGACACCATTGAATGGCTTTTATTACTTCTTCTATATCTCTCAAGGAGAAAGTGCCGCGCTATTGATACGACGTGATACTTTTCTCTGACGGTTTGCTCTTTACCGATGATTTAATGTCTGACAAACGAGAATAACCCTCAGCCAACAAAATACAAACGAACCCTGCAGGGTGAGCTTATCTCAATTTACTTTAGTGATCATTAATAGGTTGGTTGGCCAGACACGGGAAACCGCTCATCTCTGACCCGCGCAGAAGGCCAACAAGACGATCTGGGCCGCTCATCACCTGTCCATATCTCCTTCCTCTAATGATGGAGTTGTGGGCATAGACGCTTATTGGAAGTGGAGGGGGGCACCCGATATAGATTTGTGACAGGCTCATGGAAAAATGACATTATTGCAGGAATTGCGCTGGCATTTCTCAGATGCCCGATCATATTTGTTCCCGAAGCAATCCAGATTTGTGATGTGATGACCTACGTGGAGGGTCACATTTAGTGTCCTGTTCCAAATTTATACTGTTCACCAACATGGATGGCAAAACGAGGGCTCTAAAATGAGTTATTACTGTGACGTCTGAAACCATATACAGCTGTTCGGTCTTCATACCTCCCTTTTTACTCTGGGTCTCGTCCTTTTAACTCAAGTATCATTTTGTCCACCAGAGCAACAGTCACTCATGGATCTAACTAGATAGCACGTATTCCCTTTCCCGTTCAACACACCATTGATGAGGATTGTGGCTACCACAAAAGAAGAAATGGCGATCAGATACAGCCGGACAGTATCCTCAATGATCTCTGCAAAGGCTTGCTTGTGCGGGCCCGAATCGACCTGATTGTCCACGGCCACTAAATGAATGGCCGGGATCCCATCTCGTCGTTTTCTGTTTTCGCTTCCACGGTCTCACTGAGAAACGACGCCTTCGAGAAGCTATCACCAAGATTTTGTTCCAAGATGAGACAAACTGACCCGAAAACGTTCGGTAGGATGTTACCTACCCTCTGGCCAAACGGCGACTGCACGCCAGATGACATAGCGCCTGCGGACGTGGAGATAACTGGAGGGCTGGATGCCGGCAGCAATTGAGGTTCTCTCCAATGGGAGGGTAGATGACACTGAAGTGGAACGAACATCGCAGCTACAAGAAGACTGATCGAGCATCACTCATTGGTTCCATGCCTTTGGACATGAACGCTCGGGAATTGGAGGGAGTATAAAGCGGTGCGATTGTCCACCAACGAGAGTGTTACTTCTAGGACGCTGTACCCATCGATTAGTCACAGCGATGGGGCATGCAATGTAAGTGTTGAAATTTGGGAAGAGTGAATTTGTCTGGCCGTGAGCAGGGAAGTCGAAGAGCTTGGCCTGAGGTATCAGATGAATGCTTTTCGGAAAGAGCTATATACGAGGCCGTTGAGCAGGGTATGTGTTCAGTGTAGCTATGCCACATGTGCTAAGTAGCTGGCTATGGGGAAATCTTGACTGAGTGACTCTTGGGATGGCTCGACTGCGCGACACTACTTAGACTGGGTACTAATCTATCTCTTAAGGTACAATGGGGCAATAGGACTATCCTAGAAATGAGAGACAGCTGGAAAATATATAATATTAGGTCTTCAATCTACTAGGAAATGGAGTAACTCAAGACTTAGTATTGTTTCGTCTGACTTGTGCAGATATCGGTCCTTAGTGCATGGTTAGTTAGAGGACGAACCCCCGCGATGTTGAGTACTCGACGTAGTTGGTGGTGTTCCAACGTAGAGCCTTGTTCATAAGCTGACTCTTGTTCAATGTTGATAACCTAGAGCAGCCGTGAGAGTATATATACATAGATTGCAGACCTGCTGCAATAGACATGACTTCATTGCCTCCATAAATTAAGATCACATACTTATTCCGTCCATTGATTTCTTGCCCTAAACGTTTTCGGCCTCTTCCTCTTCTTCACTGCTGACTTCTTCGCCATCGGCTATGGCTTGCTCCCGGCGCTTCTTTGCACGCTCTCTCTTCTTGTCCAATAGTTGATTCAGCTTCTTCGCGGTGTTAAACACCCCACCGGTGCCAGCTCCACATGCGGCACATGAAGGATTTTTCCGATATCGCTGTAAAGCGCAAGACTCGCAGAAATAATGTCCGCACTTGGTGACAATCGGGTTCTGATATGACTTCTTGCAGATGATACAGGCGAATGGGATGCTTTCGAGAAGCTCCTCATCGTCATCGTCATCGTCCTTTAATTTGTCACTCCCACGTTGGGAGACGACTTTCCCATCCTGTTTCTTTCCTTGGGTGTTTTTATCCCATTCTTTATCCAATTCCCAGCCCTGCAAGACGTTTTCTCTAATATGAGCGTAGATACACGAGTCCCCGAAACCGCACCAGCTAAATGATCGTTAGATATAAAATTTCAAATGAACCTGATTGATAAGAGTTCAACTTACCCCGTCTGTTTGTAGTCTTTGCAGACATTTGGCGTATAATCCATAAATGTTACAGTACGAATATTGGTAGGGGCTTTGATCGGTCCGAACTGCTTTGTTGGGGCATCGGGATTCTTTTGGATGAAAGATTGGTAATTGGCCGCGCCCTTGTACGTGCCATCCGATGCAGAGGGGGCGTTCGACGTTGGCTGGGCCCGTGTATTCCCCAAGAGATTCTTTGCATCTAACTCGTCATCGTACCAATTGGAATGCTTGGTGGCATCGTTGCTGGATGCCAATGGAATCGGTGTGGCTGTAACGGGTTGTTCTCCGTCCCTCCGGGGTGCATTGGTCGTAGACGAGGCTGTCACTGCTGCGCTCTTGCGTCGCCGTTTAATTCTGTGGCCCTCTTCATCATCAGATGACGTGAAATCGGAGTCCGAAGCAGGTGGTGGTGCCTCGGGCTTCTTGCGAAAATTGGCCTTGGCTTTAGCTGATCTTTTTTTGAAGGAGAACTGAGGGACCTCGTCGGCGACCTGGGTTTCGTCCGTCATGGTTGCAGTTCGCTGGTATAAAGTATGGTGATAGCGAGTTGGTGGCAATATGCACAATTGCCCCTTAACTGCAAACGTCGGATATGTCAAGGCGAGTTGTAACTGAGAAAGTCGGACAATTGGGTTGTAATATAAAGTGACCTTGCTTCGCGGTGGTGGCGTTCCTGCTTCCCGATTTGGTGTATCCCACGTGATTGGTGACAAATGAAGCTTTCTCTATGTCACGTGCGACCATATGCTCTCTGACGAAGGCTGACCCAACAGAGGCGGAAATGCAAACCCGACAAACAGCGACGTGCCCAAACGAGCAAGTGTCTTACCGATTAGTACATTACTACAGGCGCGATGCTTCAATTGGGTTAAGCTGTAATTTTTTCCCAAATCTGGTCTGGCAACCCAAAAGGTCGGGATGAACCGTTGGACAAGTCTGCGATCTAGTAGTAAAGTAGTAAAGATGCTGAGGTTGCGAGACAATTAAACTTCCCAGGATAGCCGGAAGATCGACCGTGAGACAGAGAGGTTAACCAAGATCGCTGTGAGATGTCATTCAGCATTCCCACCCCGGGATAATGGATTGTCCTTTCCCCTTAATAAACGCCTTGTACTCCGTATTAACTAGCCCTGCAACAACTCAGAGTTGTTACGTATCAGATCGAGGACAACCTAGTTTACTGCTCGGTAGCTAAATACGTCGTAGCTGTTCCTGGGCAGATCGAGTGGGAGTGCCTCGCCTCCCCCCTCTATTATTATTCATTTAATTAATTGACTCACCTATGATTCTCGTATCCAGAGGCACTGTACCCAATTACTTTATTCTCTCTCTCTCTCTCAGTACCTGCAGCGAGAGGAACCTGGTACATGAAAGTAATTAGTACCTGACTTGCTTCTAGTACGAGTAGAATCGGTACCTGATCCAAATAGTCGGTCTTGTCTGTCTTTCCCGCACGGCCCCAGTTTCGCACCTCCCCCTGCCCACACTTTCCTCTCCTTCTCTCGTTCTTCCTTTCCCTCTCTTTTGTCTTCCCCCGCTCAACGAGTCGGTTCTCGTCTCGTTGTTCAATCGGCTGTATTTGGAACATCTCTCTCTTTTCCTTACCTCGATTTCTCTTTTTTCTATTTTCTCTTATTTATTTTTTCTTTCTTTATCTTTTTCTTAACTACCTTCCTTCATTACATTCCCTTTGTCACTCCCTTTTTTTTTCTTTTTCCTTTTTCCATACTTCACTTATCATATAATAATATTATATGCGCCGCACAGCGTCGCGCGACTTGTCGCACCTTAATCCCGAATTGATCAGCTCTTGTTGACTTTCCTTTTTCGGCTGTTTTGGTACAAGTCATCAATCACTGACTCCTCCCGTGCGCCCGTCCGTTGTGGTTGGTTCACCCGGCACTCACAAGGTTACGTCTACGACTACGGCGCGTTGGTATTGACTAGACGCTACCGGAGACCCCCCCATCATCGGAACTCTCCCAAAACAAACAGAAAGCCTCTGCGACTTCGACGCAACATCCCTTTCTTCGATCGGTTCATCACCCACTTTACTATCCATCAACGTGACCCGGTCGTCTCACAGCAACCGCCCCCGACCGACGCTGCGCACTGTCTTCTACCCACCTTCACCTTCGATACATAGTAACGGTGGACAATTCCGTCGCTGGTCGGCTTGCTAAATCATCCGAGCGCAAGGAGGTATATCAGATCAACCGTTCCGGTGCAGGTCAGATGATGACCTTGGCTTGATAAAGGACACGACGAACGAGGCGACGAGTTTCTGGGCTTTCGACGACAACCGTGTCCTCATCGCTGAAACAGGCACCACTTACGAATTATTCTTTGGCGCTTGATTGTTTCCCGGTCCGTCATAACTAACGGTGTTACGGACGGAGGGCAGAGTGGGGATTGACTCATCTTCATCATGGATGATCCTTTTGTTTCCCCCACCGAGGTGGTGGTTCCCCGCGAATCGCATAGGTATTCATCTTTCGATACGCAATTGTTCAGCCTGGATGCATCTTCGCCAGCACAAGTGAAACGGGCCCTTGAGGCCCATTTGGCGGAGACAGAGCGCAGACTGGAGGAGGCATCCAAGTTAGGTACAGCGCTCATTGAACAGCAGAAGGAGCTCGAGGACAAGTTGAAAGAAGTCGAGCAACACCAAGAAGCGAGCCAGATCGGACCGGACCTGCAGCGGAAACTCGTGGACCTGGAGAGAGAATACAGGGAAATTGGACGAGAGACAGCGCGGGCATTCCTTGCGCCAAAACGTCTCGCGGGTGGTGATGATGGTCATCTGGGGACCCCCTCACTTGACCAGAAGGTATACAATTTGCCAGTCCGGCACACTATATGGAGCGCTAATATGAGGTTCAGTCACCACTTAACCCCGCCTTGTTTGCTGGCCAAGCCACCAACTCTCCCAGCAAGGTGAGCGTGCCATCGCGAAAACAGCGCAACCAACCATCGAGCCGTGTCCATGATATCGAGTTTGCGACCGAGATCTCCACCTCCCTTCTAGCCCAGGTTCGTCAGTTGCAGGCACTGCTTGCGGAGCGCGAGGAGGCCCTGAGAACTGTGAACTTGGAGAAGTCAAGGCTTGAAATCGAGGCAGAGGGGTATACGCAGCGGATCCGGGCATTAGACGAGAGCGAAGAACGTTACAAGGACGAAAACTGGGCGTTGGAGACTCAGACCCGTGAGCTCATGTCTGCGGTGAAAGATGCTGCCGATCGCGAAAGTAGACTCAACAGCAGCCTGGGTGCCGTTACAACGGAAAAGAGCACCCTGGAGCGAGAGTTGGAGGATCTGAAACAAACCAATACGAAATTGATTGAGGACCAGACGGCGGCACAAAAAGCAAACGACGCTGAGATCCATCTCCTGCGCAGGAACTTGACTTCAGGCGATGCGGAAAGGCTTGCATTGCAGAAGAAGGTTGAAGAGTTGAACTCCCAGAACGAAGAGCTTGCTAGAGCAGTCGCTATGCGGCTTCGACAACAAGAAGCGGAGACCGTGCGGGAAGTTCACCGGGATGATGACTCTGATGAGGATGGTAGAGGGACACCGGAAAATTCACCGCCGCCATCGCCCAATAAGTTCACTCCACGACACAACCAACTGGAGACAGAAACATTACGGAGTTCCTTGGGCCATGCTCACCGTATGATCCAGAATCTGAAGAGCACCATTCACCGCGAGAAAACCGAAAAGATTGAGCTCAAGCGCATGTTGCAAGAAGCGCGCGACGAGATTGAACAGAAACGTCGCGAAGCTGTTGCCCCTGCTGGGCCATCCAACAAGCGTCAGAAGACCAAGCCCGATAACACCCGCAAGGCTGCAAGACCAAACCTTCTCGGTGCTGGAAGGAGAGGAATGACAGAGATCGAGGAGGTTCATGAAACAGATTGGGAAGACCATGCCACTGACACAAGTCCATCGCACAAGGCAGCTCTGAGATCTTATCGTAGCCGCCCCGAACTGCAGTCTCTAGACGAGCCCAGTGATGCCTATCATACTGCTACTGAAGCAGACGATGCTTTTGAGACCGCCAACGAGCGGGAGGCGGCCACAGAAAGCGAAGCCTTCCAGACGGGCGTCGAGAGCATGGCTGATGACAGTACGGATACTGATGAGCTAACTGAAACAGAGGACCGTATTCAGTTAACACCTCGTGCTCGTGTCTCATCCCTAACCATGGCAAAAGCTCGTGACCGGAAATCCTACCAGAGCACTGCCTCCACTTCAGGGGAAGAAGATGAGGACTCCGATGGCATGTTCCCTTCGCCAAGTCGAACTTCGACTCCTCGGCACCGTCTCAGGAACAAGAGGAGTGTGATGAGGAGGATTCGACCTTCTGGAGAGGCTCCAATGGCCTCCGGTAGTCGACCATCTAGTTCACGCGAGTCCCCGGCAACCAGCTTCACACAGACACCAGGGGATTCCGAAGGCCAGAGCCTGTTTGCAGAACTCGCAGAACTTGACGGTGAGGAGGATGAGGAGGAGTTCGGCCCACCGATTGAACACGATGCCGATTGCACCCCACGTATCCTTTCGATGCCTGATTCGAGAAGATCATCCCAGGCCACATTGAACACCAGACCCAAGCCTGCCATGGTTGACTCCGGTGTCATGACTGATCCTTGGGAACCAAGCATCCCAGCAGTCGTGAACGACGAGAATGTCTCGAATGTGCTTGCAACACCTAAGAAGTCGACGCCGGATGCCGATATTGCTGCTGGCATGAGGGAGCAACCAGAGTTGGTGCATGCTGGAACACAATGGGCCTCCCCTGAGACGTCTTCTGAAGTGAATGGCGATCATCTGTCGAGTGTGCCAGCCACTTCGAAGTTGATTTCGGATGCAGACGCGGAGCGGGAGCTCAATGTTCCCGCAGCTATACTGCCACAACTCGAAGTTTCTCCTATCTCTACTCAGGACACCGTTCCTGTAGCGCCTAAGCTCCCTGAGTTGAGTATGTCATACGTTGTGGGAGGCTCAACCGAGCCGATCGCTGCACCCATTTCCGAACCCGCAGAGATGACTCTATCAGCCATCTCCTTGCAGTATACAGAACCCGTTTCTGCCAAGCTACCTGAGCCAGAGCCGAAGTACGTACCGGAAGTGGTTGTCTCCTCAATCTTCTCTGAGGAAACTCAGTCTGTTCCGGCAACGCTTCCTGAGCCCGTGCCTGAGCCTTCAGTCTCCGTGGCAGAGCAGGCAACGAGCACAGACATTCCACAGCTGGCATACTCCGCAATATTCTCTGAGCATACCGAGCCTGTTCTGGCGACACTTCCCGAACCCGTTCCAATACCTGTGCTTGAGCCTGAAGCTCCGGTTTCTGTCACTGAGCGTGCCATGAGCACTGAGGTTCCGGACCTGGCAGTCTCGACAATCTTCTCTGAGCAGACTTTGCCTGTATTGGCGACTCTTCCAGAGCCGGTGCCCGAGCCTTCGGTTTCAGTCGCGGAGCGTGCTATGAACACTGAAATCCCTGACCTAGCGGTTTCAACAATCTTCTCACAGCACACAGAACCTATTACGGCGATGCTACCAGAACCAGTTCCAGAGCCGGAGGTGCCAGATTTGACAGTAACCTTTATACCACCCGAATCTACCGAGCCTACTGCACCCAAGGAGCGCGACGTTCCCGTCCCTGCGTCTCCGCAATTGTCAGTTTCCACGATCCGCTCCGTCGAAACACTCCCTGTCAAGGTCGCTCCAACTGCGGCTATCATTCCCGCAGTCCTGCCATCAGACGAGAACGCACCGCCCTTGCAAACGAGAGGTGTTATGGTCGACAAGTCCACTTCAGAGCATTTGCCAATTGTGGTTGTCGAAGATGCAGCGAATGATAGCCCTGATTATGGCACAGCTCGCCAGAAGATGGATGCCCCCTCGCCTCTGAGCGCTATCTCCGGCAATGCTGTCCCACGCCATGCAAGACGGCGATCATCAAACCAGGCAGATCAAGGCGCTCAGACGATACTGTCTTCTAAGCAAATCGACCAGATTCTCATGGACCGTGTTACGGCCCGGCCTTTATCTCCCCCCGACAGTGACAAAGCTAAGGAGCAAGGCAATTCACCCGCTGCCACGCCAAGGGCGCGATCCCATCCCCAGCATCAGTCATCCGCCGCATCTCTCAACTGGCGTCCAGGCAGCGCAGCCAGCCAGGCTTCTACTGCCCACAGCCATCCCCCGTTGCCTACTGAAAATAAAGAGGCTGTTATGGCTGCCGAGAAGAAATCGCTTGATCAACAACCGGCCACACCGGGTCTCATGGCGCCCCCTCTTGCTCCAGCTTCCGCTTTCCGTGCTCCACGCCCGCGCACTCCAAATGATCCAGCCGCTCAGGTTGGCTCCATCAGGTCTTCTACCTCGCGGGCCAGGGCGAGGTGCGAAAGCCAGATGTCTCGGAGGTCTTCGGTCTCATCGTTTGCATCCGAGATCGATGAGCGGTTTAATGCACACGCCACTCCGGCTGGTGGGCCTTATGGCTATGGCTCCGGCACAGATCCACGCATGATTCAAGCCATCACCCAGACTATGATTGGAGAATTCCTTTGGAAGTATACACGTAAAACAGTCTCCGGAGAGATTTCCAACACTAGGCACCGTCGCTACTTCTGGGTTCATCCGTATACCCGCACCTTATATTGGAGTGAGCAGGACCCTCAAAGCGCTGGCAAGTCGGAGCGTAAAACCAAGAGCGTTCCTATTGAAGCCGTGAGAGTTGTCGCCGATGACAACCCATACCCTCCCGGTCTTCATTGCAGGAGCTTGGAAGTTGTCAGCCCTGGTCGCCGGATCAGATTCACCGCGACTACTAGCCAGAGGCACGAGACCTGGTTCAATGCACTCTCGTATCTCTTGCTGCGGTCGGAAAATGGCGAGGAGACCAATGATCTGGAAGATATTGATGAATTCAACCCGGGGTTCCGGTCAGGATCTCACTCGCGCCAGAGACCACGGTTGTCAATCTCTTCATCTCAGAGTCGCACGACCCGAAATTGGCCGAAACAGCGAGCGGGTTCTGCCCTCTCTCTGCGCCGCACAGGGACCCCCGGTCGCGCTTCTCCGGCTCTGAGCACACCGTCTCACTATTCCGATCAAAGGAACAATTCCACGTCTCGACTCAGTACCATTCTCAATACTACGCTCAAGGGCTCTTTCGGCCGAAAGGGCCTCCCTGGCTATGCGACATCTAGTATCCATGATGGTAGTGTCTACGGCCGTGACAGTGAGGAGGACCTGCGGCAGATGATGGAGAGGCAAGAACAAGAGACAGATCGACTTGAGAACGTTCGTGCTTGCTGCGATGGTAAGAGCATGCCCAGTTGGACCGTTGCGACCTATCCGCTAACACTTGTAATATAGGCAAGCATGATGTCAGCTCACTCTCAAGGACAAGTCGGTACAGCCCGCGTGTTCACCGGCATCACTCTCATCACTCTCATCACTGAGCCTGTCGACCTGTATTGTGAAGATGCGCCCCTCTCTCCATGGACCTTCTTTATACATCGCTCGCATCTCCTTCATTTCTGTCCTCCTCGACCCTCATAGCATGCGAATCTCATGAGCGCACGTGTTAGCATTTTCTTCCTGGCTCCCTTTGCTTTTCGGTAGTTGCCACCCTTCGAGCACACTTTCTTGGAACCTCGTGTTACGTATAGTCATTATTAATCTTGGGGATGTGGTCCCTTTGGCATCTATCCCCTCTCAGGTGTCTGGACTGTTCTTGTCATTCATTCGTGATATTTGCAAAAATGAATTATTGATTTTGTCCTTTCCTTTGTTGATACTCATTGTCCAGCTGATATCTTTATGCCGTTCGTTCCACTTGGGCTTGGTCCTTGTTTATTGCTACCACTTCCATCCTGTGTGCATCTCGCATCAGTCCATTATCTTTTTGACTTTTCTTTTCTCACATCTTGATATCGAGTCTGCAATCTGTAATGGCAGCAAGATTGGCCATTGACGCCATGTGTCCGTGTTACTCTGTTTGTATATGTCAGGAACTGATCTAGACACCATTGAGGAATTCGAAACCATATAGTGGGGTCACATACTGTTTGATTCCCACTGTACCGTGCATGGATAAGATCTCCTGTAAGCTGTACGGAGTAGTTGAATCTGATCGATGCGGTAGTTAGCGGGGAGGATTAGTCATGCATCGCCAATTTAGAACCATCTTTCATCTTTCAACTTTCTATTTCATATCTCATCTCCAATCCCACTTCTCTTGCCATTGTTCAAACAGATCGTTCAACCGGAGCCGCCTGTTATAGATTGCCGGTTCCCTGTTCATTGAGAAACAATGGCTTCTATCAATGAGCCTACCACTAAGGTGTGGCTCACGTCACTCCTGGAACCAGGCCAACTGCTACTCTGGGCCATACCATGTAAGTCCAACGGATTGCGTGTTACGCGCGTAGAACGATTGTCTTGCACATATACAGCAGTTCCTCGCCACATAACCGATGGTGTAGACACACATATGCACACAATTTTCCTCCCTACCGGTTTCCTAGTAAGCTGAAGCTAATATGTCCCATAGTTCATATCAAAGTGAACCTGGAAGCGGTCTTTAAACGAGGCCAGATCCTCGCTCCACTACTCCAATCCGGGAGGCTCCGTGATGAAGCTTTCGGCCGATTCTGGGTCTCCTTTAGCAGTGAGTTGCCCGACCATCAATTCAATCAGATAACCCAAGCTAATACGCTACGCGGTGAACCTTGAAGACGCCGTCGAATCCCAACCCCCACCCCCACCAACCCAAACGGGTGTCCAACGTTCCTCGGATCTCATCCCGCCCGTCATGTCCCACGCCTCAGGCCTAGTCCTAGACGTCGGCCCGGGAACAGGAACCCAAATGCCCCTTCTACGTTCTCCAGCTATCAAAGCAATCTACGGCGCTGAGCCCTGCCACGGTCTTCACGCAGCACTGCGCTCTAGAGCCGACGCCGAAGGCATAGGTGAGAAGTACCACATTCTTCCCTGTAGTGTCGCCGCCTCGGAACTCGTCCCCGTTCTCCAGAAACAGGACCTCCTGCCTGCTGGTGCTGCCGCGCTTGACCAGGCGGCCGGTGGTGTCTTCGACACGATCCTTTGCGTCCGTGTGCTTTGCTCTGTGCCAGATCTGGAACTGTCTGCTCGGGAACTGTATGCTTTGCTTAAGCCTGGTGGGAAGATTCTCGTCGTGGAGCATGTGGTTAATCCATGGCGTACGGCGAAGGGGTCTGTTGTTGCGAGGGCTATGCAGGCCGTTTATGGGTTCTTGGGCTGGAGCTGGTATATTGGGGATTGTCGGATGAATCGGGATACGGAGAAGGCGTTGCGGGGCGCGGCGGAAGAGGATGGAGGATGGGAGTCTGTGGAGATTGAGAGGTGGTTTGGGAGGACTTGCATGCCGTATATTGCTGGGGTTTTTGTGAAGAGGGGGTAGGCTGAATTATGGTATATATGATGATAAAGGTTGTTTGGTATAGGAATTATGTTATTTCGATTTGAGAAGACTGTAACACTATCTTGTTCAATTATCTGGAGACATAGCCCCTTACGTTGTCGTCTTATGAGGTTATACAAAGAACCAAAGATATTCAATCGTTTGTTTTGGTGTCTAAGAACACTGTAAACGACTAATCGGCCCAATTCAAAAGGTATATCAGTGAAACAGTGTCCCCCTTTCGGTTCATCCACTTCATCTATAGATTCATTATTCAACGCCTCCACGATCAAGCTTGTGATAGACTTTGCCGGTTTGTTCATTGTCGTAAACTTACAAAGCTCGTTTGCCTCTGAACAAGATGAATAAAGAATAGTTAATGGGATGTAGACATTATATCTTGAATTCATAGCTTCATCAGCTAGCTGTATCTAATCTATATGATATGCAGAAGTTTGCAAGCCGCTTCACAAAGCCATGCAGCTTTATAGTAGAAAGCACGGCTAGTCAAGTGTGCACGGCAGAATGACTACCTTCATGAATTATGCCGACATTGAAATAAAGGACGACAATAAAGATCGCAAACAATCCCACAATAACTGCCATGGATCTAGCAACATGCTCAAAGAACAAAGGCCATAGTTGAATATTGACAAGAAGGGCAATGGAGCTAGACTGGAATTGGCTATATTAAAAGACTGACAACAGCCTCATATTCAGCTTAGCTCTTCTATCCAAAAGTATACCATTTCGCTCTATTACTACAGCTTTAGCCGCTTATCCTTAACCTTCCATATCCAACTGCCATCCATCGATTCCTCCACTTTTCTCCAACATGGAACCTCACGCCACAGAATGACGAGGATCATTTTGGTCCCATTTCGGTACCCTGGTCCGTAGAATGGACCCCCCTTCCACACGGATGCCCAGCCTCCTCCAACGTAACAGCCTTCGGTGAGGAAGCCTTCACAACAGGCGTGATGAACCTGCACGGCGGCGCCTGCGCCATGGTCATCACGGAGAAAAGCATCTACAACTCTCATTTCCGGGACGGCCCGTCCTTTTCCCAGAGCACTATTCTAATCCGCGAACCGGTAATCTTCTTCGAAAACGACGTCCTACACCCGCTAAGACACGGCCTCCATTTCCTCACTTCCGATGGAACCCTCCTCGAAGGACCCCCGGCATGCAACCCTATTATCAAAGACGAAGACGAGCCCCTTCGCCTTCATTTTTAGCCCGAGGGAACGGAACTCGCAGTCCATGCAGTATCCTGTGCAGATCGTTGACATCGCTCGCGCGCTCCGGGATGTCTTGCCCAGTGTCCGTGTGAGGGGTTTGGGGTATGTTAATGTTGGTCAGAGGACTCCTGTTCCTGGGGATTCGGATCATGTTGATCCCAGCTGTGGGAGATATTGGGCAGCTGGAGGGGACGGTGGTGGGCTGATTATCAGCCTAGGGTTAGGATGCAGGATGGGAGGGAGGGTTCGGCAGTGGATATTTTTGGATTGGGGATGAGGAGGAGAGGGCTTTTAGGAAGGAATGGGCGAGTGGGGAGTTAGTTGAGTTGGGGGTTTTGTGCTTGTTGTAAATGAAGATCTCGTGAGGTTGATGCTTGTTGATGTTTGTCTTAGGGTTGGGGGATCACATGATTTGGGGTTCTTGGGGGACCAGGTGTACTATCATTCTTGAGGAGAGTAATTGTATGCTTTGTTTGGGTTGTTGCTGTTACCATGAAGACTCATAGTTAATTAATTTCTTGCATTTGAATTTCTGGGTTTATGTTATCAGTAGCCATTTGCAAAAGCCACGGCTGATGTATAGGTAAAGTAAATCAAGCACAAAAGTACCGCGGTTAACGAGCATAAAGAAGTGCAAAAATAATCATCAGAGAGAAAACCAACTTGTAAGACAAAAAGCAGATAGAAGATCAATCTGCCAGAGGCAAGGATTCGTAATCCTCAAGCATAAACTCCCTCAAAGCACCCAACGCAGCCTTCAGGACCTCCGGATCCCCACCAAACCCAAGACGTACGTAGCCGCTGAAATTCTTCCCATCTCCGAAGCATTTTCTCCCCGGCACGAGGAGTACGCCCTTCTTTTCTAGGAGTCTTGTGCAGAATGCCACGTCGTCTACCGGATGGCCAGACCTGGCAAATCTGATGAACCCAATTGGGCCAGCAACAGGTTTCACCCATTGACAGCTCGACGAAAATTCATCGATGAACGATTGAACAATGTCACGGTTATTCTTTGCTAGCACTGTGTTACGTTTCACCAGATTGTGGACGCAGGAGGGGCTCAGTGCGAACGATGCGATCTGTTCATCTACTTGGCTGGCTGTTATGAGGGCGTAGGAGCGAGCATTGATACAGAGGTCGAGGATGGGTTTACTGTGGGACGCAATCCATCCTATTCGGATTCCAGCGAGGGCGTAGGCTTTTGATAAGGAGCTGGTAACGACTGTGTTTTCGTAACCAAAGGAAAGGGCTGAGGGCGGGTAGTCCGGGTCTCCTGGAGAGATGGAGTGGAAGCTGGGCCGATACACCTCGTCACTGAAGACTGTTATAGAGTGGTTTTTGGCGATTCGGATGATTTCTTCGAGGCTCGATTTGGGGATGATTGCGCCGGTGGGATTTTGTGGATTGCTAGGGTTGATCAGTTCATCTGACGTTATACATTGTGCATGGGAGAACATGAGGTCTTACTTCAGAACGATCATTTTTGTGTTTGGCTGGATGAGGCGTTCCAATTCCTCAATATCGAGCTTCCAATTGTCGTTTTCCTTTGCCTTCCATAGACTCACTTGCGCTCCAAGGGAAGCTGGGAGGGAGTATAGTTGCTGGTAGGTGGGATACTGGACGATAACATGATCGCCGGGGCCAATTAATGCAAAGAGCACAATGAAGTTCGCCAGTGATGCGCCAGGGGTCGTCAGGATCTTGTCAGATGATACCGGCACTAAAGAATCATCTGAGTATAGGTTGGCAATGTTTTCCCGTAGCTGCTCCAATCCAGTGAAGGAAGGGCCGTAGTTCATCGGTGTGGATTGAACTGAGGCGAGAATATCATAGTCTGCTGCTGTATTCTCGGACAGCGATTTGAGATCATTGATCGTGACAGGGAGAGAGTATGAATGTGCCAGGTTATACTTGGGACCGATGTCCCGAGTCAGAATCCACTACGATGGGTCGTGTTAGTTCACGGTCTTTCTCTTAGAGATACTTCATGATGTGGCAGGCCACTTACATGGTCGACTTCGAAAGGTTCTAGTTTCACCATAGTGACGAGTGGGTAGGTATTCTTTTTATTTGAGTATTGACTAGATACTTTAAAAGATAAAAAAAGGTTCGATCTTGTGTTTCGTCCGGTAGAGCATATCGCAGGTATTTATAGTCAGCAGCTCATGAGCAACACATGTCTGCTGAAGGGCGTGGGGTTGGCCCCACTTTTACGAGTCATCGTCTAATGATTTGGCTCGATAATGATTCATGTTCAACTTCCAGGCCAGTGTCAGTCTCCAGTTCTTTTGAAATCTCACTTTGAATATGTCAGTACGGAGTATTGCTGTGCGATACCAGGACTAGCTAATGTTATCCTGAGTGGCTACAGCCTGGTAGTGATGGTCGATGGAACACAGAAGAATACACCACCTGCATGATGAGAAATTCTACCGGGTATTGATCCAGTATATCAGGCACAAGTTTAAGCCAGTCGGGTTGAACGCTACAGGCGATTGTAATGTTGCAGAAATCCCAGAACTCCGGGTATCATCCAGCGCTTTTCCAGTCTACTACTAGACTAATCCTACATTCTGGGTATCTGTCAACGATCTCCATACCGTTCAACCATAGTATTCTTCGGCTGACGATCACCGTGAATAAAATTCTATTCTTATAATAGATAACACCTTCTTTTACTACTCTGAGAGGTTCGAGTAATTGTATATATGAACAGAAGTAATACTGTGACGTTTATCTTTGTATTTGCCTGGTTCAAGTCTAGTTGGGGTCGCTCGATTGGTTTAATAGTCACACGAGCAAAGTTAGTGTTCTTTTTTGGATAGAAAACATCTGACCAGGATTGATTAAGGCTGTTATCTTGTGATATTGGAACACATGGGGTGAGGACTAGATGACATGTCGAGAGTAAACTATGACTTGGAGCCAAACATAGTGAGCTTCGAACATTTTGTTTTCTAATTAGCTGCTGTTGTAATGATATCTTTGCTCATCCGGGTACGCATTTTCAACTTTATAAAATATATTATAAAATAAATATATTCTTTTAATATAGTTAACGTCTACGGCTGGAATATCTCTAGCGTAGACTAAATTATTAAAGCCCCGGGTAATAATAGCTAGAATAGATTGATTTCGGTATCTATCCCAATGGTGTGATAGAGATTTGGAATCCCAGGGATTAAAGATATTCCTAAAGTATACTATAATAATATCTCTGTTGCGAGTTCTAATAAAAATACCGGTATTAGGTATATTTTATAGTTTTGTTTCAAGGACTAGTAGACTAAAAAAAGTATATAAACAATTACTGTATACTATAATATTTTATAATTTAGAAATAACTCAATAAATTTAATTTTTAAAAATATAGAGAGCTTAGTCGAGTGGTATAATAATAATTTAGAAAATTATAAAAATAACATAGTATATATAGCGAGTAGTAATAGACACTTTAAGATAAAATTAACATATAACTATCTAAGTGGCAAGTATGGTATTCCTTTTTAACTTAGGACATCCATAAATAAGACCTATTTTTATCGGTTAGTATTTTACGTGTTGGATAGAAGGCTAAAGCTAAAGAATCTATAAGCAAAATTATATAGAAATATACTAAAAACCGGTTTTTATATAGACAGTTACAGTACAGTCTATTATATTTATTAGATTATAATATATCTAACTTTGCGTTGTTCCTGACATTATTTCTGATATTATCTAGTAATTCACGGCTACCGCCGGGCATTGAGTCAAACCTCATGAATCCTCCGTCCGATGGATACATTCTGTATATCGTGGGAGGAATTGTGATGGATTAGTGTATATCACCGCCGGTCTGAGTATAGATGCGAAACTTACTATTCGAAGGTGAATGGCTGAGGTATTGACAATCTTGAGATCATCGCTGATCAAGGGCATCTCCAGGGGAACGACTGATTGCTACAGTTTGTAGCCTCCAGACTAGCGTGGGGGCTTGGAGGAGTTCCTTGCTGCCTAAACTTTTGGCCCCATCATTGCCTGCAGCCCTGTTGGTCGTGTTTTCGCGTCGAAAACGTGTGATTCCCTGGGGAAAGGTCCGTCATTTACACTCCTTGGGGCGGGCCGAACCCTCCTGGAGAGACCGGACCGGAAGATCAGCCCCCCTTCTTCTGTACCCTAAATGTATGTGTATGTTGGGTTTCATTCCTACCTGGTTCACGTAGTTACCTGTGAATGGAACTTATCAAGAACAAAGGGATCCTGAAATTGTGTCGAGTCATGCGGCACACGGGGGGGCTACTAGTAGTACGCTGTAGTAAGTAATAAGCAGCCATGCCACCAGGCTTAGCACGCCCTATCCCTGTCAGTCAACCAGTCGGCTGTTAGTGATCAGCAAGGATCAAGATACAACGGCCCCCACGAGGTCTTTGCGCACAGGCTCCTGCGACAGGACGATTAAAGCAATTTAAAATGCGTGACATCTGTGCTCTTTCTCCTCCTCATTTCTCCCAAACGCTCAATATCGCAAAATCATACAACCTCCTGTCACTTCAATAACCCGACAACATGTCCCCCAAATCGGTTTTAATTACCGGATGTAGCGATGATGGAATCGGCTCTGGCCTGGCACTGACTTTCCAAAAGCAAGGCTATCAGGTCTTCGCGACTGCCCGAAATCTCGACAAGATGGCCAAGCTGAGTGGCCGATCGAATGTCACCTTGTTGCCGCTAGATGTGACCGAGCCACGCCAGATTGAATCGGCCGTAGCTGCGGTTGAGGCTCAGACAGGCGGAACCCTAGACGTTCTAGTCAATAACGCCGGTCGCAATCACTTCATGCCTTACCTGGACGAAGACGTGGAGCAAGTCAAGGCCCTCTATGATATCAATGTTTGGGGGCCACTGCGAGTGACCAAGGCCTTTGCCCCATTATTGATCAAAACGCAAGGCTCCATCGCTTTCATCACGTCGATCTCTGGCTATGTGAACGTTCCATTCATGGGTAGGTTTTTCTTTTCTTTTCTTCTTCTTTTTTTCTTTTTTTTTTTTTTTTTTTTTTTTTTTTTTTTTTTTTTTTTTTTTTCTTTATTCGTTTTTTTTGTTTTTCTTTGCCGGAAGCGATTTTGTCTTTTTTGACTTCGGCTCTTTTTTTTTATTATGCCTAAGCATGAATGAATCAAGATTCATTAACGTTGATTGTCGGATTTAGGAGCATATGCCGGTTCGAAACGAGCACTGGAGCTTATGGCTGATACACTTCGGCTGGAGTTGATCCCGTTTGATGTCAAGGTTCTGTGCATCCCGACTGGTGCGGTTCGCACCCAAGGGCAGACCTATTTTGGAGATTTCAAGTTGCCCGAGGATTCTCTGTACAAACCAATTGAAGAGACAATTGCTGCACGGGCACAGGGCCAGGACGGCGTCGAGCGAATGCCCTTGATGGACTACAGCAGCCAGGTCGCTGCCCAGATCGAAAATGGTGCGACTGGCCGCTTTTGGTGTGGCGCCAACGCCGACAGGACAAAGGCTACCATTAGCGGTGATTCCAATGATATGATGGTTAGTACTGTTTTTCTTTTTCGTTTCTTTCTTTCTGGTTGGAATTTGGGGTCTAACAAGGCACTAATGCATGCACTTATACAGGACGACATCTTTGTCAAAATCACTCGGCTGGATACGTTGTAAATACACTTGCTTCATTGGGGCTTGCTTCCCATAGGTGAACTTCCGTGGGGGTTGGGTTGGTGTCAATACGTAGCAATCAATTAACTATGTAACCATGGCTTACTGGTCATACCCGATATCCTGCTCTGCTTCTATCCACTTTGTACTTCTCTACCTAATAGTACACAGAAGCATACACCACCTGCATCATAAGAAATTCAACCGAATATTGATCCAGTATATCAGGTACAAGTTCAAGCCAGTCGGGTTTGAATCTACACGCGATTGTAGCGTTGCAGAAATCCCAGAACTCCGGGTACCATCCAGCGCTTCCCCAGTCCAGTAGAATGATCTTAAATTCCGGGCATCCGTCACGATCTCCGAGCCTTTCAACCATAATATTCTTCGGCTGAAGATCACCATGGGTAAAGACAGTGCGGTAGTGTTTCAGTGTCTGGTTAACCATATTCCGTAATAAGTTGATATACTGGTCTGATTCTGTCTGGCGAAGTCTCCTGAGAATAGCAAGATTCATATCTGCTTGGTTTTCGAAAGGCCCTGAGATTTGAGGATCCAACCCTTCAGTCCAGAACACCCCGTCAAGCTAAGGATGGTGATTTAACATCCCCAAGTAACCTGGTGGCGGTATACTCCGCAGTTCTGTTATCGCGTTTTTAATCGAGTTGCATATTGCAGCCTTTTCAGCCTGGTTAAGGGATGGCAATAGTTCTTGAAGAGTATCGCCATGGATGTATTGCATAATGATATATGTCTTCTTGGTGCTGCGGTCCCTGAAGGCTGTGTAGACTTTTGGGACTGGAACTTTGCTATTCGCTGCGAGAAACTTCATATTCTCAGCATCGAGTAGAGGTATACCGTGACCGAATTTGACTGCGAAATGCTTGTTTACCCGGACGACTTTGGTGTACTTCTCTGGAATGCTCATGACTTCCGTCGCGGCCTCGATCTCAGCGAGAGTTGGGAGGCAAGTAGCCTCGGAATCGGTTTCTTTCGACATCCTATAGACAGGGCTAGGGATCTACATATAGGTCTTGGAAGAAAACAAGGATATGTCACAGGTTGAAGTGGGTTGAAGTTGAATTGGAGGTGGGCGCTTTGTTAATGTTCCTATCTGTTCGTGGGGCACTTGAAATGGCTTGGTAAAGTGATTGTCTGTCTGGGCATAGCGCCATTAAATCCCTGGCTGCTTTTACCCGCTACTAACTATATAAAGTGCATTTCTCCTAGACCACATGCTTGCCTATAGCGGCTTTAGTTCTAATTACCAAGGATGTCCTTCTCAGTATCTGAAACCAAATGTTAATAGTGTGTATCGAATACCAACGGTTCCAAGTACCGCCTAATCCAGACAACCTTTCCCTCCGTGGGATCCATCACCGCCGCGAAATGGGTCATCTCATTAGTAGTCGGGTATGTTGCCGTCCATTTAATAACTTCCTGAAGCGTAGCTGTGACTTGGGAGTCCACCAACGTACCCGAGCTAGGAGTATGCAAAGAGGACCCATTCAGAATGATTTCATGTGCTGATCGGCCTCCCATTCTCTGAGACGCGCGAGTGCGTCTCATAGGATCTTGGCGGGCAGTTGAGTATGTACATTTTGGGATTGAGGCTGCCTTCCTCGCCTGCCTGACTTTCTTATCCCAGTGCGCTTGCATGAATTTCCTCCGTTCTTCGCTGTCTTCGATGAGGTCCACGACCGAGACAGCCACCCCTGTCCCTAGGGCTGCACCGACATGGTCGTCTTGGTGTCCGTTTTCTGTCGCTGAGGGAGTGACATGGTCACTATTTGTTGCGACGATGAAAGAGGATTGTCGTTCTACGTGAGCTGTCCGGTGGTCCTTTTCCAGGACCACTGCATCGACCCCATCGCAAAAGATCAGGTATGCAGCTGTAGACGGTGTCCGCATTACCGTCGGCCAGACATCGTCGAGAGCGGGCAGGGGAGACAACCCATCCGAAGGAATGATATATCTCCTTAGCAGAGAGGATACCGACCGTCGCATTCCGAGAAGCACAAGTAAATGACTTCCATAATAGCGATAATTACGCAGCCAACTGCTCGTATCATGGTTCGGTCTAAAATTCAGAGAAACACTAAGTCCTCTCCTGACACCGGTTAAGACGCCCACAAAGCCAATGTAGGTGATGTTCGTCGCCAGGACGGTCTCATAATCAGGTCCGCGGACATATTCAAAGCAGACGAGCAACTTTCGGAGCTCATCCATACCCCAGTCTAGGGTTCGGAAATGCAGAAGTCGAGGTTGCGATTTCCCCCCTGCGGGGTTGTCGAGTTTTGTTAGTGCTGCACCGCTTGTGCAGCCCATTAGTAGGTCCAGGAGCACGTTGAATGAGACTAGTAGGTACAGTTCTATTCCTGTGGCGCGGCTGATGCCTTTGATTTCTTCTGTTTCTTCATGGGTGTATAGGCGGCGCAGGAAAATGCGTGATAGTCTTTTGATCCATGGTAAGAGGGATTTGGGGAGGGCATCGGTGATGAGTTGGTCGAAGAGACCTGTTATGGAAACTAGGTGGTTGTGGTATTTTCTTGCGACGTGTATGTATCTTTGTGATGGAGGGAGAGAGAGGTCGATTTTGAAGACTGGGGGCACTTCACCTAGGCGCATTGCATGCGCCATAGTTAAAGATGGTTGTTGTGGAAATATGTCGTCTGGGAGGGCATGGTTGTTTTGTACTTGTTTGGGGATGAAGAGATGTAAGGATGATGAAGCATGTGCCCTGTGCCTGGACACATGACATGGCACAGATCATTGGTTTGGTATGATTATTGACCAGAAAATAAGCACTAGACCCACAAAAGATTCTGTTGACATCCGCTAATTCCCGACAGTTAATTCCGGACTTATATATTTCGGATGGTAATAATTTCTTACCAAATTTTAGATGTAGGCTTGTATTTATTTGTCTCTCCTAGCACCCTAATACACACATATTTTCAAAAATAAAATAAAAAAAAAAATGTAGAAAATACGAAAATTCAGTTCCCTCTTCTACTGGAGAAACAAGAAGCCACCTGTCCCTAATAACGTTGAGAAGCTTGAGCTCGTCCCATTGGCATTTTGTTATACAGTCCTTCATAGCATCTAGTTTAATTTGTAGCAACTGCCGATCAACTGGGGCAAGAGTATGCGCATAAATAACCTGTGGGCAAGATATGAGATGAATCTTTTTCGAGGAACGTTGGAGGCGAGCTGCAAAAACCAAAAAGCTGACCACCTATGATACTGTAGCCCTAGTAGCCATTGAAGAAAGAGATCCCATATCTCTTCTCGGCTTCGATAATGTCTCGTACTGGCTCATTTGTTGGACGATATACTTTCGTCATGTGAACGGGATCCCAGTATTTTGAAATGACTGTATGTAGCCTCGAGAGCTGATATGGAAAGCATGCTCTCCAGGATTTGGGAAGGCTTGGGATGTAGGACATACTAATCCGAGCAAGGATTTCGAGAAAAGAGGACATACTGAACGAATGTATTGGTCTGTGCAAAATTGCGGTCAGCGCCTGAGGCAAGACTGGCATTTTATAAACCTAACCATGCACATGACGTATTGAAGGTAAGCTTCGAATTACATTAGGAATGAGACCAAAGCGCAGAGCAGGGGAAATCCCCTGAACAAATAACACTCGCATCATATTGGAAAATATGGCAAGATGCCTCTGTTCGTACCGTACTGTTGATTACTTCAGTACTATGTTTCTGTAGCATAATGTGCACTTTCAATCCGCTACCTGACTAATCTGAACCTATAACTATGCGGCTAGGCATTAGCGCTTCCCGGGAAGCACTATCACATAAGTCCTCTAGGTTGGCAATACAATGAGACAGCAACACTTCCTAGAAAGCACAAACACATAAGCTGCAATGCAACTAGACAGTAGCGCAATAGGAACACAGTGCGCTCCCCTTCCCAACTCCCAACTCCCACAACCATAACTTCGCTTAGTCGCTGGGGCAACCCCAGCATGTGACTATTGACCACGCTTTGGGGTGTCATGTTAAACCCAGCCTTTGCAACACTTCAAATTTTGTACTGCATCTCGACTCGCTAGAGCCCGGTTACAATGAAACGTATGCTTAGGGCCCTTAGGACTCCCCTTTTCCGGCGACTTCCATCGCCAGCCCGACAGTTTCCACCTGGCCCCCTTCTCGACTCAATGGACAAAGTGGAGGAGGAAAAGCTAGCATGGCATTCCCACGATAACTTCTTTCCTGTCAAGATCGGCGATGTCTTTCAGTCGAAGTATCAAGTGGTTGGGAAAATAGGCTATGGCGGATATTCAACAGTGTGGCTTTGCAGAGATTTAGAGTAAGCCCCCTCCATACTTGAATGCAAATCGCTGGGGAAAATAGGAGCTAATAGGTACAGAGAGCACGTTTACGTCACATTGAACTATATAAACGTGACTCTGCTCATGCAGAACGAGAAATTCAGGTTTACGAACATCTCAAAAGTCTCAAATCCGGCCACACTGGTACTGTTCTCGTGCGAACTGTGTTGGATAAATTCCATCTCAGCTCAACCGATGGCTCCCACTTCTACCAATGTCTTGTTCACCCACCCTTAGGCATGAGTCTCTATGAGCTTCGGAATCGGTGTCCACGAAAGGTTTTTCCAGAAAACCTACTGAAACCCACCCTTATCCATATTCTCCTTGCGCTAGATTTCTTACATACCGAGGCGCGCGTGATCCATACCACTTAGCACTCTCAATATTTGGAATATTCTATGCTGATATATAATACAAGATATACAAGAAAAGAACATTATGCTCAATATTGAAGATGAATCGATTCTTGTTGACTTTGAGAAGGCCGAGATATCAAACCCAAGTCCACGTAAAGTGGTCGGTGATCGAGTAATATATCATTCTCGAAATTTAGGCATTCCAAAAAAACATGGACGCCCCGTACTTTCAGACTTCGGCGAGGCTCGCTTTGGGTCAGAGTCGGGCACATATTGCGATGATGTACAGCCATTTATGTATCGGGCCCCGGAGGTACTACTTCGCATGCCCTGGAATGAAAAGATCGACATTTGGAACCTTGCAGTCGTGGTATGTTTATCGATGTTACATCTATTATTATTATTTCCCCCCCTTCTAAACACTCTTTATGCAGGCCTGGGACCTATTCGAACAAGGCCATCTTTTCTACGCTCAGGATGAAAACAAAAGAGAATCGGATAGTCACCATCTTGCTGAAATGATTGCGTATCTGGGGCCACCGCCACGTGATATGCTTGAGAAAAGCGAATATGCAAATAAGTATTTTGATAATAGCGGTAAAGCTCACCAAGTTCTTGTCTCTTTTTTCTCAGCCTGTGTTTCTGACCCGTGGAAACTAGGAAAATGGAAGTGCCTTGCTGAAATCCCGCCTACGTCTTTAGCGGACATTGAAAGTAACTTAGAGGGCGAGCAGCAAGAGAATTTTCTCCGTTTCATACGTAAAATGCTTCAGTGGCGACCAGAAGATCGACCTACTGCGAAAGAGTTATTATCTGGCCCTTGGCTAAGGTCTACATAGTTTGAAATTGCCCTAGCGCGACAGCTCATGTAATAGAAATGTATATGCTGTGGCTGAAATTCGCCGGATCTTAGATGGATACATTATGCTGAGAAGTTCACTCCTGGTCCTTTGCGCTACCTACAACCTGATCCTCAGAAAACGGAGATAGAACACCTGGTTCAAAACGCTACACAGATGGTCCGCGCAAAGCTTGTGGCTTCTGGGGCCTAGTTCATCTTGCGCACTGAGCCGTCTTGGTAAGCATGGATCCGTTGTACAGTTTTAACTTCGCCATTCTTAAGCCGAACTGATATAACCTCTTTCTTATCAGTCGGATCATCGTGAGAAAAGTGCGGCTGAGAACCTCTACAAGTCGTAGATTAGGCTCTAGAATTTCTATCGTAAACCATATTTTGGGGCGGTTTACCTAATCCTGGCGAACTTGAAATCCGGATTCTATGATGTCTACCAGTAGAAATATTGGGATTTTGTATCAAGCCCTCACGTACCGCTTTTTTCTTGAATACACCTCAACAGTGTCTTTGTTTATAGAGGATACGGAGAGGACTGTGCAGAATACACACTTCGGTAACTTGAATTGTGCTCTATAGTAGATAAAAAACTTACAAAACCTAGAGGAGGATATAACCGAGAGTAGAGAATAAGCGGTGATTAATAAAGAGCATATCTATATTTGCTCGGACTTTAACAATAGTATAGTATTTTTATTAACTAAATAAAACAGTAACTGGGTTCCAGAGACTGGCATATTATATCTTTACTATTGAAATTGTTCTACTGGCTGAACAAGTATACTAAATATTGTATTTGATTGTTCTAGCTCAATACCTTACAACTAGCTTACTTTCTTTAACTTAACTATCTTATAAATTTGCATCTAAGCTTTGTAAAAGTAAGTTCCTCAATATATACAGCTATTTGTCATGGACTGTGTCACAGACCTTGATCTAGCACTAGTATTGATCAATTGTACACTGGCTACTTTCTTAAACTGAGAAGTTAAAGGGGCAGATACTATCAGCTTCGAACAGCGAAGGAGGGTTCTTATATACTTGGGAGGACGAGGCGGGCGGTGATTACAGTACGGGATATCGGGAAGCTAGACCGAAGGGGGGATTCACAGGTGCTCACGTTATATTTCAAATTTAGGGTATCAAAAATATAGTAACTCCTCGCGAAAGCCATAAAAGAATTTTCTCACGACACTGGTTTCATACGCGTAGTTATATGAGAAAATCTGTGATAATGGTATACAAAATCTGAAGGGTATCATAAACGTAAATCAAATAGGTTTCGGTCGCCCAGGCGGCCAAAAGTCGAAAAGGTCTAGTGCCTCGGAAGTCCAGGGTCCTTGCTCACGGGGTTCATCTTCCTCTATACAACGATTGAGTGGGCTTTTAAAAGGTAGTGATCGCGGTCGGGCACTATTTGCGGTGGTTAACGCAGTGGGGTCCGAGTATGACTTGCGAAGGCCAGTCGAACCGGACTTTGGTAGAGTCCTGTCCGGGCCACGTGTGGGTTCACTTGGCATCTCATCTAACGCAGCAAGCGTTGAAGCAGAGGGTATAAAATCAGGGTTCGTTGGCACAGGATCGGGTCTTGTCAGGTTGATCTCCCTGGAGCCGTCAGTCCATAGCGCTGGTAGAAAGATGAGGAACATACTAACTGCGGCTTCTCTCGCACGGGCACGTTTGTCTTCTCTGACAAGGGGGAGGGCAGGGATACTTTTGCGGCTGTTTGACCAGGTAATAAGGCGCTATACATCAATTTTCTCCTCGGGCGCTCCGTGGACAACCTAAGAGTGTTGACTGGAGCATCCACACGAATTGTCGAGGACTTCTTGGCAAGTGGAGGGGCATCGTTGACGGGGTTCTGGGTTTTCGGAATGGGCTGAGTTCTACTAGTCGGTGTTTTGTCCGACGATACTGTGGCTGGAGCTCTCACTGAGCTTGGCGTCTTCTTGGGTTGCGCTGCTGATTCAGTATCAGCAGCTGCAGCTGTTGGCTTGACTGCAGGAGGCTCCTCCGATAAATCAATAGTTACGGGTTGGGCCCGACTTGAACCATGCGCACGCGGTACGTTCTCCGGTGCAAGCCTTTGCCTCTTTACAGCTCTTTCAGGTGGTTGTGCATGATCTGTACTCTGCTCCGGCGGATGTCTTTCTTCATACGGGGAGACGAGACGTCCGATAGGTGTCTTCTTGATCCCCAGCAGGTCATTGAGGGAGCGAGACGACTGAGAGCCGATCGAGGATCGTAAAGGAGTGGACGTGCGCAAAGACGGGGTCGGCGGTTCTTCCGGCCGTGATGGGGATCCCTGGCTTTTCCTATTGCTGATGAGGCCCGAAATATCGGTCTCCGTCTTCTCCATTGGCTCGCAGACTTGAATCAACACTCCTCTATCCAGTTCCAGCTCGTCCCCATCCTGGATTGCGTCCCCCTGTCGCCAGTGTAGGTCGCCAATGAAATTTCCCGTAAAATCGTAGGCCATGATGCGTTTGTTAAATGTGTGATATCTGAGGTAGCCATCTTGCCAGCGTTTGGCTTTACGGCGCATATCGTGGGTGTAGAGACATCGAAACTTGATGACGGGCGCGGTGTTCTGGGTCGCGGGGACGCTCATGCCTGGGGTAGCACGCGGGGCAGATGATAAGGGCGTCGACATGGTCGAAGCGACGAGGGCCAATAGTTGGCGACCCTCTGGCTGAGCACCATCTGGTCGCTGGGCGGGGATGAGGCAGGGGTCGATGTGGTTGCAGGCACTTTCGTTCCGTTGACAGCAAGAGAGATTTATTTGCCTGGCCGTATGAGTACAGGTGAGAAAAGGCGGTCGTGGTTGGCCTCAGGCGGAAACACCTCGCTGGTGCCTGAGAATCGTGGGGGAGTTCTAGACTTTGGTATCAATCATACGCGTATGGTATTATTGCATGCCGACACTTTACCTTTACACCTACAAATACTCATCTGAACTACTCCGTACACTACTTTGCTTCCCCTAGAGACAGACATTCAAATGGTGATGAATGTATCTTTCTCTTTTTCCTGGAAAAAATGACACGGCTTCGTTCAATTCGAGATGTTTTATTTATAGCCGGCGGTCTTCTTGGCAGTCTCCAATTCCAGCCTTAATGGAGTTACAGACTTGACTCTGGTTCCACTGGTACTCCATCGTACAGGAGACCAGTCGAAGGAAAGACCATGGTACGATAGGTACGGACAGCTCAGGAACCCAACGTTATTCAATTCCAGCGATATAAATCGACTGATCGTACAATGTCCGCACAGACCCAGGGTCTAAGACGTTAAGCAATGAAAAGACAGGAATGATCTACAGACAGACTACTCCATTGATTAGCCTTACAGGGTTCATCTCTAGTATTCAAATGCCTGTCAGTCATTCTGTGAAATGAAACGACGATCAGATGGTGGCTGCGTCATCGCCTACCTGCACGCTTCTTTTTTTTCTTTGCTGACACCATTTAACTCTGCCTCTCTCTCTCTCTCTCTCTTTCCCCCCCCCTGTCCCTTCTTTTCTCTTTTTACTATCCCTCCACGTGTGTTCCAAAGACCCTGCGTTGTACATGCATTGATCGGGTCTTACCTCCTCTCACCCGCAATCTGACCAAGACTAACTCTGTCTCCTTTGTTCCCCATCCCCGCATTCAAGCAACCTGGCAAAAACACAATGCTATCCGTACAAAGACATTTTGGTAAATTGATGAAAAGATCCGCCGACGACACTCAGGTGGCCATTCTCTTGAAAGATTTCGATGAAGCAAATAAATTATTAGGCCGAGTAAGCTTGATCTGTTAACTACTCCACCAATTGCAACCCAATCGCATATTGTGCCCGCCGCTAACCGCTCGATCGACAGATTGTCGATTCTACTAAAGCCTGGCGAGATTCTTGGTCTTCTTTACTCAGTTACCAGGCGCGCATTCTCAGTGAATTAGAAGGATTATATGCGCCCATCATTGGCTCCTCCGACTCCTCCACAACCGAAAAGGCCGTCCAAACGCCCCCGGAAACATTGGCCCGCACCGCTAATCTAGCTCAAGAATATGAAGAGCTACGGGGCGAACTCCTGCAGGAGCTCGAGGCCATCAACGAACGTATGATTAAGCCCGCCACGCAGGCTATGGACTACATGAAGCCGTTGGAAAAGACAATCAAAAAGCGGGATGACCGAAAGGTAGGCACATGTCTCGTCCCCTCAAACGTAGCTTCCTTCAACTAATATCCTTACAGTTAGATTACGAGCGTTACCAAAGTCGCGTTGACAGCTACTCGAAAAAGACGAAGCGATCGGACCGAGACAACGCATCACTGACCAAGGCCGAAAGCGATCTCGCAAGAGCAACAGAGGTATATACATACGATGGCCAACATACTTTCAAAGTAAACACGCATCACATACTAATCCAAACCCCAGGAATACCAAGCTGCAGACGACCACCTCCGAAAATGCCTACCACCAATCATAACGGCCGCATTCTCACTGCTCCCCAGACTCCTAGCCGCGCAAATCGAGATCCAAAATACCATGCTAGCACACTACTACACAGTGGTCCAGAACTACTGCGAACAGGAGCACTTCCCCTCTCCCTCCCCACCAATGGAACAAATAATCCAAGACTGGGAACAGGCCCTCCACCCCACACAACAAGAGGTTGAATCCCTAGGCTGTATCGCCAACGGAAAGGCAGTGCGTCTATCCCCAGGATCACCCGACGACCAACGGAACGGACTCAGCAGCCGTCTCCCAAACGGCCTCAACTTCCGTCGGCCCTCAAGCAGCAACGCCTCCACTGTCGGCCCTACATCCACTTCTACTTCTGCACCAAGTCTCCAACCCCCAACCTCCTCAGGCCGCAGACTCTCTGCCCCATCTGTGCACGACACAAAGCCAACCCCAGTAATGGAAACCAAACCACGTCTTAACAGTCTCGCTTCATCCCCATCCTCAACTCTCACCGTCCCAACAACCCATCTCTCCCCGCAAACCCCCGCTTCAGCCTCAGCTTCATCCCCAGCCGAATCCTACGCCTCGGCCCGAACAGACTACTTCAGTCGAAACCAGCATCCCTCCGACAGCACAGCCACATCGCCGGGATATAGTGTGCTTGCGGCCGCAAAGAAGAAGCCCCCGCCGCCACCTCCGAAACGGATCGGTTCCAATCAGGGGTTGTTCGTGACGGCTCTGTATGATTTCGGTGGGCAGAGTGCCGGCGATCTTGCCTTTCGGGAGGGAGATCGGATTCGGGTTCTGAAGAAGACGGACAGTACGGATGATTGGTGGGAGGGAGAGCTTCGGGGGGTTAAGGGGAGTTTCCCGGCTAATTATGTGGAGTGAGAATCTTTTTCTTTAATTTAATATATCCGGAATTTACAACTAGAATCTGAGGACCTGTGAAATTGACGGCGAAAATGACAGCCTCCGGCGCCAGAAACGGCTGCCTTTCCACCTGTAACTTTGGGGATAATTTAGCCTCCTTTTAGCTTGTCTTAGGCTTAATTGCGGATGGTTGTATGCTCACTGTGCTGTCCATTTTGGTCGAAATTGCTCCCAAATTGGCCGTTCACATACTAAAAGAGAGTTGGGTGGCCAACTCACAGGGGATTTTCAAGCGTACTGAGCAAGACATTTAATTTAAGTTGAATCTTCCTAAGCGCTTGCGCCATCAATACCCCGCAACTCCCGTATATTAAGACATGCAGATGCCCTTGTATTTTGATCGTTAAGTGATATAATTCATCACCCTTCTATTTCACCAAAAAAGCCATCTTAAAATCGGCTAGTTATTATCGAGACAGGCCACCACCATCTGGGGAAATTACTCCGGTATCAGTTGGCAGAGAGCTCAGCTACCTACTCAGCGATTTCAGAATGAACGGCCAAGCTTTGGCATTCGCCGCCCCTTGGGCTGAACATATTGCACTTCGAAAGGCTCCTCGCTGCGTTCATTGTGGCGGACGTACACAGAAGGAACCCTGTCAGTCATCCAATAAGAACGGTAATGCGTATCGTCCATACTATAGCTGCTCTTCTTGTGAAAGGTTCGTCTGCTTTGGAGATATGCGGGGTGTGTTGGCAGAAAATCCCACATGCTACTGTGACCATGGAATGCAATTCAGCAGACGTGGCATAGCAGGCGGAAGAGCGAGATTTCCACGGTCAATATTCTATCAGTGCGCTACGGGGGGATGTTTATTCTTCGAATACATGACAGACAATCATGATCGGATCATGATTTACAGTGGTCCTGTCACTCCACGTCATTTAACTTTTATCGGGTTCTAAGGGCCTCGGTCTCGGCACAAGGTATGTGCTGTTGAGACTCTCTGGTCTCAGACAATCGAAAATGGCCTTTGGCACTCTCCTCCTTTTCACCAACCACGTTGATACACCATTCGATGAAGATGTCAAATCCTTGGTCGAGATCTCTTCCATAGTAATTCCAGTTATGTTTAATAAAACTTTTGCACCTTGAAGGATCAGACGTTTCATTAGAGATATAAACTAACTACTAACAGTGGATATACCCGCGATATTCTAATAACTACAGGAATAACATCTTCATGCTAGGTGCATCTCCCAGAACAGCTCAAGGGATGGAAATCCATATAGGTAAGCTACCATAGCCAACATCTTCCGTCCTCCAACGATGCCTATCTAGAGAAAGGCTCCATCCGGAGCACTATCGTCTGACATCTCCATGCCCATTTGTCGACGTCGACTGCTAAGAAACAGTTCCACCATGCGTTTGCTCGACATGGGCGAGCCGGTGTCTTGAGACAATGGATATCGCTCGTTGACGTTGCCATGTCGGGTATCGGCCCGTATGTTCTCATTGTTAAATCTGGTGCTATCACGATGACGGCTAACTCGAAAAGGCACGGGCCCTGTGTCTTGGGCTTGGGACCATTTGATGGAAGATTCACCATACTTGCCGTTCAGGGCCAATCGCCGTGACAGCTCTCTAGCTTCTCGCTTAGGCGTGGGGGATTCTGGTATCCAGGGCCTATTGATTGGCCTTGACTGCATGGGTAACGATGCATGCTGGTCAAGCCGTGCGCGGATCCGGCCAACAGTGAAAGACGATCCATCACTGCTAGGGGATACTGACGTATGAATCGAAAACGGAGGAGCAGTAGTCAGTCCTTGCTCTTTCGAGGCGGCCACCACCGTGCGTACACTTGGAGACCGACTGAACGGTCTAGAGAAATTACTTCCGGTCCGAATCTTGCAAGTTGTCGTTGGTTCTCTACTCGCGAAAAGTTGATCATGATCCGAATCATCCTGTCGACTCGCCGAGATGTCGTTGTCACCCCCTCGGGATAAACACTGCCGTTGCATGTTAGCCTCGTCGTCATATATTTGCGCGTCTTCTTTATAATGCTCCTTTGTCGGTGTGAGGTGTTCGATCCTCGCCATTTGAGACTGCATCCATTGCTGCCAATCGGCGCTTGGCCGTGGTTGAATTTGGGGTTCCGGGAGACCAGGGGTTCGCTTAGGGGATCTGTATGCTGACCGCTGGCTTTCGAAGATTGTAGCTACCCCTGGTTCATCTGCCGTCTCAGACAAGCGTGGCCCATTATCATGCTGTTTTGTGGGCGGGGAATTGCCACTGGTGGTGCGTGAGTAGATGCTAGGAGAATCAGATGTATCCAAAGTCGGAGACTCAGGAGCGTTTATGCTTCGAGTATCGCCATCTAGGGCACTTTGGCTCCCGAGCATTGTCAAGCGTTTCTGGGGAGTTACTGTGCCACCGGGGGCTGTTGCATATGACCTTGGGGTCGTAAACGATTCGTTGCTGGCAACCCGACGAATTGTCTGCCTGCTACTGCGAGGGTATAGGGAAGATGCACGTGTCGGAATAGCACGATGTTCCCGGACTTGACCGAGGAAGATTTCTTCTTTTGTATCCTGTGCATGGTTCTGCCCAATCCGCTTCATCAGTGCAGCATACAGACGTTGGCTATCAACGGAATGCCCCGGCATGGTTGGTTCCGGAGAGGATGAAAAGGCCTGTCTAGGAGAGTTGCTTGGGGTGAGTACCGAAAGATTTGGTCCCGAATCGCCTTGTTCATCAATGATAGACAGATGGCTTTGTTCGCCTGTTTTGCGCGTTACTATAGTATTTGCTACGGTTGAATCAGCCCAGCTTGTAACACGCGAGCGGCTGGTTGCGAGACTCTCCGAACTACGGGTACTTCGGACTGTCTGAGAACGATCGTAACCAGTGAGCCTATCGGCACAAATCGAATTCAGATCATTTCCAGCTGGATAATCGTCATCCTTGGATGTTGTCGAAAGCACCTGGTTCTGTGCCTGGCCAACGGGTGGCGCCTGTGCTTGGCTATTATCTGCAACGGGTTTTGAAAGTCCGAGGACCTTCTTGATACCCCGTTTAATAGATGAAGATAATGAACGCGTTTTCCCTTGGGGTATGGCATGTCTAGAGGAGTCCACCGAAGATTGGGTACTAGATGCATCCAGGCCGGAAGCGCTATCACCGCTATTACTTCGAAAGCTTTTTCTGAATGGTTTATGCTCTCGTTTGGGTCTGCGGATGGAGGATGTTCTGCACTGGTCGGTGCTATCCACCGAGCTTTGCAGGAACTGGCTACGGGCTAGCTGAATTGCTGCATCATGGCTCCTCATATGGTGGGTTGGATTGACAGATGGATGGCTACCCCGGAGGAAGGAAAGTGAACGTTTCAAGGCCCCGCCTGGGTTTGGCGCCTCAAGTACTTGTGCTTTGTCAAGAGTCACATAATCATACAAGCGAGAATGTGCTCCACAAGACATACGAGAATACCGTTGTCCGCCTGCAAACATTGACCGTGACTTGCGCAGGCGGCGGTATGAAGAAGGTAGAGAAGAATTGCGGCCATCTAGACCGCCGAATTCACGAATTGGCGGTAGCGCTGCGGGCGAAAGCTGGGAATTGTTATTTTCTTCTGAGTCATTCACGGCTGAAGGCCTGGACAGTGTCAGAGTAGCAGCCAAATAAGTATCAGAGATTTCACTGTCGCCACTTGGTCTGTGTCTTCTCTGTGGTACCGCCATGCTACCGGGGCCACCCAAGCGATCGTAAGAGCGTTGAGAGTCCGTAGAAGACCGCTCTGTAGATCGCCGCATGGCCAGAGATGCCGCAACGGTTGCGTGTTGTTTGGCGATTTCTGGATCAAATGGCTCATTAGACACTGACATTTGGTGGTTCCTTCTGATGGAACGAGTTGATCTAGATCTCCTCAGACGATCACTAGCATTGAGAGACATTGCGGGACACATGACAGCAAAAGCACGTAAGTACGGATACAGAGGGATTGAAGTGGTACTTTGAGAATAGATACTGTCCAGATGGATAAAGTGCGGTCTAGAAAAGTCTCTCGAGATGAACGAGAGATACCCTTGGTGAAGAACCCATGGTAGCAAGGATCTGAGGAAAGTGCGATGAGAGACTGCATGTCGTCTTGCAAGGTCACAGCCATCAACGCTGCTTCCTCATCTGAGGCTAGGGTGGAAGTTGTCTTAATAGATAAATTTAGTCAGGTTCTATCCAACTTGAAATTGCCTATTTTGTTATATAGGTTTATAAGCTAGTCGGGGGCTCTGGTCCGAGATGATGAACAATAGCTCGGCTAAGAGGGTGGCTGTGGCTGTGAGTCACGGCTCTACTCCGATCGTATAGGCCATGTCACACTGACGCATTCCAATACGAAGAGCTAGTAGCACAAATCCTACACAATGGAGGCCGTAGACACGCGTCTTTTGATATTAAATATAGCGCTCGACGTTCCAGTACCTATACACAACAGAACTTTTTTTCCCCCATTCGACGTCACAGAGCAGGGGGCCAGTCAGCGTTGAGGCCACACCATTATGGATCAGTCGGATGGTATGAATCCTAGAGCGCAAGCCATCCATCTGGATGGAAGGACCCTCGAAGGGGGGGGCCAACTTGTGCGAATTGCCGTCGCCCTCTCGGCGTTGACAGGCCGGCCCGTCAAAATTGACCATATTCGAGGCAATCGATCAGGGAAGCAAGGGCTCAAGGGCTCACATCTTGCCGCGATCACGTACCTCGCATGTGTGAGCAGAAGTTCTGTCGTGGGGGCAGAGCTAGGATCGACATCGTTGAGCTTCTATCCACAAGTAGTCCAGATGCCAAGAGATCGAGACCATGAGCGGGGAGGAGCGATCGAATCACATATCAACATTGCACTCAAAACAGCAGGTTCGGTGTTTCTAGTGTTCCAAGCACTATATCCTTATATGCTGCACGCGGGAGCCAATTCTTCCGTCCCCGAGCGCCAGATTACTTTATCCATTGTCGGTGGGACCAATGTGTCGTTCTCGCCGTCATACGATTACGTGGCGCAGGTTTTAGTGCCTAATTTCGCCAGAGTGGGATTGCCTCGCCTTTCAGTGCAGCTAATCAAACGGGGATGGGGGACGGGCCCGGTTAGCTTGGGAAAGGTGACTCTTGTTGCGGATCCGCTCACGTTGTGCGAAGATGGCAATAGAGCCGGGTCGAGCCCTCGGTTTCCGCCCATAGACCTTTCTCGATATCAGCGTGGGACAATCAGTCACGTTGAAATTACCATTTTGGCCCCCGACGACCCGTTCCCTAAGAGTACAGGCAGGGGCGCCCACGGCAATGGAAGAAATCAAAGACCTGGTGGAACGCAATTTCGGAGACATAGGTCAAGGGCTGAAGGAAACAACGATGATTCACCGAACGTCACTCGAACAATTCGCCAATTTGTCGAACTCGAAATCTTCCGGAGCCTCCGCAAAAAGTTGAGGAAGTTACCGTCGTGCATTTTCACCTCCAGAACATCGTCCTCCAGTGCCGCTGTCGGGCATCCTCCCACAGAGAGTGGCAGCAACGATATTCCTGTCAACATTCATACGACTGAGGTCACACATCATTACTCGCACGTATACATACTTATTGTAGCACACACATCGACGGGGTTCAGGGTGGGACACGATGCGCTCTTTGGTGTCAACGGTGGTCCCGGTGCGCGGCGAGCGCGACATAAGCAACGGAACGGTCCGGAGGAGGTGGAAATGGGGGTGAAAGATTTGGTGGAGCGATGCGTAGACGGATTCTTAGAGGAATTGTATGATCCTCGCCTGCGGCAAGGTTCTACCCCCGTGAATAGAGAGCAGCATCCCCCTTGTGTGGATAGGTATTTAAGAGACCAATTGGCGGTGTTTGAGGCACTGGGAAAATCGACATCACAACCGAACGATGACGGCAGCCGTGGGAATGAAGATGAACGATATTGGAGTCTTCACATGCAAACGGCGCGTTGGGTCTGCGAAGAGATGCTGAGTAACCAAGCACATGACATGAAGCATTTATATTAAGCCCTAAGGTCAAGAATATCGGAAGGAAATGACAACACGAAACATTCAGTCATAGAAAAAATAATAGTAAATGTATGATTGTCAGTAAATCGTACAGTCGAGAGGGTATGAGAATCGACCAATATTAAAAAAATGAGTACACATCACAAGACACACGAAAGTGAAATATCTGAACAGAAAAGTAAAGCAGATATTAAAGGAGAGAAAAACGATATCCATCTGCGCCACCACCCGCCAGCCAGCAGCAGATTCATGGCTGTGCGCTCTATTTCCACGGCGTATGAGTTTTATGGAAACTTCCAAATCGCCATTCCCAGCAGCTGATTAGGGAAATCACCCATGCCGTACCCAGTTTGTCTCGCATATACACAAAAGAAAATAAGAGAGATGAATAAAGATAATCGCAGTGCTGAACCGCCCGGTCCAGTAAAATCGAGAAAGCCGCCCTTGTATATGGTATAAGAATCCGATGATCGATCAACTCCCAACAATGCATCAAGTCAGAGCATAATTGAATAGGTTAAGGAAAGAGAGGTGCCGTGATTGAGACTGGCGTAAAAGGTCCCTGGGACTCAGTCCCAACCTGCAGGATCCTGGATATCCGGTCGGGTTCCTGGAGGTATTTCGTGCCATCTCGGTTGAGAAACGGTATCGCAGGTTTACAGCAGTTCCCGAGCGATCGCCCTGTAAGGGGAGTCATTCAAGATCTCCGAAGGCAACGCTCTCCGGTAATCTCGTGGCTGGGCAAAGGGGGACGTAGATGATGGTCGACGGAGTTTCAGTTGCTAGATGAAGCCAGGAGTTAGCGTCATTTCGGAGGTTTGCATGGGAATTAATCAATCTCAGATGCTGATCGGAGAGTCTAAAATAGGAGATCTGGAAGCGAATGACATACCACACAATCGGCGCATTTTCCTCCTTGGATATTAACGCGGCCACGGCAACCGCGAGGATAATTGGCGCACGAATACATGATGTAGTTGGCTGTAGAGCGAGTTGGATCACCGAAAAGAAGAAAATTGCTGATAGCTGGCTGATAACCACGATTTAGGTCGTCGAAGAAGAATAAATCCCCTATCCCGTCAAGGGAGGTTTTCTAGGGCTGGTCCTTTTTTTCTTTTTTCTTTTTTTTTTCTGGGGTTCACTCCCAAAAAAAAAAAAATGTCAAAAAAAAAAAAAAAAAAAAAAATTAGGCTACAGCCAGCGCGATAAAAAAAGACAATAAAATCGAACTAGTCCGAAATCCAAAGCCACACGGCTATTACGTCAAGATCTTGAAACCGTTGTCTTGCAGCAAGACAAGCAGGGAAAAAGGATCGCGAGCTAAAGCACCGCTAGGGTCCGTTTGGGTGCTTTAGCGTTGAAAGTTGGGCTGCGCCACCAAAAGCCGTCTCAAAGAGAGAATTCCGAGGAAAAGCAAAGACGGTCAAGGGAAGCAGCAGAATCCAATCAAGGAGCGGAGGATGAAGGAAGGAGGTTAGAATAGAATTCGGACGATCAACGGTCACGAAGAAGTAATGCAGCAAGTGACAAGGTCACCAAAGTAAGTCGAATCAATACCAGGGGTAGGTAAAGAAAGATTCGAGAAGTCCCGTGGGATTTATAGGCGATGGAGATCCGAGCGAAATGCCCTTCAGGTTGAAGATCAGGAGAAGACGGCTGTACAATAAATTATAAAATAAATCAATCAACCTATGAAAAATCACAACTTTCACAAGATAGCCCGGGATATTAAATTTCTTTTTAATTTTCTTTTTTCGCTTTTTACTTCGGTGTCATCGAGGTAGACGACGGGCGGGATTGGGGGACCAGATGGAGCCGTCGTATATTATTCTGATGCAGTCATCGAAGAAAAATAATCATTTATTGCCGTATTGCCTGGTTGTGGGTTAATTAGCATGATTTATTATTATTTTTACTGATATTATTATCTTGCGTAATAAGAACTCGAACCAGTGAAAACTCACGGGGGGGTTCTCATTGAATTGAAACCACAGGGCAGCCGATCAGGTCTGGATGGATCCTGGGCATCACCGACAGGAGCTGACTTCCTTGGCGGGTGAACTTATGTTTCCTGCGACGGTCATTGGCTTTAAAACGGTTACTGGTGTTCCAACGGTGGGCTCCGCGTTTCCCGGCTGGCTGCTTCGAGGCTGAACCACTGAAGGAGGGAGAAAAAATAGTCTTCTCCCATTCGATCCGCGAGCCGAGGGAGAAAAAAGAGTCCGCAAGTCTCCGGGTTTGGTTGATCATTCAGCAAGGGGACAAAGGAGTAAAAAAATTTAGTTGTATCATTTCCCTTGTTGAGAGTCACTCGATTCCCGAACAATCTCATCATGTAACATCTTGATCTCTCCAATGACTCGCATTGTTGACAAGCACGGGAAAAAAGATGACTTGATTACAGGGGTTCGTGGGCCCGTGTCAGAAGAGATCATTTTGATTTTCACCCTTTGCAGAAAAAAGCCACGACAGTAAGAATACGAATCTTGTCGGATTATTGGGTACCAGCTGTGGGCATAAACAGCAGGTCGCTCGAAACGCAACCGATTGATCCACTGACGCCAGTAGCCGAAGTCGCGGAAGTTTCGCATTAATGGAGCGGTGCCATCAAAATCTGGATCTTGGGCCGAACCGTCGCACCAAGAAAGTTTCCACTCTTTCTGGAACGTCGACGGCGAAAGCGCTAGTTTTCTTTTTTCTTTTTTTTCCCTTTCTTTTTCTTTTTTTCTTCAACAGTTTCCTTGTCCCTGCCACCCTTTATCTGGCGTCCCTTGAACGGGCATCTCTTGGCGGGAATTGCGGGAATTGTGCATATCAACCAATTGGAGTAACAATTCCATGAAAATGAACGAGAGGGACCCTAGAGCCTGCTCTTTGTTTTGTCTCAACGACAGTGAATCAAAGAGTCC